CATAGCTTGATATGGATGTGCGCATCTAATACAGGGCTCTATACGCATAACTTAGTCATCACATCCATGACTGGCACATCATCGAGTGGTAACGCTTATTTTACCGTTGTGCGATAAACGGTACACACTGTTTACTGCAAAACGAACGTTGCTAGACGATATGTAAAGCTACGTCTAACGCTTCTGAGGAGACGCAATCAACACCCCTGCCTCTAACCTAGGCCCAGACTTTCTCTCCTTAGACTTGATGCTTCTTCGTCCGCCACTTACATATGGCCTGTTACGTCGTCTTCGCCGAACGTAATAGGTGAACACGCCGATAAGCACCGTGATAAGAATCGCTCCAACGATGATCGATGCTAACGCGATCACGCTTGATAAACCTATTCAATAAGGAGCGGACCCAGTTAACGGGAAACGTTGCACGAAAAGCTGAATTTCGCGCGTGCAGTCATGCACGCGATTAACGTTTTGCTGAAAAAGGATTTTCATCAATAATACAATTTGGCGTCGTCCTGTGCATTTCGGTTGCGCTCCGTGCGAAAATTGGCTATGAAGCTATATGACAAGGGTGGAGTGCTGCAAAGGTAGGCTAACAGCTGACGCCCAAACACGGGAAAAATAAACTTGTAATCGAGAAGAAAAATACGATTCCAGTCACGCGCAGGTGAAGGCGTAAAGCAAGTTTAAGTTATTCGTGTGTTTATACTCTTGAAACAGGAAGTAGCCTTGGATCTGACGTGGTCGGCAATGAGCATGCCAATAGTAATATTTATGTGCAAAAAGTTAAGCAAATTCTAATCACTGAAATTTACGAGGACGGCGTTACACCACTAACTGGCGTTTATTGTTACCTGAGTATTGTTAAACGGTCCATAGAGTTACTTACTATTAATGACTTTTAACGTATGACGTTCGACTACGTATTCTTTAATTTCAGTAAGCAGTGATAAACGCAGGCGATTTTTACCATAGCTCAAACCAATCTCGAAAAGTCAACGTAGCTACATTGCAGATGCATGTAAAGAGATGAATAGGAACAAACAACTATGGATCAGTGCACGCCTGAGTACTATGTACTGATTACAGATGTGTAAAAAGAAAAACGTTGAAAGCTTCGTCACTTTGTGGTAAAGAGTCGTTCTAAAATAACAAACTAATAAGTAGTACTAAGTGCGTAAAAACATCACTTGTCAACTATTATTATGTACCATTTATAAAAAACTTCTCGCAGACCCTTCTTCTCCGCTTTGTTGATATCATAAAGATAGAACTAGGTAAAAAAAATCAACTAGATCTAAACTACATAATATCCGTCATTAGATGCCTAGTATCCTGGGAGACAGGTTGTCTACAGATCTTTGCATGGAGTATGACCGTGTATTTCCGTTTCTCTCGTACTAGTGACCATAACCAGTCACACCGGTTTTGAAACTCTGCCTCAATTTACTTTTGTCACCATGTGATTATATAATGTGCTATCGTGTAACAAATTAAGCTGGCGATTTGTTATGCTAGCTGCATTGAAAAAAAAAAAGCATCTGTGTTTGGAATTTACGTCCGGTGGACGTTAAATTCAAAATGGATAGCTCGCCGGTTTACAGCATTAAGCGAACCGTGCGTCTAAAACCCAGTTCGAACCCAGACCATAATATGTCCCCAAAATTAGCAGGCTAAAGTAAGCCAGCTACACATTAAGCTGTCAACTGCGTTCGACGATACTAAAGCAGACATGAGCGAGCCCTGTCAACCGTTCGGTAATACTTTGAAACGATGAGCTAAGTATGGGTTGTTTTTCAGCATTTATATGATATTGCTGTACACAGAGTAACAAACATATAACTAGATACACCGGATAGGGCAAAAATGTCTTGATTTTTTACATCTATGCAATATAATAACGAAGTATTCAAATATATTAGTATATTCTATATATTTTCTCATATGAATAAATAACTGCAAATGTGTTCTTTTTCCATCCTTCGTTTTATATATTTCTTAAGCATAGAGAGGTTTTGATTGGGCTCATCTGGTGCTGTTACAAAATTTGCACCATCTATTCAACCTCACGAAAGCCATCAATAACATTTATTGCGCTTCTACAAGATAAAAAAAAAACTCATTATTAGAACAATAAAACAGCTGTTGGCTGCTTTCGAGGATTTTAGGGCTTATCGATGTCGGCTTTCTGGGGCTGTTTCGTCCGTTCTGGCCATTTTGTAAGATTGATCATACTCATACAGACACTTTTCGTCGGAGCCATCGCCGCAGTTGTTGAAACCGTCGCAGACGAATTTGTGGTGGATGCAGTGTTCCTCGCCTCGGCAAGCATACTCATCGCGGAGACATCGTTTCTGATTGTCGCCTACAAGAACACCTACCAAATAGACAGAACATACATAGAGCCGACGTGCGAAATAAGCTTATAGAACTTTACATATAATCACACAAACTCTGTTCCAGCCGCACGCCTCCCTCCTGCAAACACGGACTCACTACTACAAATAGTCGAATAGGAAAAACGTATTGAAGTGTACTATAATTCGCTTTAGAATCATACAGAGTCTTGAACAGGGTCATTAGAGATCAGCTATCGAGGAAACTCTAAACCATACCAGCGGGTGCTTTCCATGCCCCCTATAAACTCGAGTCAAGATTAACAACGACAACTATTTAATAACACTGTATAACGTTGTTATCCGCCCATCCATCAAATATCTGCCCTGCTGTCGTCTGGGAAACGAAAAATTCGACAAAATTTAACGAAAAATAGCCGCCGCTTAGAAACGCTTTCTTTTCGGTTACTTTATTCAACTTACTTGGCCTTAAAGCTGTGACTGTCATCACAAAGCCTACGCGATGTTCGCCATATTTCCAGTCGGCTCGATCAGTACGTATCTTCACGTACAAGCTGCAATATTAATTCTACCATAAGATGTCGTCTATTGTAAAAGTTGTGATTCGGCAGTAAATTCACATTCAATTTAAGAACATTAAACATGTGCACGTTTTTGGAGATACCCACACAACCTTCGGTATCGTTTCGATGCACATGAAAAACATACAATGACTTGTATGTGGAGAACATTAGTTTAGGAATGAAATGGAATGTTTCGTTAGACATTACTTGAGACGATTGTTTTTTTTAAGCACAAAACGAAGTGTGTCTGCGCCTAGTTAACGTGCTTTCCTATGTTTGGTGGGCAAACAGGCTACCATTGAAGCACAGACAAGAGCCTTGAATTTGCAGTTGTCAAGTAAAGCTAGCTAAGCATAGACTAAATACAGATCATAGACGGTAGTAGTAAAAAAATTACGGTTAAAACTTCGGACGTGTTGCGTGGCGTGGGTCTTACTATTGCTGCCGTTACTCATTGATAATGATTAAACCCTATAGAAAAACGTACTATTTCATAATACAAACGATGAGGTATTAGATTATTATTGCAGAACCAAAGGTGATACTTGTTTTTAACCTTGCCTCATTGTTGTTTTAGTGTGGGCCCTGATAAAATTAGTCGTCGCAAAGAAAAACATCGTAGGTCAAACCTGTTGTGATCGAACACTTTGGCCTTCGATCCCCTGGGGTCGTTAATCTCTTCACAGAATTGGACCGACTGATTCATGTTTTCGTTTCCACCCCAAACCTAAAAAAGGATGGAAGCATCATGTTAGCAGCACCATAGTACATATGGCATACAACAAGATTATTTATCGCCATGGGAGTCTTGCTGTAACATAAATGTTGGAAGGTAGGCGTTTACTCGTAGCTTCCCTAGTTTACTCGTATTTAACCGATTTATGCTCACCTCACGAACTGTGCATAGGCTAAAAAATAAAAGAAAGACTTTGGTCAGTAACTAGATATCGCCCTGTTTCTTAAATCCGTAATTCGCAGGCCCGTAAAGTCGTGGATTTATTTGTAACATTCACACAATTCACAGCGAAACCTTTCAGTCTGTAAAGGACAAAGCACAGCTTCGCTGCTGGTCTTCGCTGGTCCTCCCTTGCTGATGATGATACCATCATCAGCAGCAGCAAAGGAGGACCCCCCACTGTCTCAGTTTTCGAAACCCGTTATTCATTGCTAGATGTGTCTATGCTGTTACTGTCATTATTGAGCTATCTAGCTCAGGACAAGGTCTTTGCAAAATGTATCCTTGCCATATTTTCACATGCTGAAATATGTTCAGTTAATTTGTTACCTTACCTTAACATAGGACTGGCACGAATGGGGCAGATCAAGCTTATGTACGCTGAACGCCATCTTTGAGTTGTTCGAAGTCGATACAAATTGCACGATACATGTATAGCTGTTTGTCAGACCCATGCCGGAATTCACCTGAAATAACCCAAGACCAGAGCAGACGTGATGCTTAAGCAGATGATACGTCAAATCTACTGTTATCCACTCTAATTAGTGGCAATCGATCTTTACAGTTGTTGATTGATGCGCAGGTTTAACGTTGGACCTCTATAAAACCAGCAGCCTCCTTGTTGCTGTTGTTTTCAGTGATGTCCCCTTAATCGTGGCCGTAACGTTTCGACTTTGTGTCGTCTTTTCAAATGAGTGTAAAAGTAGTCTAGATTTTCGTAGTTAGCTATAGTCATAAGAAGAACCAACACAATCTACGAAGATACATGGTTATATATGTCCGTTCAAATTCGTATAAATTACGGTAGCTAGTGTTTGCGAGCGAATAAAACAAACGGTTTCTTTAGCAGATTTTCTGTGTTTTTATTTATGCAGTAGACTATTTGTACGGAACACCTTTCATAAATTGTTTACCGAACCCCGAAGCGATGCTGTTATTGTCGTGCGAATTTTAGCCTTTGGCAATTTTGCTGAACAGTTTTACCGTTTGAAAGCCGATTTCATGGTAGGAAAGTGTTATTACTCCGTAGATGGCTATTATCGATACGGTTTAGACAACGTTAACTGCTTAGCTCAGACTTGACCAAGCACGTCCGTTATACTTCGTACATTATATTTGACTTGCCTCGATGGCTGATCCGGGTCCGGTGGCGTTAATGAGGACAACTGCCCTTTGAGAGTTTCCACACTCTCTTTGAAGCGACACTACAGGCGAAAACAGTAACACAGACTTATAATTAGGTATTCATTTGTTTTCAGGCATTTTTTAGATGCTTGAAATCGCTTCTAAGTTGACAGGCGACAGCACGTCAATAAATAGTAATAATTTTTAACTATTGATAGATAATTGCGATGCACGTAATACGATACGTAAGTTACTATTCAAGGCGATGCCATGAAAAAATACAGGAGAAAAATGCAAGAGATGGCATATCATATTTTTTTGTACTTCTTTGTGTACTTCTATTCATCAATCAGTCAATGAATACCGCTTCCTTTGTTCTTGAATTCTATGCCCCGGCTTAGAGACTGTACTTTGACTAAACGTAAACTGAAATAAAAAAACGCGTGTGAATTAGAGGAACAATTACCTTAAACTTCTAGAACGGTTTTGTCTTTTTTTTTTTATTTGTGAACACATATAGTGATGAAAGTATAGAGCGAAGTTCGTAACAGCTTGTTGTCTTAGGATAACTTGGTTTGTATACGTGATCATATCCTTGTTTTAATATCGTACAGAGCCATGAATCGAGAACGAAAGTTTGATGATATTAATTTTAAGATACAGAGCCAGACAAAAGTAACTTGGCAATTGAATACTTATCATTGAAGAAACCCGTCCTTTGTTTCAGTATTTTACATATTTCATGCTATTTTAACAGATGTATAATAGAATAGAGGATCTCAAACTACCATATGACTTCTTTCACAACTGGTAGATGCCTCTTGCTACATAAATCAATATTTGTGCTACTACAAAACACCTGTGAATGCACCTGGTTCATCTTGTTTTTACAAGTACCGAAAAAGGCCCATGTTATAGTTTTTAGTACTTAGATGCCAACTTGTTAGACCCCTAACGGAGTCAAATCAGCGATACTATTGGTCAAAGAAATACCAAACACTTAACCAATGCAAAAATTGTTAGACGCACGAGCTAGCAACTTAAAATGGGGTCTTTTGTGCAATTCCAGACATCTGGCAGATCCAGATCAATAGCCTTTTTGCTATTTTTCGTTTCCTCGATACCTGCAGTTTCAGTTGATCTGTAGTGACAAACCGCTGAGTTAAGCACAAAGGCGTAATGTAACGCATGACAAAGCATATTGTGGTCGCTGACAAGGGTTATTTATAATTAAATATATCCAAAGACACAGTTTCATAGATAGAGTAGAGACATTATGTAAAAAATGTAAGGCTTTCTTAACAAAATGGCGAGACATGCAAACTACTTATTTTTTTACCACCCTACACAACCTCCCTTGATTTGCGTGAATCCATGCTAATTGGTATAATTTCTCGAATGTTCTACTTTTCCCATCACCTCAAGCTCCAACATGTTGAGTAGAATAGGTATCAAAAACCAGGGCTTCAATCTCCAACATTTCCTCAATGAAAGCTAAATGAGAGAAACGCACATTATAACTGGATAATAAAAAAATTTTTGTTATTAAACACAATCAGCAAATGACACGACCGTCATGTATGTAATGTAACTTTATTTTCAGTGGAATCCGGAACTACAAAATATAGATATCTTTAAAATATTGCCGTCGATGCAGAGGGGGAACAAAACAACAACCCTCTGACACCATTTTGACAAGCAAGGTCTAATGACATTCGTGATCAGTTTAGGCTAACAACGCACGATGATGCATAGCGGACAATCGCTGTCAAAAATTATGCGAAGTCACTGAAAAAGTATACTGCATAGTGGGCATTCCTGTGAGCAAAAAGGGTCAGTCAGAAGAACACGACCGCGAGGCTTTCATTTTGTTTGCCCCTGAGATATCTCAGGACTCAGTCGTCCATTTTTTTTTTTCATCCATGTTGTGCTCAGTCGAATAACGCTGAGCTGATATAGGGGCTCGTTTAAGAAAAGCTACGAAGACAAAAGCCAGTGAAACACTTTTTTCAAGGCTTTCAAATGTCTTATTGTATATTTGTCGCTTTTTTCAAAAAGCGGAAATCTATCATAGATCGACTGGAAAGCGTTTTCCGATGCGGTATCTTCAATTAAAAATTTGGAATGACAAAGACTCCTATGGCGGGTAACCTGTTGAAAGGTGATGAGAAAAATTCAATCTTCGAGCAGAATATAACTTTCTTATAATTCGCACCTGTGTATAGTACGTCTCATTGGCAGCGGGCCCTTTTCAGCCTATGCTTGAATTTTAACTAATTATACAAATTAGCACCGGTAAACAACACAACCGTTGCCCATAGTCATCTAAAATCATTTTTTTTTGTAATTTCGATACGCGTTATATTAATATAAAAAGTTCAACCCTGTTTCTTCATGTTATGAGGTATGATAAAATAAAGAAAATTTCTTCGGACATCTACCATGCTTATTTATGGACAGATTAATTACTGGGAAAATGAATAAGCCCTAGTCAATTTTTTGCGAATTTTTACTTGTCTAATATAACGACAATAACAATTTGAGGTTCTATCTACCCACACTTTTCCTGTAATGCACTACTATCCACTGATTTCGCCATTGTATTGCCATCGGCAAGATCAATCGACCGAGCGGTTAACAAATTTGGATATAGACATTAATACTATAGGTGTAATACTGTTTACACTGGCAAAGGTTCAGTCAATGCAACTGCAAAAATTTCCTTCAGGAAATGATATCCTGCATAGCCTTTACGATTTCATTTAGTAGACAGATTCCGACTCTACAATGTCTTAAAGGTCCAAGAGATAACTCAAGTCCTGGTACATTGACGGGACATTTGCGACTAACCGTCATCGTGCACATGGCCAACAGTTATTCCTATTCACCTGTAGCCAATGATATAGAACTAATGCTTTACTCAATTCTAAGACTGTTTATGAGGCTTTCGACTAAGTGACGCTCTGTAATATTCTATGGAGAAACCTAATCGCACTAGTAAAGTTGCCAAGACGTACTATTTCTCCCAAAGTCGATGCACGCCTTTCTAGGTCACAGCTATGTCTAGCTAGGTTTTTATCGGCTGACACGGTAGTAATTTAGACGTCACATGTCCTGCGTAGACTTCTAAACGCTTACGTATGTGCGCATTCTTTCTTAAGAACTTCTTCTTACTCAAAAAGGAGACGAGCTCTTATGACATCTTATATTATGAATGGCGCATGCGGCACTTGAATGGGCAAAGCATTTAATCGTTGTGACATTTTATACAAATATAAAATTCGATATTTCTGAAGATGTCGGGCATATTACTTCGTTGCCTTTGAGCAAAGTCGTGGTCATGTTTAATCACGTCGATACGAACAATCAAGTTTTTAATCAGTTTAGTCTAGTTGTACGTGTTGTGTGCGCCAATAGAATTTCCATCGATGTACCTTTTCTATTCGGACACTTGGTCCTGCTCAATGTTGTTTATTGCATGTTTGCTGATACTAACTAACGCAAGCCTTCTAACGCATTTCTTAAATGCCACCTCAGTTACTGCCCTCTTTATATATATAGAGATGTATGTCTAATCTTATAGTTAACCTATGGCGTGTAGGGTTTTCTTATCCATCTGTTTTTTGTACCTGTAACGCGCGGAACCGGCCGACCTGCTTCCGCTACAGATTGCGCAGCCATCAGGCCCAATGCTACGAGTGCCATCATCGTAAAAAAATGGTGCTGGTGTCGCCGTCTCCCGAGTCCGTCTCGTATCCATACCGATAACGATAAACCTTGGAGAAAATGACACAGTCCATCATTTATCGCGTTATTACTGGCAGCACTACTGCTTATTGTGGTAGCGGTGACAATGCGTCCGCTGGCCTTTCGGCTGCCGTTGATCCTGCATCGAGAACTTAGCGTAAACCTAGTCATCGCTACCGCAACATGATACGAAATCCGACGAAACGGATTCGTTTGAACAACTGCACGAAGTCTAGGCGTCATCTAGGCCACATGCGTGAGAACGCTGGGTTGAAGACAACAAGTTATGAGTGTCAAATAAGATCTTAATCAACAGGCGTTCTCGTTGATTCTGGAGACGTTTATTCAAATAAGCAGGAGATAACCGTATTGCGAGTATCACCACTGATGTCACCGTTTGTTCCTTAGAGCTTCGTAGCTGTTCCACAAGGGTAGCCGAGGTCTATACATCGCATTTGCTTATTTTATCTGGTTGTTCCAAAGCTCGATCAGTACGTTAATGGTACAAATCACATTAATAGAACTTTATAGTTCTATTTTACTCGTTTTGTCCTCTATGGTTAAGTAGCGTATAACGTGTGCACAGACGCGACTCATTTATGTATCCGAACCGGCCGATAAACATAATTTGACAACAAGAGAAACACAGAACGCATAGGGCCATATGCAGCACAAAAGACCAATTGCGCGCCACGATGTTCCACCTTTGTCAACACAAAGAGGCAAATAGACGGACATACACGTTGTCCGTTCAACGACCAGATAGCTCGACACCAGGCGATACCCTTCTAGGCATTCCCCTCCATCGCAGAGTAGTCGCGTCTACTCTCGTCTGGAGCACTGGGCTCCTCACTCGCACACACAGTCTCCAGCTCTTCCGCTCGAGTCGGCGCATTAGATATCTATATTCTGATTGTTGATGGCTAAAGCTGCTAGGCATCGTTGTATTGTCCATTCCTGCGAATACGCACGATACGGCGTATTGGTAGGGCCGCCTCGAGCGAGAATACAGCCATATTGGTGGCTTTGAAGCATTATCTCTTTTTCTTCCTCTCTACCATAGGAGAGACTGTATTATCAAGCGGTGCACGATAATAGCGCAGCTTCACAGGACCCATGGAACCCAATCCACAGCCTCCGTGGCTAGTTTGCCTGTTGACGGTGATACCCTGCCTATGGGCGAGAAAGGGCAGAACCGCTCACGATGTGACAGTAGCTGCCAATAATGGTACTGGCAAAAACAGTAGCTGGGGTTAAATAGCCACACACTACAATCGATGTCCACAGCTTTAACATCGGTGACATGCTAGTGGGGACATTCTTTTTCGACCGACGTGGCCATTGTCCTTCTGCTACGATTAAAACTACAGCCAATGATTGTTGTGTATTGACAGAATCGAGTTCTCATCCACCGACTACGTCAGTAACGGGTACAAGAGCAGTGCTTAAAAGCCAATGAGCTATCGTAAAGGGAACGATAAGAGTTCGATATCGGGGGTCCAGAGAAGCGCGGACAAAAACGTGTGATGCTTACCACATCAAGAACCTCCTCTCTGTCGGATCGTGCGTCACTAAACTGCCGTTTAACCTCAAGCATTGCGCCGCTATGAATGCAGTGTCTGTGCGACAGTAATCCAAGCTAAAGGTGGCAGATATATAGGTGGCGGAGTTGAGGTTTGTTGCTGCTGATGGACTCGTACGGAGCTGATCAGAGATCAGAGACACATTAACGGTGAAGCTGTCGAATCGGAATCTGAAGTGCGATCGTAAATGGTGTTCGGTTCTCACGGTTGTCCAGCCCTATAGCATGGTCCGGTCAGCGATAATTATGGAGTCTATGATTAGATTGTCGTTTCGCGAATCAAAACAATTTTTACGCAATGTGAGTTTCTAATAATAATTCGAGGGTGAATGATAGCAAAGACGTCAGAGCAGGATTGATTGGTCGGGTACCACTTAAGCACCATTGTCATTCTCATCATTACCGCCAAGGACGATTTCTACCGATTTCAGTTATAGGAAACAGACCGACAAAATCGTCTATTATTAGCTTAGCTGAGAGCTTCATTTTTAGCGTTTAATTTTTGCTATGCGCATTTTCTAGCACATTTCTCACACACACACTGCAATTGCGCAGGGCTTTCGTAACCTTGAAGTTACCTGGGTCAACGAAGGAGCACACTGGCGGCATTTCTAAGGACCAAAGATGTCTTTTGAACAAATAGATGTTTTTTAGATGTATTTGATCCTCAAAAATTAATGTTTTTTTATCACGGTCATCACTTAATATAGCATAGCTGTCTAAGCCTTCTGCAGTAAGTGAGTATAAATCCGTTTTTCAATGTACAGATTTTAAATATCTGATATACCTTTCCTCCAATTTAAAGGCCACGGGCTGGCTCTACTAGAGAGCGAACAGAAACCATAACCTGAAAGTACTTAACGACAATAGGCTCAGTCCAGACGTATTATCTACCCTCATCATTACAACACGACCAGTTACAGATTTCGGAACAAAGATATCTAACATAAACTCGACGACAGAGAGGCGATTGCTTTGCGGTGCGCGACCACCGCCTGCCATACTCTTTAGGAATTCTACCTGACACCATTTCAAGCTGACTATTATGATAAAAGCCCATATAGAAAAGCCACTTGGCTATCATTTTAACGGCGCAGGTAAAATGTCATTGACCGGATAAGAGCCTTCGAATTTTTCACACGTTTCTTTTTTCTTTTGTGAACTTCACTGCTACCGTGAATCACTCGAGCAATCGATGTGATTCTAAAGTGAACTATCGCTAGCATCGACGTGGAGCACCGAAAAGAAAACCTCTCTATGCATGACCTGTTGAGTCTGTATAAGCACCATCTGTTGCTGAAATCTGGGGTGTAGCATTTACTGGCATGATGCTGCCTGCTAGTACCCGCCCTAGGGTCTATAAAATAGATTAGGTCGCGTTGATAACGACTATGTCATGTATGTATGCAACGAGCTGCATTACCCCGAAGATAGATATATGATATTGTAACACTGCAAAACAGATAACGTTAGTATTATTTGGCTTACTAATTTTTTGGGACTGAAAAGCTCACGTTTGTTCTCGAATAATAAGTGAAACGAAATGACAACACGACCAAACGGATCATTGAATCACTTGCTATAGAAGACAGAATACGGTCATAATTCATACTAGGCCAAGGCGGACTAACCTTTAAGTTTGGAATTATCTTATGTAACCGCGCCGTTAAAACACGAGAGAGTAAGTGAAAGCGCATGAAAGATATGAGATACTTTATCATGCTTCCGTATGGACGCATAAGCAACAAGTTCTTAGTTTAAGCGAAGCAGAATACCAAATGCGCTATGGTAGCCCGTATAGCATCCCTAATTCTTAGAAGTGCAATTAACTTGCATTTTACCCAATATCCTCTCAAATATCAACCAATGAAATTACCCTCTCATATTGGCTAGCATTAGATAGTTCACAGAGGAATCAACGAAAGCAAAGAGATCAGAGCAGCTGGTATTATTTGAACGAATGAAAAGTGACTGATTCCCATCGCATCATCCCAGCACAGTTTCGAATAATTCTCGGTTGAAATCGATTCTCCAACAGAACGAGGACTATCAGAATAGTCTTGAAAGTTTCGGATCGACATTCTTTTCGTCTAATGTTTCTGTCATTCTATCGTCTTATAATCAGGCTTCTCGAAAATCCAGTAGTTCGATCTGGAATACAAGCACAACACATACCAATAACAAACGCTCAAGTATTGTTCGAACGCTAATACTATACCATTTTCAAATAATTTTGTTTATATATCGTTTTTGCACTCGCTCGTAATATCGATGTCTGCAGGTATGGAGTTCATCCAGCAATAAACAGAAGGTAGGTAAAATATTTGTTAAGTTATATATCCTTGATTCATGTGTACAAACCGGTCCGGCGTCAGTGGCAATCGCGATCTTATCACCTCGGGAGCTCCACCTCACTCGAAACGGGAACCCGGTAAATTTGTGCAAGTATCTGACCTTGCCAGTCAGAGGGCTCCAGATATACAGCCATCGATCGGAAGAGACGCTAGCAAGGTAACGCCCATCTGGCGAGTACGCAAAGGTATGCACATCTTTTTCATGTTTTATAAACCTGCGCAGACATTTCCGCTGATCGACGTCCCATATAGAGATCTGATAATGAAAATACAAACGAAACAACAATGGCCTTCGCGCGAACGTTGCTTCAATTCATTGTCAGCATTCGCTCTACGCATTTTACCACTATCTTCTACCATTTACTAACTATTATGGTGTAAGGGGTTTGATTGTAAATTTACTAAGAAAGTATTTGTTCAGTTTCTATGAAGAAAATTCCGAAGTTCAATGCAATTCTATGCTAAGAAAAATAACATACAGAAAATGTTGAAATTGTCAATTATAGATTACAACAGCTAATCAAATATGTGAAAGCAGTAAAAGTTCGCATGTATTGCTATAACTGGGCTACTTCTTATCACAAGCGACTACGACCCCCCACCATACACTGATACTCTGCTAAAAGCATCATTTTGGTCGAAGACAAATCAAACAAACGCCTTGCATACAGGTGGTTATACATGATTTTTTTTAAAAAGTATATAGCCGAATCATTTGCTAAAATATCATTACACCTACCATTATATCAAAGACTAAAGCTAACTTCGGTCTTTTCCCGTCGTTGACGGTTCCTGGACCTGTTGGGCTCCACTGAATTTTGCGAATTTCGGAAAACCCATAGATGCTGTCGACTAGTCTTCCTTGAGACGCGCCATTCGACAACATCCAAACCTTTATCAGTTCGTTATTCGAGCGACAAGCCAGCAGCTCGCTGTCAGCATGCCATATCATTTCGTGCACCGCGCCTGTATGACCTTGAAATATTCTGATGGGCGCAGTAACGCCTAATTGGAAGATATGGACAAGCGGTTCATAAACTGAACAAGTAGCAAAGGTATTTCTGTTTAACCAGGCTACATCCGACACGGGTTGCTCATAATCGCATTGGAACCGCTCTTTGCTGTATTGGGCTCCAACGTCCAGAACAGTAACTGATCCAATTTTCTTGTGTTGACCTCCAATCAGAAGGTGACTCCATTTCTCATTCCACTTGAGGACGGAAGTCGGCGAAATATCCGTGTCAACTGTTTTGATACATTTCCCTTGTGTTGTCCATATATGAACGACACCGTCTTCTGATACCGTGGCTAGTACTATTCCCTGAGGGTGCCAGGCTAGTGACTTCATTGCCTTGTCGCCTAACACTACAGCTCCGTGTAGATCAATCTTAGGTGGCGATTTTATTGATGAAGGATCCGTTTGAGCAAAGCGATGTAACTGTTTCTCGTTTAGATTCCAAATGTGTGCTTTGGAGTCGAATCTAATGGAAGCCAATAGATCTGATGAGGGATGCCATTCGAAGACGCTGTTCATGCTGGTGTGGTATTCTGGGAGGGCTATTACTCGTGGAGAACGTGACTCGGAGGAACTTCCTGGTTCATAAATAACACTGGTATCAGCCTATTAGGCAATCGTATATTACATTATTATTATCATCATAATCGGTTTGCGATGTTTTTTTTTTTGAGTTTTACGATGCATCGTCTAGAATACTCAAAAAAGTGGAGGAGAGAATAATTTGAGAACGTTATCTTAATCGCACGTGGGGAGGCCGGAAACTAATTTTATTTACTTGACTTCTTGATCCTTCGAAGCGCGTGTCTCAGCTATAGTACGCTTTTATAAACGGAAGCAAAGTCTACATCCCTTATATAGCTAAGAGCTCTTCAACTTTTTCTGTTTTTCTCAAATATTTCCATATTTGTAAACCCTGGCTTTAAAAAGATGATTACTCATTGTCTTACTAGTAAGTTGAAGTTACGTATATCCCATCGATACAGTGAATGCAATTCGCGCCACTCGCTTGTGCTGCTTGACAAAGGTTTTGCTTCTGCCGCGCGTACAACTTCCGAGTGAATTTTTCTGACTGCGCAAGTACGAAAAGTCGCATTTGTTTTGTTTACTCTGCCAATTCGGAATTACAGTGAACTGCGTTCTACTTGAAAAATCGAACGCACCTATGACAGCAACGCTTAACCCGTAATCACATACTTATTTTATTTAAGAAACCACAACAAGAATATTAACCTGTTCTTGTTAATAAATCACAGAAAGGATAATATAGAAAGATAGGCAAGCACACATGAGTTAACTTATCACCCTTAATAGGGTAGTATAGTAGTTGTCGCTATATAACAGTACCGTTTCGAATTCGATCTACAGAGGAACTGCGCGTTGGGTAGACGCCTAAAACGGAATTATTTTTCTAAGAAATTCGAACGTAATATACGGATCAGATAAAAACACACTGCCAGGTACAAACCGTGATTGTGTACAGTTTGTGGTGACATAAGACATTGATACGTTGTTTAGCACTGCGTAACTATCAAGAGAAGCCACAAACCTTTTCGAGGTGAGCTGAAGAGGAAAAAATCACGGAGGTGCTTGAACATCGCTCGAATGAATGCTAATATGAGCTGTCTGAACGCTACTTGCGGAGGTCAACCTTGTACCCATTCAATATATGATAAATAGTAAAATTAGTACTCGATAGAAACGAAGTATTAGTCAACGATGCTTTACGAATTGTTGTCTGCATGTCAGCCGGGTGCTCACAGTTTCTTTGTCACCTAAGATAACGAGCTTGTAGTGTGTACTAGTAATGAATTTTGTGAGCTTTGTACACCTTGACAAATGAAAAAGCCACCTACAGCTTGCTCGAGCCAAGACCTATGCGACTTGCAAAATACATACAATAATCTCCGTGAAACGGTGCCAATAATGACAACCAATCGGCTCCAATCGGCTTACAACAATTGTACAACTTTATTATTCGATAACTACCTGCACACTAGCCGTCATCGAATTGTCATAATCACCATACCGCCATACTAAACGATTTAACAACACTAATCACGCTAAATTCAATCTACGTCTACTCGCTGCCATCTCACCAGTTTTTGACGTACGCACCCCGATAGGCTTGTACACACGTCGATCATAACTAGCTGCATATTAACTGCAAATACTCATACATCTCATCCATGCATGGAACCCCTTTCTCTGCATTTTGCTGTCATCTCATCATCTACCGGTAATACTGAGTGACTGCGAACAGACAAAACATCGCAGTCATCTTTATACTCAATAGTTTTCTCCATTGTTACACACTAAATCGAACTGTAAATGTATGAAAAGAGGATATTAAGTTGAACATGTGAGTCATGGGTAGTACTCTACGGTCGCCGTCCCTGGCTTGTCTTCCATTTAACTTTTTCACAACATACAATCCCGCTGTCCGGATCTATTGCATGTCATTACAGATGTAATTGTGTTATGTTGAGACTATTAGCTCTGTATTGTTCCAACTGCATTTGATACATTTGATACCATACGTGGTTATAGTAGCCTTTTATTATGATAATAATTGTAGTGGTTTCGAGAATCGCGGAAACCTATTTCAACTTGCTCACTAGGTACTAAAATGGAGATCTAATCTTAACACCTAGGCTACAGCTGTTAAGTCACCGACGCACATACCAGAATGGTTTTGTAAGAAGTAGACTAAGTCGTGTAAGTAGAAATGATGATATTTGGGAATGCAAGAAACCTTGCCAATACCTCTTGAGTTTTTAGCTCACCTCACTATTCGCCTTTATTTTGAATTTCACGCTAATAAATCATGATGTCAGCCGAAACAGCAAGGATGAAATTTTTTACTAATATAGTCCTTATTAAAAGCAGTGATATTACACCACAGACGTTTTATTTTATTGTTTAATCACACACACAGAGACAAATTATAAAAGATGCAAACATAAAAGTCATGTGCCAGACAGGCCGCCACTTTTTTTCCATATATGACTATAATGAATTAAGTATTGTACACTACTTACACACGACAGAAAAATCCAAAGTTTGTCTTTGATATTATTCAACTGTGCAACTGAAGTTACACGTTTTCTGGCGCCTGCCAAGTTTCCTAAGTAAATTAGAGAAATATTCAACTTAAGACTAGCATCAATCAATTTATGATATTCCGGATACGGCGTCAATGCCAATAGGAACGCTTGCAAACGAACTTGTCCCGAAATTTCCAGAATTAGGAAGTTGCCAAACGGTTTCTTAGTAATGGCAATATTACTGCGCAAGAAATGCCACCCTCATTACACGTTAGCTCTCCCGACCACAAAGAACCTACTTGACCTGACGAAACGATACCCACTAAAAACGTGCGTGCGTGTGTGTGTCTATATTCTCGTGTGCGTCAACCATTGCTGCCAAAATATCTATTCTTATAGCTGTTTCATTCTTCCTTATGTTTCTGTTATAATAGTTGTTGTTCTGTTTTGTTTGCTTCCGAATACATCAACAATGGCGTCGTCCTGTGATCATTAAATGTCATTACTATCTTGAAATGTTTGCCTGTGGACTAGCAGAGCGCAGAATATACTTGGAATTGGCTATTGATAAGGTTTGTTCCATGTGTTATTAGTAGGACTGTGCTGACTCAGTAATTTACGCTGTTCATTCATTATTGATTAAATTTTAGGCTCAATTAGCACGGATTGCGTGCTGGGGCTGTTGACCTCGGCCGGCTCCTTTCTTGAGGTTTTGCTGTTCGTTCTGAGCCTGTCGGCCGAGATACTCCCAGTTGTGGACCATGAGCTTCTGGACGCAGAGAAGAGCCTCATAGCGAACGTTTGGATCACCGTGCGACAGCAGTTGCATCACACGGTGCTTTCCGTTGAGCTTTTCGATGACCCTGCAGCGAGGCAATCACAAATGATTTCAACAAGCAAATTAGAATAGCCATAAAGAATAGAAAATTGGACTAATAATGAGAGTAAATAACTGCAGTTGTTTATGACATTATAGCAGAGTCATTTGGGTCCAATTAGGGGCTTCAGGTTAACGATTCGTGACACAAGTACCGCTTAACTTCACCTTTTTAAAAAATTTTCACATATCTCACTGAAATTGGCTTTTTGTGAATTGAAAAGGTCGCTCATCCGCTAATATCCTCTAATTAATTCTCCAGCAAATTAACTAAAATCGACTTTTAATTATAAAAACAGCAACATAGTATATACAACTTCGTATGTAAGGAGTGACAGTAAGTTTGGTGAATTTTTTTGACAGTAAGTTTGGTGAAGGATGAATTATTTAGCTTTATTAGGTTCTACTTTAATAATTTAACTGGATGTTCCTATAATATGAAGTCACTTACTGTTTTCCACGGGGATAATGCCGAACATATTCTCCCAAGTCGTGAGCAGCCACCGTCACAATCAAGGGGTCCTCACTTTCAAGCAACGAGATAAGCATTTTTAAAAGTTCATAGTTCTTTTCGTTCAGCTTTTCAGCGTTCTCGCGCCAAAACTTCTCAGACGAATGAACCGGTGACCATTCAAGTCGGCCCGTCTTGATCTCATTAACGTACTCGTCGAATGAAGACATGTCTTGTTCCTGCAACGAAATAGACAACTTTCACGCTCTGTAGGTATCCTTTTCACATTTTGCTGGTTAAGGCAAATGACATGTTAGCTAAGATATGTGAGTGACATTGTATACGACTAAGAAGAACGGAATAACTTGAAAAGGAACAGGTGATGTTACAGATATCAGTATCAAACCCATAGATTAACAAAGCGATTCGTTATACATAACATCTCTACAGTTATGATTTAACAACAAATACACCGAGATGAATACGTACGAGAATTTGGAGCTTTTCGACAAGGTAGGTGATATCTTCAGCTACATCCGGATCCTCACGCGGGTTCTGCTGCAAGTTCACGAGATTCTTGAGCACCTTGCATTGGATCATGTTGATCGAATTTTCGCGAACAATTGAAGGCTCTTCGGGCTTCTCCAGGAAATTCTATCGTAAGACAAATAATTGTAAAAAGAGAATACGTTGAACGCACGATAAGATCCAAACACCACTTAATCCATAGTGTTAGAATCACTAGTGACCCCACTCTTCGTCAACCATTCACTGCGATATAAAAAATAGTGACCACTACTAACGTTCGCTTATTCGTACCCTGAGCGTGGCGAGGACAATTCGAGTTACTTTTTCCTTCTGGCTCTGAGTGAGCAGGTCAGCGAGGACTGGCACGATGTTCATTTGGCTCATGCGAGCACACAGCGGCCCATTGAATGCGAGCACCCACAGGCAAAACGTGCACTGATACTGCATCTGGAAGTTGAGCTGCCCCACGCGAAGTACTTCCACAATGCTACAGAACGTGTGATGAATTAGCCATATACGTATTTATGTAAAAGCTAAACAACTTTTTAAACAGATATGAGCAAACTGAGATAATACTCGTAAAAAAATTCGTAGATAAAATTCGTGAGAACGAGTTTTATATTATTTATATTATTAACATAACATCTAGTGAAGACAATCCGATGCGTTTCAGACCTGTCGGACAAGGTACGCCTAATCAATAAGACAGTTCAGACAAACTTTTTTTCGAAATTTCTTATATTCATTATTTTTTGTTAAAAAATGTTGACTCACGTATTGATTCCGTTGACTGCATCAAACGGCTTTCGGTAATCGTCAATCCGCAGCATCATCTGCAGACATCGGGCTGCACTTTGCACGTACTCATTATTCTAAGTAGAAAGTGATGAACATGGTAGTACATAATAATACAATTAATTAAGTACACTAATAATTACGAATACTTTTTAGTAGTAAAATGCGGATATATAGGTCAATCTGCTCAATCCACCAATATACTCCATTATGTGCTGCTGTTCTTATAATATCAGCCAACACGAACAGGTAAAGTACAAAGAAACGTAGTCGCCTAAATAGTCAATTCCATCATGCTTACCGGCAGCTTAAGTTGATTCCGTAGCCAGATGAGGTACTTTGACAGATCGGGATCCTCCATACGAAGTCTTCCGTTGCAAGCGATTTTTGCAATAATACGGGCCGCCATGTTCGCAATAAACCCGTCCTGACGGCCAAGCAAATCGAGAAATGGCGCATATACCGATTCTTTGTGTTTGCGTGTGTAGTCCCGGAACAGGTCCACCCGATCAGGACTCTCTTCGAGCATGTCGTCGATAAGGATAAGCAGATACTGTACGGTCTGGTCCTTCGATATGTTTGCCACCAAACTACACAGCGTCTTGGCGCATTGTTGGCGAGCCTAATTTCATTCAAACGAGACGCCAGAACTCAAGTAAAGTTTACCGCACAATCTAACTAAAGAAATGCTTTTAGATCTGCGTCTCGTGCTACTTACCTTAAATACTGCTTCGAATGGCTTGGTTTTTCCAGTACGAAATAAAGTGTGTCTAGGCTCGGTTATGAACTTGGACCACCTCATATGTCAGTGATTTTAGTAGGCAAATTCGTTACCACTGAATGGTGACAGAAACACGGTGCACTGTTACTTATCAGCATTTTAGCGATAAATGTGTACGTCGCTTTGCGTGACGCTTAGCCAAACTGCTGTTTCATGATACTAATTGTATTAAATTTACCTGTTCGGTGCTAAGAAGCTTCGTACGAGCTTCAGCGTTAGTAGCCTGTTCATAAGACGTCAGGAATTGGTAGTCATCCTGGGTGATCATGTGCATCCTGATGAGATTTTATTAACAACAAAAGAGGAAGCATTAAAATTTAAATTAACTGGGCAACTATTTCATTTTTTGGGAAAAGCAGAGAAAAGGGGCTTCGGATTAAAGTGTACTACTCAGAAGATAAATTGATCTCTTCGTTCGCATTTTTCCACATTCTGCGTTCACATACAAGCAGCGTTTTGGCGTTACTTCTAAACGTGCGTGCATACGAACGACGTTTGCACAATATAGGATGAATACGTCTAAATGCTGAACAGGCGGGACGAATCGATGTACTGCCAATTAGCCACACAAATGTTATGAGAAAATAATACGAACTGTTTGTAGGATGCCCAGTTGACGTTTTGCTGCTTGATATCGAGCGCCTTCTGGTGCAGCAAACTGTTGACTGCGACCACGCCTGAAAATTTGAATAAAAACCAAAAAAAATGTCATTTAATGTCAACGAAAAATATACTGCTCTTTTTTTATTCTGTCAATGCCGCTAATTCATTATTTGATACACCGTTTTTCATTACGGTTTTTTTTTATTGCTCTTTGGTATCATAAACACGCAGGTTGAAAAGCAACTAGATTGAATATCTGGCCTTCTACTATTATTTTGACAAAAACGCGTAAATGTGGACATTGAACTGTTAAAGACAAAATAAAACTGAAAGATAACGATAAACGTATAGAAAACAAATACTATTTCAACTAAATTGTATCCTCATATCACGATATATAGCACCGTATTGACGAGCACGGTGGCTTTTTGGCTTTCGGATTTCTCCATTCCTGTTTTTTAAAATATTTGTTTATTCGAATCGCGAAGTTGCGTGACCGTAGAACTCCGGAGCCTAAACATGTCCGAAATAAGAAGAATTCCTCACTCCTAGATTATTTGTTATAAATACAACAAGAAACACTTCAATGTATAGTATGTTATTATTACTGATTGTTTCCAAGCTCAGTATAAATGCGCAGTCGGTGTGACCTGCGGCTCCTCAAATAAATCGTATTCATAAAGCTATGCGAGTTCAGTCCTTTTAAAAGATGCCGTAGATTTCCCGTGGTTGTTTGTATTTAGAACATCATCCAGGTTCCTTACGAGGTTTATGCAGCCAACTTGACCAAAGGTCATTACAAAGCCGTACCAGGTTTTAACACTACCTAGAGACAAAGACCACTCGCTTTATTTTGGCTCAACGTATTTGCCAGTATTTCGATTATTTTTAAAGGTTACGTGAGGTAACCTTTAAGATGTAAAGTTGCACCGTATAAGGTACAGCTTTGCGGAACTCGAGCCAGCCTACGGTTTGCCCTTGGAGAGTGTCACTTAAACTGTCGTTAATAATTCAAAGGTATGCTTAGTATTGAACCAATGCTTGGCCTCGCATTTAAAGATTTCAATAATAGTCCAATGGGTTTTTGCTGGAAAAAGGCTACTCGAAAATTTAAGACGTAGTGGGACAGTTACATCTTTAATTCCGTATTCCATTCAGAAATTTTATTTTATTCAAAAAATATTTCAATATCTTGGAAAAATAGATAAAAATAGAACGTACATGAACTGATAATGCACGTCACAAAGTACTCAACTAAAATCCAGCTGATGTTTCAATGAAGCTCAAACCATGACAAAACTCACCACTTTTAGAGATAAAACCTGAGGTGACCACTTTTGGCATGCTGGGACATACCGGGAATGGGCTCCCCCAAAAGGGTAATCTATATAGAGTTCCTGCACTAAAATTAGTTGAATACGGCTTGCATTCCGTCTAATAGCGTCCTCACCCAATTCGCATGAAGCTTAGACATGTAAACCTCTGCTACATGAATTTCAACATGTAAATTAGAAAGATGTTCACATGTGCACAAGGGACCTCTATATCTATGTATGCACGCTACAAAACTATACTTCCTAATTGTGCATCATTTTCCCATACAATTTCATTCGCAGTCTCCTAAGTGAAATGAGCTTCACACATTGGAGCTTGTAGCTACGTGCAAGTTTTAGATTCAATGCTTCTATGTATTACCACTCGGATGCTTACCTGGTCTGAGAAAAAGCGAAAATTAAAGAAAGAGAAATTACTTTCAGTTTTATTTTTCTCGTCTCGTGTTCACACCTAATCTAGACAGAACTCGCTTTTGCAAAAGTTAGTTTTTTCTTTTGTGACATACCTTTTTCTATGTCCCTCGGCATGTGCGAGAGCATCTGGTCAAAGCTCTGTTGACGGCCTGACATTTTGACGGGGTTACTGTCAGAAAATCAGCTACTGCTTTTTATAGAAGAAAATGAGGCGCATACGAATTTCCCTCGCCTATTCGTGCAGAGCACAGTACTCAGTCTGGCACCCGCAATATTGTTATAACCTCGAAAGCTTCACCGGTTACATGAAGTTTACTTGCAAATGGTGAAGGAAAATAACACAAAATCGCTTACGACGCTGCCCTGTCTTGGATCAGATCGCACATATACACATACACACGGAGACACGTATAGGACAACCTTATAGTTCAAGCATTGTTCGTTCATATAAACACCAGAAAACTCAAACAGGAGGAACGAATGTCTATCACAGTATAACGGTGACTTCTCAACCAATGTGAGAGATTCTGAGATGGTCGTGCGCGATTTGCTACGACTTGAGCGCCCGATTGGTCTTGCTCTGCGTGTAAACCTTAACCCTATATAGATAAACTGGTCTCTCGTGTAAAAGCTTTTTGATGCGTTTTTATGTGACGAGACGTCGATAATTAGCTGGCTCACTCGAGATGGGTGCGGTCTTCCTCCAAGGGAATCACCGCTAGGGTACCACTCAAATAGTTAACTCAATGGTGCTTTTTGTCCACACGGTCACCTAGACGCAGAGCGGATGCATATTAAACCAATAATACGTAGACAGCAACGCTTTGTGGCAAAAGTAGTAACTGAATCAGCAAGAGCATTGGCAGCTCTAAACGAGCGGAGTTAAATCAGCTGATTACGTTGAACACGAGTGGGGGACCTTTAGCGAAACCCCGCCAAATTTAATAGTGTTTCTTTCTTTACTTGACTTACGGTGTTATATTAAGGGTAACGAAAATGTACTAGTTCATGCGTGATTTATTAAAAGTATGTATGTGCTAATTTTTCAGTAAATAATTTTACACACAGCAATATAACGCCAAGCAATACCCGAAAGGAACGCTTTTATATAATTTATAGAAAGCTAAGGACTTATTCCTTACCACTCCATCCGGTATGACGCCCACGGTGGCCAAATAAAATTACAAAAGCGATGGTACTTTGGCCAGAGCACACAAGTTTGCCGTAATAGTTTGATATACTATTCTTGTTATGCATAACTAAATGCCGTCTTTTTTTAACGTCCTCTTTTCGCTTTATTTGTCCATTGTTTATTTATCCATTCAGAAGCATTTTCCCTCCCACATACAGGTGTTTGTTATAATATAGTTGTGCTATAATATAGTTGTACAGAAGTCCTTATAATATTGTCGAAGGGTTAACTGTACATCTATATGTCGAGTTTAAGCTATAAATGTGTTTTGTTACTTAGTTTATTTCCTTATTAAGCAAAATGAAAAAAAAACTATGAAATAAGCCTAGGACATCTCTGTCCGGCAAAGTGTGGACTCCCTGCCTAAGAGGGCTCGTCAAAGGTGGCATTATTAGATGCCATCCTGAAATTAGAGAATGAACCGTGCCTCGATCGGTCATCCGAGGTGGCCTGAAGGCACTCAGAGGAAGAAAGCTAGTAGACAACTCGAATTAGCCGGGAACATGGATTGTGATCAGTCAGCATGCAATAAGCCATGTTATACGTGAACAAGGTTTTGCAACAGAAAAGACCCAATAGAGAAAGCCCGGCTATTTCCTCCCACGACAAAGCCAGGCTACAGGCTGTAAAAGTGGTTGAAGCCATCCTTGTACTAGAGGTTTTTGCATTTATTATATTCTTCAGGCTCCACACCGTCGGATTACCATACCCTTCGATCGCTGGCGAGGAAATGCCTAAGAGTATATTTGCAATTAAAACTGCTGAAATATCCTTCGATATCGAATATTTGCAATGAAAACTGCTGAAATATCCTTCGATATTTTCGATATCGAAGGATATTTCAGATACGAAACGGCACAAATCAGTTACTTAAGACATGGGTGAAAATGAAGAGAATGACGGCAAATCCGAGTAGAATGATGTACCTTTGTTAGGTGGCAAATTGCAATTACTAATAAATAAGCCAAATATATCTAACATTTATATGTTTAGCGCTTATGTTTGTTAATGCGTCCCTCAATATCTACCATTCGCGTTTTTCCGATTTCATTTAACGTGTTTAACGAAACCATACCTTAATGGATCGAGTCATTGCAGCATGGTAACTCACCAGGGGGTTCCTGCTCGACACGTCTAAACTTTTCCTTTCGTAATTTCTGGTGAGCCTTACGTAGCTTATCTTGTTTCTCTAGCTCTTCAATATCTTTCAGTACCGTTCCCACAGTCCGAGTGTAGATGTCGTCCCTGTTTTCGCTCCGATTCCGCGCCCTATCCGTACTTAAATTTTTTTTGTACTTGGCTCGGCGTATTGGACAGCCCTTGTTGTCTGACCGTTTGCGAACCTCTCGGAGAATTTGAGACGTTGTCTTTTCCACCTTAGCCTCTTGGTTTTTCTCGCAATCTTTCTTCTTCTTAATCTTCCTGTTATAAGTAGCTCCGCCTCTCGGCGCACCGAACATTCTCCGCAGAGCGCTTCGAAAAATTGTCACACATCGTGACGTCCAACCACACATACGGGTACAATCACGCCTCTGGATAACATCCAGGACGACTTTAGTAGGGCCTTAGTGTAATCAAAAGATCGGAACTATTGCTATACGGCCTAGTTTGAGCACCCCCGCCACGCGACATACAGCACACTAGGTCACTTGACTACCATCACAGGACTACAGAATTCCAGGCAGAGTTAGACCACAACGCCGCATTCAGTAAGAATTAAATTCTACTCTGGCGCGAAACCTATCAACGCCGAGCATGAGTAGGGGTCGGCTTCGTTGTTCTCTCTTCTTTTTCGACCTATTCCTACGGTGTAGATAAATGATAGGAAGCTCCCGATATGAGTAGTGCTGCAAATATAAGCAGCCCTTGAACGTAAACTAAACCTCAACAATAGCTTAGTCAAGGGTAACCACAGTTCAAGCGACAGTCCGTGGTTCCGTGAAGGGTCGTTTGCAGCCGTTTTGCAACGATTGATACCCTATAGCCGGCAAGTCGGGCAGATAGAGAATGCGCGAAAAAATCGGCAGCCTTTCGACCTGAAGGACTGGTGTAGTTCGTGTGTTTTGCCGGAGAATTAACGTGTGAACATGCGCAAGCAATATATCAAAGTCTAACAATCGTGAGTCCCGCATGCAGCCATTAGTTTGACGGATTATATCTTCAACATAAACTAGTACGTCAATAAGCTGATGCTATGTAACTGTGTTGAACCATGTCTAGGCATCTTGTAACGCTTTCAGATTTTCGAACTTGACAGCTGCCGCACCACCGGGAATGTAGAAGATAAGCCGATCTTTGATTCAACCTCATATGTACGTTTCGACTAGCTTAAAATGAGTTGCGGATTTGATGACAATTTATACACCTTCTCCAAAGTGTTCTTCCATTGTTCGTCACCATACGTGCTTGTCGCTCACAGATTCTTCGTATGCCTCATACAAAGCGGCACTTTGTGCTCATTCCGATGCTCGACACTTTTATGGGTGGGGCACAAGGCGATCCGTAGAATATCTAAAACTGACTATAATCATGTATTGTTGGCTGCAGAGATTGCGTCGGAGCTAATTCTGATATTGTCAGAGCTAAATTGTTTATGGAGCAACAATTCATATACGTCATAGGTGTACGTAGCCTATATATTTTATGTATTTGTATAATCCAGTGTGCACAATTGAGAGACTACCAAACAAGCATTTTTGCTGTATCGAGTATCTTCTAAAACGTATATATATATAGTACTTGTTAATATATTATTTTATAGTTTTCTTTTCCTCCAGGACTGCAGGCTCTCAACGCCGATACCTTCACCAAAAGCAAAAGTGCTTACTTTGCAATGCAATTTCTTAGTAGAAAGAGAAAACCCAACACAAAGCGAACTAAGGGAATTGTACTATGTTGGCCCACTTTTTAATTCTCTTAAATTCATTTTTTTGTGCAGTACGCTCCGTATGTACCAATATAAAAAATATGTAACATAATCCCAGTACATGAGATTTTACCGATTTGGCCGAAACACCTGCTCGTACTAATATACACGATTCTCCTTAAGAATATTGCCAAGATTACTTACCCATCCGCTGGTCCTTGACAAACTCGTCAACGATCGAGGTTCGGCGGTGAGCGGTTGATAGCCTTCGATAGGTTTGCGCCGTTTCCATAAACACCTGCAACACCTGTGCAATAGGAAATCAACGAATTTAGTCGAAAATCGTAGATAACAACACAAATGATGACGGCATCAGTCAGCTACGGCTTGAAAAATCGATTATCTTATTTGAGCCAGTGACTTTATTGCTATGTTCATCATGCACAAAAAGAGGGCAGTGACTTCGTGAGATAAACTGGTGTTTTCGAGGGCAAATACGGTGGTAACGCCAGTTGTTTATAGCCATTTGTATACAGATTACGCATTAGTATATTTATGATTAACGAACATTCTCAGGCCGTCCATCTTATTGTATGCACACATGTGTGCATACAAGGGGTCGTTTTCTGAATATCATAATTCATGTCGTTCTCGGAAGTCATATATTCTTCAAACATATTATAGAAATAATTTTTTAATTAACTTAGATTAAATTTAATACAATTTTCTCTTAAAACCGCTTTTAATTAATCTTAACCGTACTTCGATGGCGTGGAAATATACGTACGGTTTTCTAGTTGCTGAGCGCTATATCACTGATTCAGTGATTTTCTGCTCAGCTAAAATTTAGCATTTATATGATTGATTGAATATATATATATATATATATATATATATATATATATATATATATATATATATATACACTGAATGTTATGTCATATCTTATGGCTTTTTCAACATTCAAAGATCATATTCTGTATACTTCATAAACAACGATGAACTGATGCTCGCAGGCAATGTTGGATATTAATCAAACTCGTGAAGTTTCGAACATACTTTCAAGATATGATTATCAACATTTTATCGTATAGTGAACTAGCAGCTGGAATGAAAACTGTAATAGCCAATTAATAGACTCTGCTGAATGGAAAGTTGAATCACTGAACACCTTCGTGCATGATAAAATCATCGCAAGCCCAGGCCGGATTAGAACTAGCCTGGCAGTGAATGCAGCTCGAGTTGCAAAAATAATCGACTGTCTATGCAGCCCAAGAAGCAGAACTTTGTTGTTCGAATTCGCCACTTACTATAATTTTTAAGAAAAACTGTTCTCCATAGTGTTTATATAACAGAGATTGTTACACATCGTTTTTCGTAGTGTTTTTTAGATTTAGACATTACATTCGTACTCGAGGGCCCGTTTCGCTTGTGTCTACCACTTCAATTTTATTATCTTTCAATGCCACCAGGGGGTATCCGTTAAAATACCTAAGGCTAGATTAGCGGAACACTCATTTTATCTTTGCAAGCGTCTTGTTCATTCATCATAAAATTGGGTTATCTTTTTCCAAACATTTTTTTAGTTCATCTTGATTTTATGATGAATACCTTAAGGCAGGATAAGATGAAATACCTGCGGAACTGATTGTGACTGAGTGTTCAGCGGCTTCTGCCTTCAATTTAATAAATTGAGTACGTGGACCAAAGTACCAAATGATTATTGCTCATTGAAGATATATCATAGTTTTAAGCTTTGTGCCATCTCTTAATTTGCAATTATTAACAGTAGGCATCTTGAGCACAACTTTTTCTTGTCTACTGGACGCTTTACTGATAGTGCCTATACATTTTCGGAGAGAATACTCTAGTTCCAGCACGTCAACCATGTTGAGGTGGAAGCTGTCTCTCACATTATCGTCATTTGCTTAGAAATTAGGCAAGATGTGCTTAAGATGGCTTTGTTTCTGCCCTTCACTATTGTAGAATTCTTCGTATAGACATTTTCGACGGAAAATCGCTTGGTTCAATCACGCTCTAAATGACTGAGAAAGGTATTACTGTAACAAAGGAAAATGTGCCCGCTCCTGACAGGTCGCAAGGAGTGGTGACCAATTCATCCTCACAGAGCCGCAACAAGTCTGCGAACATCGAAGAAATCGTATTCTCTAAGCACACTCCGCTAAACAAAGAAATCTCGATGGCCACTGGTGAGTTTGACACTGGATATCTGTACGTGTATTATGCGTGTATCAGCTAATGGTAAAATTGGTCATAAAAACCCAAACTTTGATGTAGCTGCGCTTATGATGAGGACTTATGATAGTTACGATAGATTAGCACAACGATAAAAAATTTTATATGAAGCTTGCAACAGTGAGCGTGACGATAGTCCAATTTTGCTATCCTTTTCCTGCTCGCTTTGCACTCTTGTGTCACCGGCCAGTGTTTCATGTGGTAAGCGCGCGATGTCTTCCTCATACGCTACGATCGTGCCTTAACGAAACTCCCAAACGAGTTTTACGTATTGGAATAAATTGTTCAGCCCAACTATAGTGCTTAGTAAAATCTGTTAAGGGTGAGAAGATTAGCCCTGTGTGATTGATATATATATATATATATATACCTGATCATGTTGCTCTTCTTTTATCGCGTATTTCGTCATCTTAAAACCGCGAAGCTGCTTGGCAGGTGGCCGGTGGTTCTGAAAGAGCATCCGTTAGTAACAGAAGACAAACAAATTAATTTTAAAACAAAAAAGTACTAACCTTGTTGAGAAGCACATAAGTTAGTGAAATTAAAAAAGACGAGGTAGTCATATCCGAATATTAATTTACACCTACATAGAAAACACATTGATCACGTGTACAAACCCACATTCGCCAGAAAAGTCATTCAAGGCGTTTCTCTCAAAGCGTTGTGTACTCCTCCATATTTGAAAGGAACTCTCGTTAGACTATAAATTAAATTACCATCAATGCACGAGACGCAAAATAAATTCGGGAGCAACGACAGAAATAAAGATCTCCCTATACTAGCTAAACTAAAAGATCGTTTATTCACTATGCTCACGGTCCAAGTCTTGCCGAACAGTGGGGTTTGTGAAAAATTACGTACGTCGTAATATATATGCATGCTATGTAATCACGGGCTTATCATGTTATGAGCTTTTGAAATTGTTTTTCTGTTGAGTTCAGAGCGATCCAGTTCTTTTTCGTAGCGATGGAGCTCCTTAAGCCTTGTACAATAGTTTGCCACCGTTTTTCTGTCCCCTACGCGTGAATCTCTCACACAGAACACTAATGTTCGACAATCAAGGAAGGCTGTGTCTAAGGCAGCTCTAGCTTATATGGTGCCAACAGACAAACACAAACCAGCCGACCAACTGCTTTATCATGTACCCTATTCGTAACATATCTCCACTGAGTATATTCTTAATCCATGTCACAGGCCGTTTTCCAACTATGTTCAGAAACTGAATTCCAATAAACAACTCTTTTTACTTGCTAACCAAGCAGCTGTTAACGAATGTCTTATTTCTCTCTTATGCCTACCATGCTGATGCACTCGATCTGTTGCCTATACACAGTAAAGGACTCTGCACTAGTCTACCGCGAGTGTCACCATCCAGGACCACGAACCGAACAGGCCCCCAGCCTGCCAACAGATCTTAGTCAATTTTACTATTACGGTAGTGCGTAAAATCGTTTCGTTTGCTGGCCCTTAATGTGGCCAGAGCGCCTATTGTTTAGCGGTTTAGCTGTCACTGCTTCGACACCAGCATTTCACTCAGCGCTCATCCGCTCTTACTCGCTCCATCACCGTTTTAGACTCTGTGACGGTCACGGAAAACACTACTTTCTACGGCAGATATGTCGTCTCTGACGTCCATCGTCAATTGTCTGCCTGGCCATGGAGACGACACTCGATGCACCTTTACACCACGGATAGACCAGAAAAAGAGAGGGGAATGTACAGGATTCTCGTATGTCAGGAACTGTTCGTCCATGGAGAGCTGGCGGCCAATGAACCATCTGTGCGGTCAGTAGAAACAACAATGGAAGCCATGCCAATCAGCTTGGTGCTTTTACGCACCCACATAATGCAGAGCAGAGCGAGGTGAGTGGCTCCGACCCAGTTCGACACGCTCGTTGCGATTGCCCTGTCGTCGTGGCTGTTTAGTCAATCGCTCCGTTGCGGGGCGGGTGCTCTGACACGCCGGAGTACGCTGCTTGACTGGCTTCTGGCACAATGCCATCCTCAATTTTGTCCCCCAGCTGTCGACGTACGTAAGCACCCCTGCTAAACCATCAAATTGAGTTTATTGTAGGGTTTGTAAAACTTCGTGGGGTTGTAGGCGTGTCGCCGACTCATTCTCCGTATTGGTGTTCTCTAGAAACTCCCCTCGAGAGCGAGACCGTATAAGCAATCCTAGACGGAAGCTACATTAAACGGTCGTAGCCTTTAAACGTTCTAAATGTACGTACCTATATAAGCGAACCCGGTACACAACGCGTAGCAGCCTTCAAACACGTCGACCGCTTACGGTAATGGTGCCACGACTGGTTTTTTGGAGTGCACTAAGTTGAATAAGTCCTATTTAAACCCCAGTGGAACGGATGAAAGAACGTGTGCTTGTAATCAGCATCGCCGAACGCCGACGATGATCGTTGCAACGGAACAATGCAGGAAAGATGCCTCGCAGTTTGTCAACAATAGGTCATGTTTTTTTGTTTTATATCAATGTCTTATATAATTATTATATTATATGGCTACTCGTAATCGATCCCACATTGCTTCGTTGACCCAAGTGTTATTCTTTAATACTTATGCGACTAGTTAGCGGAGTGAAAAGAACGTTCTTTCGTTTTATAAGGGAACGCTTTTCCCATTGCCATTCCCAATTGATTTGAAGCGTTTTCGTCTTCAAATAGTATTTGCTACTGCTTCAATATATGAAGCCTCGTGTGGCATCTCTGCAATAGAGGAATAGATCGTATAATGTAAGCCTACACGCTTCTCTCGATGTTTCTATGATCTCCTTCGCAAAATTCGTCTTTATTTATGTTTTCTTTGCAACATTCAGGACCGGCTGGTCTTCTTGTGCATCTCGAACCTCACCTTTCAGTTGTTGGTGTCAAGTCCAATGCCGACGGGTCGTTGCATTATCACAGTTATTTCCACAGCTAATGCCCGTTGCGTCTTGTCTGAACACGTGTCACCAAACGGGCACTCAACTATCACCATAAATGGGTCGAGCGCAAATCAAGGGACGGAACGTATTGATATGTTATTAGGTGTTATTGAATTGACAAGCTTGCCAGCACAGTCGAGGTTATGGATCAGTATTTGTACTATTGGATTCTAGATGCAGTGTTTATTTTATAGCTAGGATGGACAAAGTTTATTAAAAATATTAATAATTAAAATGGTGGTCGGTAGAAGGCTAGTACTTCATAACTTAGAGCGACGCCTACGTGACCTGAATTCTTTATTGACCAACAGAGCTTTCTGCGTCACAAATAGGAACTATTTGCTAACACTAATCGCTGCCAGTTTCCGGTGCCACCAACTTCCGCACGTACAATGACTAAGGACAGTGAGGACTGATTAAATAAGCCGACGATAGCTAAATCAGTTTTTACTATCCAAGAAAATGATAATCAACGTTCGCTTTAACGAACTGATATCCAGTGAGAAATCCTACATGTTAGTTCTCTACTTTTCTTAGGTAAGTTTTCCCTAAAGCTTTCGAAAACTATGAAAACATGGTTTGCACAAAATTTGGTACACAATATAGATTTGTTTGTCCGGCCTAACTGATCTGTCTGCCGAGTGGTTATAGACTCAACTTCCATTTAAAATAAATTCAAAGTTTTAAATACACACTCGTACAGTAATATTATAGATGAAACTAAACTTCGCGTATTAATAAAATAGCTGACTAATTACACATGTAGATTAAAGTAAAAGGAAAAGGAGAAAAAAAAGGACGCAAAACGAGCGGCTGGAGCAGCGACTGGTTACAAAATGGTACTCGAAAATTATAAGAAAATGAATGATAGTGAAATATGACAGCTTGTGAATTTACAGTGACTATGTTGAAAGCCAATGCAATTTCAACATCAAAAAAGACTGAGTTAAGTGAACACCGACTGCGCCGACATTGGAAAAACTAAGTAGCACATTACATGTTGTTAATAAATAGGTGTTGGGGGATCTCGAAGGAACTAACGCAAGCTAAATTTCGTTGTAGACAATGCTTACGTACTTCTCATTGCAGTTCAGTCAGATTGGCTCGTTAAGTTATAGAAGTTGACCTTTGTCCACTAAGTGATCAATGTACTGATAACAAGGCCATTGTTAAACAACTCGAAATTACGTCTATTCAAATGCGCAGCATTATCGGCGAAAGTAGGAAAAATTAAATCGTAAATTACGAACTTCTTAACTTAAATTGGGCACTCGATTCAATTATGGCCAGCTTCAATGACAACAAGAAAGGCAAGGCGTAACGCAAAGCACGAAAATTAATAGTCGCAGTTCGCTCGTAGGGAAACGGTCGATAGAATATACTTCATCCAGGTTTATGTATGTAGACGGACAAAGAATATGGCTATGATCAGCAGATATTAAACCTCTGGTGATATTGGATTTCGTATGATTTGGCCGTTACAAATTGTGCGACGCCGTGGCGTAACAAAGGGTAACTGGAATAGAGCTCGCTTTTGACAGAAATGAGACAATGTTTGAAGTAACTTCGGCAAAATGGCCGAGCTGCTTTGTTGACTGTTAAAGCAAACAAGATGCGACTATTAAACAACAAAAACGGAACACGGCTGAAAAAAGCTTCAGTCTCGACCAGCAGTCCGAATAGACGTATTTTTTCGACTACTATGTTACTTTATACGCATCTCGACTATACGCTGACCTATACGTTTTTAGCAACAAAGGCTGGCTAGCAACATTTAGCAGTATTTTGCAATTCAGTTGTGCGAAACATTGCAAAATCGGACAGAATAACCAGACACTTACTAAGGCAATCTACGTATTAAGGTAGAATACGCTCCCTTTTTTTGATACTCTGTCATTGTGTGCACTAATTAACGTCATTGAAGCATTCGTTTTCACTGGTAAAAATCCTCGTTGTGTAGCAGTATATCGTGCTGCGCATCATTCTCATGGATCATTCGAGCAGTCTAAAATTTTCACCGAACTGCCAAAGTACACAAGTAGGTTGAACGCCTTAAGTTGAACGCTAACCCTGCCTGGGCAAGCTACGGCCAATCGATACTGATATCAAATCATCTTTAGTATCTGCTTTCAGAGAAAAATGTTCTTCTCTGCAATATATTACAGTCTATAGATTGAGTGTTCCCCTTTAACTAAACGTCTGCTTTCGCTGTAAATCAACACTCCAGCGCAGTGATCGTATCCATCAGGTCCGAATATCGTTTGCGTTTAGTAGATTCAAGGCACTAGTTTCGAGAACGGAAGGTCATCTTGTGATACCTTCCGAATTCCCATGGCCTCTACAAATGTAGGAAACATACAGTTCGAACTACCGGCTGACTGGCGAATGACCTGTGCCAGGAAGGCTTGTGGATCCTTCAATCAACGCAAAGCATTAAAAGGCTACGACATGCCGCAGCTGGTTACAAGGCTGTTACAGGCCAACAAATGTCTTATGACGTTCCTATCATCAATTCAATTCAACGCTTTTTACAGAACTGTCGCTCGTTTCCACGATTAACTTATTAACGAATATAAGTTATCTGATGGACAATAACGGCACTAGCTTTAAGTAGAAATACTCTGTCCTTGGCAATGACACGAAAAATTCACTTGGGCTGCGGTGCGGAGCAACAGCATGCGACTATAGTTAAATCACCCGTAAGTTCCCTGACAGCTGAAAAACGTGTCCTATAGGGTTGTGTATCACATTATACTCTACGCTACAGACACACTTGGAGTTTTCCAGAAACAGGCTGCTACAGGACGTCACGTGAATCAATCGCGTCATGGGACAATTGCTCCTTACGACGTCGACGGCTAGCTATCTATGTTCCCTGACTGCTGCTTAACAAAGTCACAGTTTTTCGTTGTTTACGAACCAATGATTTTCTCACGTCGACATTAAGCATCCTCATTTGATTCATTGAGTAAGTTATGCCTCAAGTTCAAATACTTCATATTGCGATCGTTGAAATAAGCCGTATGTAAATTTATACTGCGGTATTTTTTGACGAATAATATCCTATGAGAAGGTTACTTCGTGGTGATAAGTATTTGACTATTGTCTTAAACATAGATGGAAAAGGAAAGGCAAAGTATTAGACAAAAAGTATAGCAATCAGTTAGAATCTATAGCGAATTAACGAAGGTTTCTCCGTGTGTCTGCTACATATTTTGCTATACAATTGAGTACTTCGAGTTTAAGGTCTGCTGCTTTGATCGTTACGCATTGCTCTTCACAGATGTCACAGGTGTCTTGTCGTTGAATGGACAAGTATTGTACGCAGTCCATACCAAATCTCCATCAGGCTGGCCTGGATCGAACGTCCAGAGTTTTTGATTACATACTGTGTGTTCAACTTCTTCATTTGAATCGATCTGTAACTTCTTTCTTAGAGTTTAAAACCAAACCGTAAAGGACAATCCATCTTTGATGACTGATCTTCGCCAGCCTATCACGGTAATATGTGACCGTCTTTCTCGAACTGTGACACACCACTCCTTTCTGTAAGAATGTGTGTGGTTGACTTATGATGATATTGCTGAAATTGCTCCCCGTACCTCTTCTACACTTTCCTTAGAAAAGCAAGAGCAACGTGATATTACCGATTAATACGAAATTCATTACCTACACACATAAGTCAAACCTGAAGCAACTGAATCAGATTCCTAGAGGTAAAGACAATAAGTTTCACTTTCTAACTTATACTTAGATTCAATACAATATCCCAATGTAGGGATAATGTTGCTTCGACAACTGCGCGCTCTATGCCACAGCATTGACACCGATTGTAGGAACGAATTGTTTTTCGTCGATACACTTCGACGTGCACACACACACACACACACACACACACAGAGACACACACATGAAGACAAGATTAAGTTTAATCAGACCAAGAAGATTGCGGTGCTGCCTTTCCCAGTGACTCACCACTTTGAAAAACGACCCTCGAAGACACCGAAGGCGTTTCTTTGACAGCCCGACTCGCGCAATGTTTGGGACTACGTTATCCACTAGTAGTTCTATTCAGATCCAGTACATGCACTAATCGCCTACTGTAATTCGTCTTCCTGCCCTTTTAGTACGGTAGATATTTCGCAGAGTTTACTTAGTTCCGTTTTGCCGTAACTATGGTATCGTCCCCTTTCAACGTAAGGACGTACTGGAATCACGCTCGTCTTAATCTCGTTCAGCAAGCCTCCGTTCCTCCGCCAAGTGGTCCTCTCCGCTACCAAGTCATCTTGTACTCGTTGAACTCCTTTTCTAAGCTGTCCTTCTTCTTATGTGGTAGCAATTCCAGCCGGCTGGTCCAGGTATACTAAGCTCTGCCCAATGAAGCGTATATGTCGTAGACAAGTAAGAGAGATCCATCAGCTAAGAAGCCAGGTTAGTTTTCCTCGGGAGAACTACGAGTGACTGCAATCGCTCCATGGGGCGGGTGGCCAACCATGCGACTTGGTCATATGACTCCCATCGAAACGCGACGCCGGTGGCGCACTCACGTAGGGACGGAGGGACGCACAAAGAAACGGACTACTCAGTCGCCACTCTGCAATTTACACTGACCGTAGTAGATCTCTCTGTTCGGACGCCGTTTTGTTACGGCTGCTGCTGGTCTGCTGTCTCCCCTACGGGAAAGCGATCGCTAGCGCCCTCACTGCAAAGGCAGCGGCGACTATTGTGGCAGCAATCACGGCTGCCGTTGCTGTTTTTCTGTCGTCGGTACAACCGGCTAACTAGACGACGAGACGGTTGCCGCCCTCGCGATCCCTGCTGTGCTCGATGCTCTTCTATTCCAACCTGTTGCTTCATTAGCACTACTAATAGCTACCAGCTGACAACTTTTAAATGCTGCTGTACTAGAATTTGATTGCTTCTGCTGTTGCTGGTAATGCGGCATCCGGTAGCGGCAGAAATTTTGTTAGCAGTCAGCTATTCCGGCTCTAAGTTACTATGACTACAGCTGTGTCGACTGTTGTGGATGCTGTTGCTTCTGCTTCTTAAGTACAGGGTGGCGCGGATGGCTCAATAGTCGCCTGCTGAAACTAACGGAAAATGGCGATGAGCGACCAAAGCGCTGCCATACCATCATAGTTCCGCTAGTGCAAATAACCACTAGGAGATCTCCATCGTTGGCATTGCTGCTGCTGCTGCTGCTACTTCCTCTTCATCTACCGTTACTACCACCGTCGTTGAGATTGTCGGTACTGTGCTTAAATAGCACATGACTGTTGGCTATTTCTATTGCGCGCGCACACAGAAGTACGCAAAACAGATTCGCTAGAGTTAGGTGCCGCTGAAACCTATGACGATGTGGCCAATGCCTTTGCCACGCATTTTTCGCTATGTCACTCCACAGAGTATCTATACTAGGTGGATGTTGCCACTTTGTCTCGGGGCAGGCGGGTAGGCAGCACGCAGGCACAAGTAAAGATTCATAATGGGCGTGGTTTGTGTGGGCTATGTGCCCGAATAATAGCTAGATACGGCAGGGGCATTAGTGGTTCTATGAGAACGATCTGGGGCCAGTAACAAACACAACACGATAAGACTGAATAATACCACTGAAGGAAGAATACCAGCAAATATGTGACAGCCGACTAGAATAACATGTTAAACGTGACGAGCATGAATTTCGCGCGGTCGTCAACTGCAGCTAGCGGAATAGTCGGCGTATATGACTCCGCCGCATCTGAAACGCATAGATGGTTTATGTCGGCAACGACTGCGAATACTTGCGCCAGATTAAAATTGCCGGGTTCTGCATGGTTTACACCATAGGAAACCCATGAAATCGTCACAAATCCCTATCATATAACGAAAGCGGAATAATCAGAAGGGGCGTAGTCCAAGCTAAAATCCTTACGTTTCGAAAGAGCATTACGGTACGAGCGTCCAGGTTATTTGATTCCAAAAAGGACACGCCTATCCCTCCTGTCATTCTAAAAGGTTTGTACTTATCTACACCGTGCAGATTATTGGACAAACATGCTTACAAGGCACAATAGCTTACGCATTAAACGGTACCCAGATGTGCACCTGGCCTCGGTTTGGATAGTCGTTTTGCGACTATTGTCAGTGGCGCTGTATTCGATGCGGGTGTTTGTTTTGCCCACCATACACGGCAGCTAAACGAATAGTTGCAAATAATAGCTGACAAGTCTTCCTAGCCTAATCGACTGTACGATAGATCTGGTTGTCAAAAATCACACGTCGGATTAGCACAGATTAACTACGGCGAACTGACGGTGAGACAGCATCCTTAGAGCGTAAAATTACCACCAGTAAGTGGTATAGGGTACCGCAGTAGGTTAAATGCCTGTCGCCGGGTTATGACCGAAACGATACTGGGCACGATTTTCTAATGAGTAGATTTTTGTATTTGCTTGTATTGTAGCTATCTATTGCACTTTACCTATATCTCTCTTAGATAATTTCCACTAAGACGGCTCTTGAAAACCTAGCCATACGTTTATTGCCGGATATGTCTATCGTTCACTGCTTAATCTAATCAGATGAAAATGTAGTTGCTATTCAGCTCTTTCCTACTTGTTTATTGCTAACAAACCGACATGATTAATTATAGATAGAGACGAAATTGGCCAGACTGCATTATAGTACATGCAGTCACTTACGCTCTGCGACTCAAACAAAAAACCCCATCACTTTTTGTTCTAGTGCCTATCCGATCCTACCGCCAAGCACAGCGCCAAAAGCCCGGCTCTCTCCAGTACGAATTTGATTGTATTTACTTCCGATCATAAGTTAAGCCCATATTCCGTAGTAGTATTTCCGTAGTAGTTCAGTAGAACTAGGTCCCAAAACTACAAAGACTTCGTTCCCATCTAACTTGAACGTACTAAACTTCTAATTATAATAAGCCTTGAAGCCATTAAAGATAACCAACATTATGTCCCATAAGCTCCTTGAGTAACTGATAGCAACAAGTAGAGTTAATTTATGGGCCGTCTCGGGTAAAACGAACTTCCAGCAGGCTTAACCCAGACCAGACAACTAAAATATGCTGCGTCTTTGAAGTAGAAATGACACTTTATTTAATGCTTATTGGATAAAACTATTTTATTTAACCAGTAGTTGTACACATTGAAAGCCTCAATTTCATTCGTTCTTGTTGGTGGAGATTTTTTTAACGAACTCTTACTTGCAGATTCTGTTTTTTTGTGTTCTTTCTATATACATCGATGGCCGCACTACTATTAAGCACACTATTTTATTCTAGTGAGCTTATCAAGAAGACCCTTGCTCTTTGAATGAGAGTTTACATAGTATCTTACATTCACTATATATGTCTGTATTAGTTCGCTGTCATCCTATGAAGTTTCGTATATTTTTGAACAGTAGTAAGAATCTCGGAGTGAGGGGATGTTGTTAGAGCCATTTGACCCAAACCTTGTATGTTCCGATTCTTTCTCACTCCACAACAGGTGAAGAGCTCACCTTCCCTATGGCCGATTTATTTGTTGAAGTCAAATATTGCCGTTCAGGAACATGTATACTTTATTATAATTACGATAATCATTATTATTACTAATATGATTAGAGAAGTGTCGCTTTATATCCCTTATATAGAGCTTGACCATAACCCGTACCCAAGCGAACAAGGACATACACGATGTGCGTAACGATCATTCATCTCTTCCTACCAATAATAATGGTCATCAGGTCAATAGCTTGCATATTCTCTGTAGAAGTTGTAGCTCGTGTGATGGCGGATGAGGTTCCTGTTCAGGGTATGCCAAGGGGTATGATAACCGAGAGTTTATCACCGTCCGCACCCCAGCTAGTTCGATTTAACTGGAACACAACGTTCCACGACACGACGATGATTAGCCAGGCAAAAGCACCAAGTGCAGATCTGACAACGTACTTCCGAATTTCAGTCTGGCCCACAAAATCCTCGCGGAAAAATGCGTCCTGAAATTATGTCATAATAATTACGTTATTAATGATTTTAAGGGTACATGCGGTAAAATTGGCCCCGTTTTCTTATTCGTAGTTGCCAGGTACGGGTCGACCCTATTCCCATGGACCCGTTTTGTCAGACGATAGGCATCAAAGAGTTCGGAAGTTGTGGAATTACGTGCCCGTTTAGTTCTAGGCGCGAATTATTTATTAGGCTTAGAGCATGAAACCAGTAAGACATCTCCATTGTCTTTAAGAAGACGGGTACAAGAAACATCCTTTTTGACAGAGGATCAAATCCGATTACAAAAAATAACTTGCTGCGGATCCTGATTGTACCCCATTCTGCTGTTACGCTACCCATCTATGCAAGCTTCCTTTTACAAACAGTATTAATAAATTGGATAGAACAACAGTACTGAAGACGCCAAAACTGTTGCAACGCCGCAGTTGGAAGTCTTTTTTTTATTCCAGATAAAATGTATCCACAGCATTTAGTAAAGACGAGGATATAGTAAATAGGTTTATATTTTTATGTGTTAAGCTAAACTTCTCAGATCATCGGCTTCCGTCCTGATTATCGCATCTATGAGCCTTATTATATTTCGTTTTGTCGTTCTTCACTTCTTTTTCGTTGCTATACTCATTTTTTAACACTTTGTTGCCAAACGAGGCTAACGACTTTGCAGATCAAAGGAAGATCTTTCCAACAGTTTACAAGGCATGGCTATCAGCACGCGAAAAGTTAAGAACGCGAGGAAATAAACAAAAAAAAGGCCACGGCTAACTTACTTATTTAATATTATATAATGGACGAACTTGAGTTGGCGTAGCTTTACCTACCCTGAAGAACCAGACTGCGTTAACAGCCCATAGAAATGGCAGAAGGAAAAAACCACCAATGAAGTATTTTCGACAGAGATCCACCTTCTCCTCATCACGTACCTGCGAATATATTAAAATGTTTATTATTATACATGAGTATAGAATGATGCAAAAACACTAAAGGGATGTATGGCGATCAAGACGTACTTTGATCCAGAAGCACTAATTAATGGAGTTCAAGACAAAAATGTTTAAAATATCAAATTCTGTATGAATCACAATATTTGAAGAAGCTAATCACTTTTCAAATTCTTTATACTAAAAAAAAAAACAATATAATCTGGAAGAATTGAAGAAAAAACATTCATCACCAAATGAATTCGTTTACTGAAACGAATAAATATATTTACAACAAGCACAGAAACATGACTATAGAGGTTTACTTTCCTAAGTCTTAAAAAAAAATTGAATTAATTTCAATAAAATTTCTTGAAGAAACTGAATCAGAAACACCCAATTCAACTCCGTACGCTGTAATGTTACACCAGGTCGAGTCTAGTGCTCTATATAGATTCGATGTTTTTTAACGAACGAATAAAGGTAACTAGTTTTTTTCTACTTCGACACAACATTAATATATTAATAGTAGTTCGAGAAATGGCAACTGATGCTGTACGACTTTATTTCGTTATTAGCTACAGGTGACCATACATATTTTGTAGCCTAGTTAAAAAAAAATTTTAACTTCCACGTCTTCAGTTTCTCAGCATACTCGATATTTTTGCATGGATGTATGTATATTACTTGGAAATGGTTTTTTCATTGTGAAAAAAAATAAGTGTTTTATGAACGTAAGGAAGCTCACCAATGTCGGTCAAGATACAGTAATCGAGAAAAAAAACCGTCTTTAAATTTGGATTGATTGGTCCAGGTTACCATACCTATGCAATAGTTTGTTAACTAAACGTGAATTAAAGCAACCAATTTGGCTGCTGTTAAAGGCTAAACTTTTCTGCAGGACTCCTATGGGCATTACGTTGGTGTTATGATTGGTCGATTCTTCTTGGGTAAATTTGCTTAAGTTCCTTCATTCAGTGTTCGCGAGCGTGTGTCTCAAATGTACTAGATTATCGTTGACTCATGTTGGTAATTGCTATTTTTAAGCTGAAAGTTGCTTTATCATCTTTGAATTAATTAATACGTCATCGTTTCTACTGTCAGTGTATCCAACTTTTTGAATTTGTACCGCCCTGTTCGAGATGATTCACATACTTTTCGTACTATAAATTTTTTTTGCGCAAAGCTTAATTTTTTCCATCACAGTCCGTACGGTGCTAATTCAAAAAGCACTGCAATCTTACTGTTCTGTAGGAACTTTTAATTTAAAATCTGTACTTGAGTTTAGCATCACCACCAGTCACCTAAACGCATCGTCAATCTAATATTTCAGAACAGAATTGCACACGTATGAGCACAACTTCTGCACACAAAGGCTGATTCTGGTTTGGCTGCCAGCTATTTTATGAGTACATATTCGTAAATAGCAGATGTGTACTGTAGTTAATAGCAAACATTAAACATAGATATATACAACTGAAATTTAAGCCAATATATTAAGGCTATAATGCCTAGTAATGTTCATATTACAAAAGTTACTAAATATATACTCAAACAATTTGTTCCTAAAGAGTTCGCGAATTGAGTATGATTCATGACTAATTCTAAACATTACTACATCTTTCTGATTCGGCTCCTACCTTACGAAGATCCATGTTTTTCGTAGCACTCACACACTTCACGGACACGAAATTGTTACTTCTTAGCAGTCTTATTCAGTCTTTATACAGGAGCGGCAATATCAACGTTGGTCCTTTCTTGGAAAGTGACTCATAGATGTCACTCTACCAAAAAGTCAAAAATAACAGTGAAAATGCGTCAATCATAGACATCCAGGACGAAATCTCCCTTAACCTAGTACCTAAGCTTGGTAGCCCTTATTTGAACCTCATTTGCTGCTGGAACGCACAAGTTATTTGTTCGAGATTTGTCTATTACTCCGTTGAAGCTGCCAAACCGTATTAATGACCCTTGTCGTTAATTATCACTAACAGCCGATAATTGTTTATTCCCAACCGCTCTCTTCTGTCTTATTAAGCCTACTCAAAGCCGGGTGTGGCATAGCATTTGACATGCCAATAGTATCTCTTTGCCATCATCGATCAACTGCCGTGTGTATACTTCTCTTTTTACTTATTATTTACCTAGTTCGATTTCTCCTGAGGCGGAACAGCCGTGTAAGCGGTATTTCCCAACCCTTCTGTCTATGGTGAATGAGCTCTATCGCAATGATGAGGATCATGGCTCCTGTCGCTTGTTTGGCAGACGACGGAACGGTCAAGTAAACAAAGTTCAAAAAAGACAAAAATCAAATTTCAATTTAAAAAATTACGTTTGCTATAAGGCGCCTAATTCCACACAGTCCTACGTCGTTGTCTCTAGGACGAAACTCTTAAACATAAGAAGAACATCCTGCAGTTAACGTCAATTGACCCAATAAGCAGTCAAAAAATTCGCACACACAAAAGGGTTCAGATTATACCACAAATGTTTTTGGTACCAGGAAGACGTGTTTATTTATATCAGTCACTGGAAGTGGATCCAGTACGGGTATTAGAATGGTGTCTAATTCAATGACAGTGGCCTGAATTCATACACGAAGCAAAAGAAACATGCGAAGATAACGTTTTTGTCGTGTCGGATAAATGTGTTGTGAAGAATGTGGAAAAATCACGTTCAAATTAGGCAACAAGCTTAGCAAACAATATAAAAAGCTTCACATAAAAAGTAAAAAGAAAGAAAACTTTCTAAAAGTTATAAAATTTCGTGTCAGTGAAGACAAAATACTTCAAAATACTACTGGCTGTGGATAACTATGATTAAAATATGATGGAAAGCATAGAAATTCGTTCTTCGAGTTGTCGCTGTTTGTAATGCTTACAAATTGTTCAAATAGTTATATAGGCTTTAGCGAGTGTGAACTCGTGTCAAAAGTTTTTCCTGCTGCCGGTCTTGTTATCTTGGCCAAAAGAATAGGGTGCTGATAATGTGTCGATGTGAATGCAATGATTAGATAAACAAGGAATCCTCATGACCGCGGCGGCCTCACTCCCCTACGAGCTGGTGTTCCTGACCACATCTAATACCGTTGTAGTAAAAGGTAATGGTAACGTAACATTGTGGAACGTGTCTAGTACGTAAAGCGCATATGTACGCTATTAGTACATTTCCATATGTAGCCGATTACACGCATGGGTGAAGGTCTACTACTGTGCTTGCTGCCAAATTTAAATACGCACAGATTTAAGTTACACTCCTTGGGCTTCTGACGTACCCACCACATATGGAAAGATTACCGGCGCAAGGGTTGATCTTTTATTAGAATCTGCTTATCCTTCATAGCGACTTGTAAATGATTCAAGAGATGATTTTCGTTTTTATTTTCAGATTTGGATCAAGCATGTTACCGGCTGCACGACAAAGCCGGAGGTATGTAACTACACATATGTGTAGGAAAGAACTTTGTCGAAAAGCTGAAACATAACTTTAGAATCGAGGCCTCATTCATTCAGGTCAATTGAAGTGGTGAACTTTTTTTAAATGGAGTTGAAGTGTCCGATGAAGACTTGAATATGCCGCGTAGCAAGTCTGCGTAGAAAAACTAGAGACGTCTAAATTTCAAATTTTTCTGACGCGATGCTAGCGCAGTCCCGTCGGTATTTTTCATTCATACACGAGACAGTCGTAACTGGGGTTACCTGTTACAGAGTCCGTGGCTGGAGTAGTTGACCCGTTGTTGCGAGAAGCCCGTCGTGCGCTTCAGGACTCAAAAAAGCTCCCATGGAGGCTAACAGGAAAGCTTAAAGATCACCTTCGGGAACTCGAAAGTCTCCAGGAAAAAGAACGATGTCTAGCAGTATCGTGGATTGCACCGAGATTGTTGACTGTGGGTTGATTCTTAATGATTGCTTAATACTTCTGAAAAAAAAAAGACTTTGTTCAATTGTTTATAAATATACGCACGCTCTAGCGAGTCTACCGAATTATATTCTGCGCAGAGCCGAGTTTCGTGTTCCTAGTGATAGAAGCATTCCAGCACCATAAGGATCATGTTTTGTATTTAGTGTTGATTATAGTGCTTGAATTCATGTAAGTTAATAATAGGAAACTCTTGTCGGTATATGAAATAGAAAATGGTTTACCGACGATTATTGACTGATGGACTCATGTTCTATTTACTTTACGTTATATATTTGTATCCAGATGCTATTCGGCAATGGAGCCCTTTGCATTATACAGACGGATGGCATAGGTCCGTCGGTTTCGCGCATCTTCATAGATCGAAGTTTATGTGATCGCTTCACGGAGAACCGCTCTGAGAGACCTGTCCACGCAATTATACATGGGAAGACCATTGCTGTTTCTTTCTACGAGCCAAAGGTATGAGTGATATGAAATATATTTCGAGCAGGAGAATTCGGTTGAAGTGGAACGTTTGTTTATCGATATATAATTTTAATTCTACTGTTCTTAGGGTAGAACTCAGCTCGCGGTGGAGCGATCGGAATATTCAGTATATACAGCATAGCTATTTTCAACAAGCGATAATACAATCCCGCATCGTTTGCAGGTGTTGGTTGTACGATTACTGCGATCTCTATCTTCGTTAGCATCTAGTGGAGGACATCGGTGGCGACCTCTGGCTGGAGATGCTCGAATAACGGCATTAGCAACTGTGGGTATCGGAGGTCGACGCGCTGATCGTCGTTTGACCTGGGCTCCGTCTCGGGGCTGGCTTGTGGTGTTCTGGAACGGTGCCGCTCGGGACGATGCTTTACCGTGGAGTCCACTTCTAACCGATAAACAACGTGCAAACGTTCTTATATACACGATGCTGCAGGAAAAGTTCGTATGCTTAAACTTAAGACTTGCTGTTGCTGGATACTTGTGTAACGTGTTTTGTTAAAAAGTTAGTCAAAAAAATTCTGCTATATGTTAAATTTGTAATGTGCAGTAAGTTTCGCGAACAATTTATTAAAATATTCCAATGACTAAAACTCAGAAAAAAATTGTATGCCCTTTGTACAGCAACGCTATAGAACTGTTTTCGTATGGTCGCATTGAACGCGCGATTCATGCAGCGGAGCTAAGTCACCATGTGGCTAATAACCTAATCACGGTTGAAGGACCACCAGCTGCCGAGGAAGATCCCAACGATTCTGAGGCTGATGACGATTATCGAAAACATGAGAGAAGTCGACCTGTACCTGTTCATGCAGCATATGTCTGCGTCTATCAAATTGGACATGGTTAGTATATGGGATAGATTAGACAATTCTGCGACGCCAAGAAGTATGAACAGTTGAAGCTCTGTTTGTCCTTGCATTAAAAAGCTGGTTATCGAGCGACAAAAACTAATCAACACAGCCATCAAAATTCGTTTTCTGTGTTAAGCGGGTGGCTAATGCGGAGAATGTCATAGCAAATGATATTATGCTTCGAATCCCAAATAGGCGCTTTAATTAATCACAGTTGATTCACACCATTGGTGTAATACAAAAAACATGAATAAAAAAAACTGAGAAAAGAACCGCTTTAATATACCTTTAACCAGTCTCCCTGGTAATATAGTGTTCACTTGTTCGCAAAATGTATGTTTGTCTGGGTTCGAAACCAAGCATAGACACTTCGTTTCCTACTTCCTTTGACGCAATGTTTAACGTTGGTACCAAATGTTAAACCTGAAGCATGTATTAACCCATTAGTTAATTTCGCTGCCTAATCCTCCGATTTGCTTGTTCTCACCAGAATCAAAAAAAATGTTTGCTACTTAAAAAAGTGAAGAGAATTCTCACCTCGTTCTAGATGCTTTCGAACAGCAAAGACTAATATGACTGCCAGCGTGTTTCAGGTCGCTTCGTGCGTTTATCCTGCGTGACCATATCGCTCGATTCGGCTCTGACCGGCTGTGGTCTCTATCAGGCATTGCAGCGAGTTCTTATTGCGACACGTGAACAGACCGTTCTCTGTTACGACGCTGTTCGACGGAAAAGCTCCACAAGGCGGTTAGGAGTTGCTGTCGATCGTATATCCTGGCATCCGGATGGAGCGTTCGCCCTTTTGGCCTCTCTACAGGTAGTCAATTCGATAAAAACTATAATTCGTTGACATCGACGATCTGATGAGCGTTATCACAGCAGTGGCCGCAATATATTCCGGGTAACCAGTAATTTGCAACCACATGAATTCAACTGAGCACAACCTTTAGGGCTACACAACTGTTTTGCTTTTTTTACATATGCATTTTTGGGCATTATGGAAATACCTTGTTTGGCGCGAGCCATTTACTTATGTGTATTATCAATTCGACAGAGCTAAAGCAGCGGTAACAAACATTTAATAGCAACGTTTCATTTCTTTTATATGTCTGGCTCTCAGGGGAAGCTATTAGCAGTTGATATGGCTCTTAATAATCTTCCACTATGCGCGGTGTCGGACGTAGCTGCACCTCACGATTTACTCGATCTCAACCCGTTCTTTCGTCATAAACCATCTCCTCTGTGTATTGAGTGGGAGCCAAGGTCAAGTGTCAGCCAAAGCAATGATCATACGACCAGTGGACTGGGTGTGCTTGTAATTGATAGGACCTGCCTTGTATTTATCAACGTTCAGCTTAGCAACGGGGGTCCACTCTGCCCAGAAGCCGGAGAACCCGGATGGTGCGGAGGATGGGGACCTGTACAACTATGTGAACTTTATAGTCGACGAGGAGCGATGGATGCGGCTCTGAGTCTGTTGCGTGCTCTCAGTTGGGCTGAATTTGCTCCGCTTTGTTATCGCATGCTAATCAAGTGCTGTAATCGACTACTAACGAAGCCTTTTGATGACCACGTGGAAGGTGAATGTTCGTTTCCCCAATTCTGGCTATCATTTCAGCTACTCATTTAATTATTGATCTTTAATTGATGGTTCTCTTCAAAGAAATAAAGATGAAGCACTAACCATGGACGCACCAGTACACTCATTTTGCATTAAAACTTTAACTACCCTGCGTCAAAAACAACAAGCCTGGTGGTTGTTAATTCGTCATTGAACACAGAAGCTGTTAAATCATAAATATGCTTGGTTTTTTGCAGCACAACTTGAGTGTGCCATGGCAAGCTTTTTTTGCGAGGGTCCATGCTTGGAGGAGGGAATTTTAGCCCAGTTTATGCCAAAGGTGGTCAATTTGGCCAGAAGGTAAGCCCGATCTTCTAAAGGAGGGTGTATCTTTGTAGACACTAATGATAAACTTAATGATACTGGTGCTTAATTTACTAGAAGTATTTTCTCTAATCAGCTATTAGAATGTTTGTTCGCTGCAAGCCGTTTTTTTTTAAGTACATCGTTTATTTTACAGGTTCTTCTTCGAGTTAATGAGGCACGGACGATACGAGAAGGCCTTCCTGCTCGCCGTTGACATTGAATCCGTTGACTTATTTTATGTAAGCATTCCTACATCCTTTTGCAGCAGCATTATCAATCCTCCATCATAAGAGCAACAAGATCCTTATCTCTAGTGGAGCGGAACCTTTAGTGGACTGTATTTCTCTTCTTGATAAGAAAAGCGGCTTGCCTGCAATGTGGTTGGCCTTGTATTTAAAATGATTGATTCAAGCAGTGTATATTCCAATTATCTATTTCGTTCTGAATCCTCAGGACCTTTGTACCATTGCAAAACGTCTACGGCTATCAGGTCTCGTGCGAGCCTCACAGCGAAAGATCGAAGAGCTCGAATCATCAACATGCTCATCATCATTCAGTTCACATTGTACCTCAAGCAGTTCGGACCATTCAGATGCCTCTGGATCCGGATCAGGGAGTTCGTCAAACGACGAGCTTGATTGGATTGGGCGAGAACACCAGTTTATTCAGCTAGAGCCCACTCAAGTGAAGGTTGCGGCCGCCACGCCGACAAAACAACTGACGTTAGGTCCCAGCAGTGGTAGTTCCGCGAGCGGACTGATTAGTGGGACAACCAGTGCCGGTATGAACGCCACCGGAAGCCTCGCGCAAACCGTATCCGGGACAAACTTGCCGCGCGCTTTACTTCTCCCTCAAGCGCCAATTGCGCCGACAGCGGACTCAGCTGTAGCGTTGGCTGTATCTACGACACGGCGTCAGCTAACTGGTAATAGCGGGAAGCCTACAACGGGGTCACCTGCTGTAGATAGACCCGATACGGAACAGAGAAAAGCCGTTGTTGATAAACTAAGTTTGAGTCGTTACCGTGAACGCAGTTCGCATACTCCCAGTGTTCCTTTACAGTCAAGTCATGGGCAAAATGAAGAGAAAATAGCTGCTCTCGGTGAAGACAAGTTGTTTGAGGTTGGACCTGTGTCGACCCGCAGTCCCGCATGGAACCGACGCAGTCCCACAAGTGTGGGCGATCGTCCAGAAAGCACTGGCCTAGGCGGTGAAACGGATGCAGAACAAGTCCGTCAGTTGACAAAAGGAATTGAGTGTATTTACTTCGGACAGCTATAAGAGTTTATTAAAAAAATGATAATTTCGGTTAAGTCTCTATAACGAATGTCTAATCTGACTTGTTGGAGACATCGTAGTCGTATAGGTTCGTGTTCACGGTCTGGATCACTGGACCATTTCAGAGTAATCGTAATTGTGTGCGATTATCTAAACTAAGAGAATTTCTGTGCGTAATGCGATAATCCAACGCGACAGTTGGTAAATCAAAATGCTGGAAACAGCCAAAGAATTAATTTTTCCATTCTTTTGCTTGACTAAAAACCAAGCCTTTAAATCATTAAACCCCCAAGCTGAAAGTTTTGTGTAGGCAAGAATACATTGTTCCGCATTTCACCGTACACAGGGCAAGCTTTCGCGCAAAGTGCTGGCTTGAATGAATCCTTGTTGCTTAATTAGGTTTCCTTATTCTCTATAAGCGTGCTGTATCCTATTGGGCAGATGTAAAGGTGTTCAGATTCATCAAAATAGGTTTACGCTAGGTATGGTCTTGCCATTCTACGAATGAGAAAACAATGTTTTCTCGCATATCCCGGTATGTAGAATAGACAGAATCCTTGCATGTTTTTTTAACCTTCTGACTTGCTTAGTGTACCAATGTATATACACATGTTTATACAAACTAGATCTTAGCTGCAGGTTCATTGTCAATCTATTTATGGCTTGTCGATGATTGACGGTAACCATTTGAGTTAAATTTTAAATTATATAAAATAATTGTTCATCCGATTTTAGGAAAATAGGCCATGGATTAGTGTTACGTATTAAACTGAAGACTAACTAATTTTGATGCACGTTAATTTCTAACCGGAAGTCGTGTCTATCCAGTTCAATAGCAAATGAGCTTCAAATGAAAAAGGTGTTTCTAAATGTTTTCGATTGTTTCGGACTTCACGTGTTGTGAAGTTCGCTGGCCAAACTTCGCGCATTATTTAGCTGTATTATAATCTGTGGCTTTCTCCTATAAGGTTCATGTTTACGGCGATATGTTTTACTATACGATACTTCATCTTATACGAATGATGTTAATTTCTGACCGCACTGTGTCCGCTTATCTGTAGAGCACGCCATGCATTAACGGCTAGATATAATAGAGTAGAATCCGTTTATCTAGTAATACTGGAAGCTTCCCAGCGCCCCTTAATATAGTCGGTATGAAATATTAAATACCAGAAAAAAAATCTTTGAAGAAGACCAAAATCTAGGTTCATATATATATATCTACGTATAAACAGGAGAGGTCACTCTTTTGGCCAACACCATGGCTATACGTGATAATTATTGCAGTGATTGAGGTATAAATTAACGGTTGCACAATAGGACTTTTTCGAATTGTTTTTCAATTATTTACAATGCCTAATGTTGTACTATAAGTAACCCGTAACACAAATCTTCACTATACGAAAACGTGCACATCCCTGATCCTAACACGGATGTTTCCATTTATAGTATCATACAGAACAGGCGCAATTCTAGTGACCTAACGAGCGAAAAGAGGACAGTATCGGCCTAAATGCAATAGCTGATACTCGATCCCTGAATATGTATTTAAACACGTTTCGATGCCAAAAGGGGCTTCCAGGAATATTTTATGAGAATTTGTCTATCTCAGTTAGTATTATAATCCTAGATGTATGGTGGAAGACAAATGTTCTAATCTCAATATAACCGCGCCAGCCAATTTTCATTCGAGGTGTTGGCGATAATAAGGGTACTACCAAAAAGCATGCACACAAAAAGGTACCAGGCAACGTATTAAGCGTCGTTATATCAGCACAGTTCTATGCCTTGCTGTGACTATGCTCGGTAAACAGTAGCTGAGTAGCGCATCGGGGCGAAACACAACATTCTTGTAAGCGTACCATCAGTAATGGACCTGTGGCATTTTATGGCATTTCTTGGAAATTTTTGGAAAAGTCACTGTAGTCTTCATAGACCAGTCATCGTGCAGGTGCCGCAGATGTAAAAAATAAACGATTTTGAATGCAGGGCAAATTTAGTGTGCAACATTTACAACGTAAACTACAGAATCATCGAAAGGAATAGGTTTCACAAAGCGCATATTCCAGGAGAACAAACACCTATTTTCTCTGCTCATTTTTACTATTGCAAAGTTTGCAAACATAAATTCAGTGTAATGTAACGCTTTCCATGGCAGCGAAAACACTTGACTGTTTACGTTAATAATTATTATTACAAACGCAATACAATATGTCTACTACAACGTACCTGAACATATAAACGTATGGCCAAATCATACAGGTGCTTGCAAGCGACATTGAGCCCATTATTTCGGTGCCGAATCTTCCATTTACCCTATATAGAACGCAATTTGTCGGTTGGAAAGTTACTGTCTACTGTGCGGTCTCGTAAGATCGCGTACGATTGCGTCGTATACTGCCAGTTTGCGCAGTGCTTGAGTTCGTATAAGCTCATACTGCCTTCACAGAAACAAGTGCTAGCACAAACTGCTGTTGAACAGCTTATATAGAAAACAGGAAGCATTAAGAAAATGACCGAAAATACAAACAAATGACAAAATCACAGTATACTTTTAAGTCAGTCACCTAAATAGTTCTCGGGAGAATCTGGAGATCTGATAAATATGACTGTTCCCTGTTGTAGGACAAACTTCTTAACATAAATGTCGATGCGTCATTGTTGCAAGTCAAATAAACTAACAGTCCTAATTTATTTACCCTGTTCAATCATTTGCACGCGAGTGTTATTTTTTCTACATATAAAGTCTATTGAGTCACACTGATTTTAATGAACCAATGCAAAAATTGTTGTAAGGAATTAAATTCAACTATAGTTATGAACGCTAAGGAAAGCAGATGCTTAAAACGCCTGTGAAGATTGTAGAGAGGGTACTCTTGGGAGTCTTAGCATTCATTTGTTATCAATTTCTATATGGTCATGTCAAATCTTCTAATGTGCATTATCAACCCTCCTTGTTCATTTAAATCTAGATAGACAATAGTTAAGTGTACATGATTATTGTCGCTAGCGGTGATTTCGCCTTTAAACCAAAACGCACGTAAGTTACTTCTGCCATTAATAATCGGCCATATTTAACCACCCCGCTATACAATAGTTAAACACTCAGACTAGCCAAACTATTTATCCCTGTATCGCGTATACACCCCATTAGCAGCCTGCTTTTGAGCCGGCTAGTCTAACCAATATAAATTTGCCGTACTTGCTTCGCGGTGACTTTCAGTGCAAGAAAACTTTAGTACGTCTTCTACAGTACAATAAGCTCGCGATGACATCCGAAGCATTTCTTGTTGCTCGAATCGTACAAACTATTCCTTGAGATTTTCTGCCAGTACGAGCAGTATTCTTCGTGGGTACCAAATAGATGTAAATAAAACGCGATATGGCTGCTGCCCGCTCGAAGGCCGTTGTATTTGCTGCGATTTCGATTATGTTGTTTCTGTGTACTTTTATATTACTCATCTGGTTTGTCGTCTTTGCTGGAACTTCTTTAACCCGAAAAACTAAACAGAAAGCCTGGTAAGATGCCACAGTTCACGCGATGCCATGTATGTAATACTCTGGCATTTTATCTTCCTAGACCCTTCATCACGGTTCAACTCCGAAATCGATACGTTTCTTGATTGTGTATTTGTTGTAAACAAGTCTTGAAACAGAGTTACTCCTTGTCCGTCGCAGGCTATTATCGTCGGTACTACAAGAACACACACGATGTAAATAACTGTAGGGCTACTGGTTAAGGTGATCAAAATTCGAGACATATCGCAAACCCTTATCTCAGTCATTCTCGTTATTAGTGTCTGTCTGACCAGTGTATGTTTAGTTATATACCATCACACATCTTTAAACGGCCTATTAGCAGCTCAAATATTGTTAGAACCACAGTTCCATGCCGGCCTTGTCATATACGCCTTTAACTGGGCACTAATAAGAGGGCATAAAACATTTAACATCAAACCTTTACTTCGGCCCTGTTCTGTGACTGAGCTTGTCCATCTAGCACTTGCGTCGGCCATCACTGTTACCTCTGTCGCAGTCCTCAGCTCAGCGGCTTTAACGGTTTCCCGAAAAGCGTTGTCACTTTGGCGATCCGCAAGCAGTTATATTTACTGAAGACATTTGAACGCCGTAATTACAAATGACGCTCTCGTATGAGCACACTGTTTTCCTACGGAACCCATTACTGAGGTTTGGCTTGTTGCTACGCTCATGATGGGGGCAGTTCCTGGGTCAACATTTTTCGGAATTGCTAGGAGGGTGCATAAATAATTACCAAGTGTCGTATGTTTTAGTTCTTTTTAATTAAACAGAGATCAAATTTTATCAGACGCTAGTAAGCCATATCGATATAAATAAGTGGTATAATCGAGCAAAAGGCATCGGCACAAACTCTCCGAAGAATCAAATAAGCATCAAGAGAGCACTATATAATAGAATGTCCTTATTCTAGAGACCGAAGAATGCTCATTATAAGAATAGAGATTACTGTTTGTGTCTGGCTTGTCTATTTATGCGTTTAGTTTTGCTGGTTCAACCGAACTGTAGCGCAAAACCCGGACGACTCTATCTTTCGCTAGGGCCATCCTGTCATCTTGCATTATCGCTTTAGCTACCTGCCTGGACACAATGGACACTATGGCGATATCAGGAGTTGCTACCATTAGATCTTAAAACCAAATTATAGCTAGTCTTTTTTATTATTTACTAACCTTTGACTCCTGTCACGTATCCGCAACAACGGCGCGTACTGGTTAACTTATTCTTTATCCAGGTTATTTCCATAGAATCTGGCTGGAACCTGCACGTCTACAGCTCGATACAATATAGTGTGGATCGCAGCCCGAAGTTTTCTAAACCCGACCTCGTGATTTGCTTGTAAAGATATATCCTTACATTGCTATAAATTAATAAAAATATAGTACCTAACTAGCGCCGTTATACGGCGGATAATTGCAAAAATTATTGAAAAATCCGAAGTTGTAATTCAGCAGTCAGATCCATCAAGGCGCTTTTCATAAGTGTTCCACGAATTACATTTATAAACTAAGAAAAAAGATATCGAGGAAATATTTTTGAGCCAGTACTCTATTACTTTTAGCCTGCAGTACCCGCGAACTTACGACTTTAATTCGGTTTACTTATATGGTCATATGTTCTCGCCGGTTCCTCGTTTATCGTCTCGGTACTCTCCATTTATACTATCCTCGTTCCAGCAGCGAACGAGGATAGTGAAATTTCGCCATCAAGTTCAGGCACACCTATATCGTAGCCTATATAAAATATATAGGCTATATTAAATGCCATTGAACAAAAGATACGCTTTTTACCCGGCAGCACTTTACTCTGGAATTCTGATCATTTAAAAATGATTAGCTTGATTTTATAGACGAACTTAATTAACGAAAGCACACGGCGAACGTAGTTTTTTTTGTATTAATCAAGCAATTGCGTCATTAGCATACAAGCTTTTCATAGGAGAGTTTTAGCTTTAAGAGGTTTCAGCCGTAAGCAAGGGAACGAATTTACCTATTTCTCGGTATGCTATCCAGATACGAAGAGAATGTTGTTACTGTTGGCGGCTAACTAACTTAAAATCTGGCTCCTGCGCGTCCAGCTCGTTCAGCAAGCCCTTCATTCACCTCGAGCGTGTGTAGCACAGCGACTGTCTTATATTACAGAAAAAACCCTCTCTCTACCTGTTTGCATTGGATGGCATTTTCATACTATATAATACTCTATTCTAACCGACACAATTCATAATAATAATAAACTGATTTGTATTACATTATACTACACTAAATTCCGAATTTCGACAGCTTTATATTTGGTCAATTTACAAATGAAAAAGGCTAGAGCCTACTAGGAAATGGGGCGAGACTGACAGTTCTCTTTTTTACAGTAAAATCGAAGTCAGATTAAATGATTGTACTATTTTTTATTTTACGCAAGTTTGTTTGATAATGATGAATATTTTACCATATTTCCTAATCGGTGAAGGTGACAATGGTATCTATGGTGTCTTTTAATTGGGAGAGTCTTTTATAATGTTTCTCACTTAAAAAGTAGTGGCATAGCTTCGAAAATGAAATACTTAAAAATGAGATCTCAAGAAATCGAATTGACTATATCATTAAATTTTGTCTGTTATCTATTATTTAGCATACGTATACTGTGATTCTTTATTCTTATATATCTTCCATACATTACAATTGACAGCAGTTCTAACAGGATGATCAAAAACAAATTTAAGCCTTGACGGAGTATTGCGTTCGCAATAAAGCTATATTCCCCTCTCGCTTTTAATGTTTAGAAAATTACACATGTTTAGTGTCAGATTTCCATACTTTTAATTTTTAATGCGGTTCTTGTGACAACAAAGTATAACAAGGAAGATACAAATATGGATAATCGTTTCCGTTGCTACTAATTTTCATTCAAGAAAAATATACATACAAACTGATCTGTTACATAGATGATAATTCGCGGCAGCGGCACTTAACACAACGAAGTTATCTTGACACAATAATTATGCTGGGTTTCCGCTCCCATTTTATGTTTACTTAAGTACTATATTTAGGAGAAACACATTTTTTGCAGTACTCATCAGGCAAACCATTCAACTGTCAGGTCAGACCGTCCTTCTATAAGCGGCCTTTTTGTCCTTTTACAATATGTTACAGGGTGTCTGTCCGTCGATGTAGTCCATAAATGACCATGTTACTTAAATAGGCTTTTCTGCCCTACTATCAGCGAGTCAATCCATCCGCTATTAATGGAAGCTTTCTCATAACTTTTTTATATTCTCTATAATCTCGTTGTTACTTGTTGTGCGCTCGCTGCTCTTATCTCGACATCAGTAAATCAACATCAGTTCGTTTTACTAGACAACAGCCGACAAGGAAACCACCTGAGCGATGATGTTAGATACGAGATAACTGAAATGGGTGGATAGGGAAGATAGCAGAACAAATTGTGTTCCCTAAAGAATAAAGGCCTAATATCATTCTGAATCTTATTATGAACTGTGTAATAAATAACACAGCAATCATTGTCTAAGTATTCATGATACAATTGTTTTTAAGCGCAGCAGCCTTATAATTGGTTTTCAGAGGTGAAAAAAATTACAAACGTGATAAAAACCATTATTTTTAATAGTTGCCACGGCCATTTATCACTGTCAAAAAGGCTCCACACTAGTGATTTACTTCTTTATACTGCTCGTGCTATGCGGTTTCAGACATGCGCGTTGGAGATGTTATCACGAAAAGACTTCCTTTGCACAGCACTTACAGGTTCCACTTGTCTTGCAGTTGTGCTTGTTGTTTTTACATAGTTTGTGATTGATAGTGGAATACAAATTGTTAACACTCGATCTGAAAAATGGAATTTTCATAACTCATTTAGCGCCACACCGTCCTTTACTAGCACTAATTTCGGATCATCCAGCTTACGGCCAAGTTCCCTAGCGCACGTTTCCCGAGCCATTGTTAAGAATCTTAATTCTTATTAAAACTATGCCCATGTGACCGTCATAAAACGTGCACACTAGCCCAGTTACGGTTGGGCTCGAAGTTGACGTGAGTTCTGGTCTTCATGTTTAGCGCAATGCCTACCTCAGTTCAGCCAGTGCAAGCGAACATGATGATGAATGTCTGTGCCATGACATAGACGACCGGTGTTCGTTTCAATTAGTTGATAGATTATTATCGTTGTTGTTGCTAATATTATGTTTGTATGAGGGACTATTCGGATATACCAACCCACCATAATCTAATAAAGGTTCTGTGTATTTGATGTACGAGGCAACTTGATCTTGTCGAGGTTCTTTGTGATGATGTCATGCAGAGTGGAATAGTTGTTACGAAGCTCGGTGACAGTAAGCCGAATCGTAACGTAGGTCTTTTCGTCAAGTTCATCAACAGCCTTACGAAAATCCTCGACGTGTGGGTACTTTGCTATTTTAGTGATCATGCCACCGCGAGCTGTATAATAACGAGACATTTGATCGAGAAACGCTGCCGCTTCCACTTCTACAGTCCGAACCTCACCGAGGCAGTCCTCTTGAATACCGACACCGAAGTTGTTGCCGTCCTCGACCTTTGGTATGAGAAACTGGATCCACATCTTGAGCAAGTTGCAATCGTTAATTAGCTGTGCGATTAATGGCTTTACAACCGTGTACATTGACGTGATTGCCTCATTTAGGCCAACCACACCTCCAGGTAAGGCAAGAACTTTTGTACCGCCGATTTTGTCAGTCTCGATAAAACACAGCCGTTTTGCTTTAGGCTCACCGTTCTCACTTAAATGGTTTTTCGACGGGGACTCCTATAAAAGACAAAGCTAGTTTCAGTCCACTTGTACCTTGCTGCAAGCAACTATTTAGCTATTCCGCAAGTTCAGTTCACATTTTTCTTAAGTTTAGTTTAATTGCTTTAACTTGTTTAACTTGTTCTATTGATTTAACTTATTCTCAGTTAAACAACTAGCTGATAATAAGACCTGCATAACAGGGCTACTTATTATATTCTTGTGCTTGCAATAGAATGCTGGTGAGTGTGGGTGTGTGGATTGCACCTGACTTCAATTCAGACGAGCGAGTATCTCAGCATATAATATCGAATTGGTCGTGCGACCTAATGAGACTTCAAACAAGGACTGTTTTATAGCAACAACTTAGTCGTCTGTTCAAAACGACAAGAATACAAAATAGAATGTAAAAGGATATATAAATGGCTAAACTCGAGATGACAAGTGTTCACCTGTGCTTGGTTACTATTGTCGAAAACAGGTGAAGGCCTGGGGACGTTGATTTCAGCATGACATTCCGTCGGACGAATGTTGAATTCAGGCGAACGAAGTAGTTCCTCGAGACGAAGTACTCGAGCCGGGAATTTTTGCAAGAGTAGTGCTTCTGCGTCTCGCTTCATCTCCTCTTTCAAATCCTTGATCTAAGTAGATTCGGTAGCAAGGAAATACATTGCAACGACACAAAAAGAAGTTCCAACAACGTGTTTTATTCAATGCTCCGCACTACATACAGGGTGATTGAAATATATCAAAACTCTACAAATTTCGCTTGTTTACAACGTAATGTAAACTAAAGGAAAACAGATATTTTGTATGTGTCGATAGGGCGTCCCTCGCGGGCATGTTTGTTCAAAGTGACTGCCATTCGCTTTGGTCAAGGCTTCAATCCGTAGCCTAAACGGCTAAAGTCATTTGCGGTTTTGAGCTGATAACAGGTTTAGAGTCCCAAAAATCCGAAGGTCGAAAAACGTTTAAAAGGTTCAAAAAGACCTTTTGGACCAAAAAGTCTAAAGATGACTAACCGTTGGGGCTTATCTGGGCGACCCAATGGACGATACATACTCTCCTCTCGAAAACAGCCAACAATGTTTGCTGCATGGAGACTGGCAACATCGTAGACCGTCGATTTCGGGCAACCACCTAGGTTTGCAATCTTGGTGGGGTACGTCTGGTGCGAAGTCATTGAACAATAGATGATCTTCGCTAATATTCTGAGCACGGACCTCTTGCTTTCAGCATGAAGAGTTAGTGGTTTTATTCTAGAAAAGAACTGGCTTTTCTCTAGTATTGAGGACGGTGGCTCAAACGTGTGTCCCTTACAAGACACAGTTAATCAAAGGCGGACCCCATTCATCCCTAACGCCCCGTATCTATTGACAATAAGGTGATTTTAGCTTTACATAGCTACTAATGCCAACTGCTGTATAATTTTTTTGGATCATTTTTATGGATTTGGTTTTAATCGCCAATTCAGATTCATTCGCCAGATAGATATAAGGGTGAAATAAAGAACATGTTTTTTGTGCCAATTTGGAAACATAGCCTTCGCATAGCTTTTAAATCTGACGCCCTTTCAAGTACACTTTTCAAGTATTTTCTAAACAATTGGAATCCATGTATAAAAACCACCATACCTTGTTCTTTCCCGAATTGGACGCCGAGATCCGTTCAGCCGTGTCATACAGCGAGTCCATGTTGTCGGCAACAGGTGCCAGGTGAGATGTCGCGACAGTTTCCGTAGACTTTTATTCCTTCTGTGAACCCTAGGCGTTAACCTGCTGATGAAATTTTTAAATTTTAGGAACATGCAAATCGTTGCCCGCGCCATTCACACCAATACAGTAGGATTTATAGAAAATTCCGTACATTGGCCCGTGTACGCAAGAATCACACGTACGGAACCTAGGCTAAAGATGAAAGGATGCTCATATCTGACCAAAAAGCTAACCTAAGACTTCAGCGTATATGAAAGGAGTGACCGGGGCTATGTGGGCCGTTTTTTTCTAGCTGAATTTAAAAAGGTGGGATTGCATGGAAAAGCTAAGCATTTTTTTGCTCCTGTCGAACTTGTGTTAAACGACAGAATAACCACCTCGTTTTTCTACCACTGGTTCGCCCGTTTCAACATTTGCAACATTTTCAATGACAAACTGAAAGCCAGTTATGTTTTATAAAAGACATTACATTAAGTCCTATTACATAATCACCCTGGAAGCTCTATAAACCAGTATTATTCCGAGCCTATACGACACAATATTGTCCATTGTTTATTATACAAAATAATATAATAGAATATAAGGTGTTAAATCTGACTACAAGCCACTCACATATACATATATTTTGAAAGTTGCTTTTGGAAGAACTTGTTATGCCCGTATTGTTATAAATCACCATTGAAGAGGAACAATCATGATTTCGTAGCGCATCGTCGAGACTTAACAACGATATTGTCAAAGATATGAAGTCCCTGAATATATAATAATCTTGAATATCATGTTCCGAAATTACTTAAACGCTTCGTCCTGTCGAACAGCACTAAACGATATGCATCACACGATCATTTGAGCCACAAGCCCCACCCTGATAGTTGTTATCGTCGTTACTTTTGCAGGAGCAACCCAGATCTCATGTTTTTTTTTTTTCGTTTTGTAGAAAATGATATAGTGGTTTGCTGGTAAACTAGATATTAAAGTGGTGCTTAGACACCAAAAAGGCTGACAGAGACAAAATGCAGCTCAAAACTGTGCACAAAGAAGCTACAGCTGTTGCAGATAGAGGCCTTTTCGATGAAGAGGCAACTTGTGAATTTAAGATGAGAAATACCCTGTTGCAGTGACATCTAAAGGCTGATAAAGAAGCTGCAGCTGCTGGTACTCCAGACGGGCTTGCCTTAGCGTACGTTCATTCGCGTATGATACGTTGATGCATGTCGAGAGGCGAATTTCGTCATCTATAGCATATTTTGACTAATGCGCAAAAATCATGCTAGACTATTTTGCTCAAGCCGAAATCAATTACGTAAAAACTTGCTAAGTAACTTAACGTAAACGTAGAGGGCAGTTGCGCGACCGGCGTGCAGGGAAGTATTGGATTCAGATTTTCTTAGGACTGTACGGTCAGCGTCCCTTGCGGTAATCGAAAAAGATGTTCTTTGCAACGTGTTACTCCAAGAAACCACTTAACGTTTTTCTTTAAAATTCTAAGACTTTAGTAGAGCCATACAGTTTTACTTTTCCAAATATACTATGAAATCCTTTTTGCAATGCTCGCTCTCGTGTCTGCAGGTGATTCACTTCACAGTACACAGACTAATACATGTGCCCGCTGGAAGCCAAGGTTTTGCGAACTCATCCGGATGGATCTCGAAAAAGTAAACTGTTTTAGGCACTTCATCGTGACCATTCGGTGTTTTCTAGAGAAGCCATGTTTGGTAATCATTGAGACTCAAGTAGACCTACATGCGAATAAGGCTGTACCGAACGGCCTCCACATCGTTCATCCACTTCCTTCACACCGCTCGAACAAGCAATAACTACCAGTCATGCAGTTTGTGAACCACTAAAAGTTCAACTTCATATAGTTCAGCAGAACTTTGTAACTACTAACGGCAGCAGAATCAAAATCTATGATAATGTCGGGTTGGCGAAAAATGCGTTTGCGATGAGATATATCGTTAGAATTCTAGAAGCCGTATATCCGTTGAACGACTGTATATTGACAGAAGATGGCTGTCTCCCTTCAATTGCGTAGACTGATAATCAGCCAGGAGCTTTAGGCCATAAACAAGTATCATTTCGATCGATCGAATCGAGGCTCTTTTATGGGCAATTAAGTTGCCGATTGCAACCAAATCACAAAGATAGAGAACCAGAACCCCCCAAAAACAACTCGTTATTCTAACAAAACGACATTAATCGCTTTGTTTTTGAACTATAGGCTCATTGGCTTCAGCTATTAGACAGAATTAACTACATTCAGCTCCACTGTCCAAATAAATGTGCCGCCCATTTGTATATCATCATGTAGATCTGTTTCTTTCTAATAACAATTAAATATTTAAGCAAAATCTTGGTAGCGTCATTCAAAGGAATACGATAAAATTTTTAGATTAGAATAGATTAGCTCGTGTACGCAAGAACCACGTATAAAATTCGGATGATGCTAAAAGTTTAAGCCATAGCTTGAATATAATATATATATATATATATATATATATATATATATATATATATATTAATTCCATCTCTAATAAATTTATTCAATGTTTTTGACTGAATAGAACACAGTGTTCTCGAGTAACCGATTCGATTTTTCCGAAAGACAAGGCTAATTTCATGATAATTATTGAACAGGCACTCCGAAAAATAAATATTAACGATGATAAACATTTTAGGCACCATTTTTCACCGATCTATTCTCTACGTAATAAGTCCAGCACCGAAACAATCGCCAAAGCATGTACGATTGTGAACATGTTTGCATAGCAAACTTTGACGTTCTCGTATGTGAACAACTATGAATAGACATGCCTGCAATTCCAAAACGCTTCACGAACGCTAGAAAATCGTCCCAAGAGAGCACCGTCCAGATACGGTGTACGAATGCTGCACGTTTAGCTGTTCTATAAATAATAAATGGAAAAAAATAATATATGACGGACTATTTCCTCGTTTTATAACGCAGTCGATCTAGTAATCAGAGGCACATCAAATCAGAAATAGCCAAGTTCAGTGATTGACTTACTGCAGGGTTAATGGCTGTCTCGTTTATAACGCCAATGCCCTTCCTGGACGGTCCTACCTCATACGCTAACAGTACAACAGACGGTGCAGCAAGGACGATTGGCAGACAGAATCCGGTTTGCAATACGTGCCCAAGCGAACAAATACCACCAACAGCTAGTTGCACTGTTAACACGGCGCAGTTGTTTGTCAGGGGTTCAGTGTTACGCTGGTCCTGCTGGTATTCGCACCCGCTATGGACAACAACGGATACCTATCGCACCTGCTTGAAAGGCAACAGTCGACACAGCATAATAAAGTGGTGCCTAGCCAGTAACAACACTGGGCTGAACAGAAATCAGAGACAGAGACAAAAGCTAGCATGCTACTCTGTGGAAAGGAGTGTACCGGCTGTCTGCTAAGGAAGAGTCTTAGCGGACACCATAAACAATGCAGTGGTGGTTGAAGAAGTTGTCGAAAGTAGATGATTGGACGAATGGATTTTTACGGCAGTCAGGGCTGCCCGAAACAAGAGAGTGACCTATTGATTATCGAACTCCCGTTTCACTGTTAGATGGGGTGGGATCATGTCGATAAACTAGCTGGTTTGAAAAGGTGGAGAATTAGTCGGGTCTAAACCATTAGAGACGTATTTTTGTGTTTCATAGTTTAGTATGTACACATCCTTTGCAAGTTCAAATACCTGCTGAAGAGGAATATTTTAAAATTAATGACTCTATGCTTTTGCGCAATTAAGCTGTTCTGTCGGTACACTATTAAAGCACTCTCAGCCTTACGGGAAACTGGCTTCAATGTTGATAAGAAAAAAAGACATGAAAAACTTTTATGTCTATTTTATTGGATACTTAATGTTTTATTGGCTTACATTCTCTAAAATAAACCTAGCCGTAGGAAACGTCAAGAAAATGTTATTTTTTTTTTTGAATGAATATCGATGCGTATAATGCTCCAACATTTCTAAACAACTTCACGAAGTAGCGAAGGAACGAGTGCCTGCCGGTGTGTCCATCAGATGATCAGTTTGCCACACAGAAAGGGCGATATAAAATTCTTCAGTCTTCTTTATGATTGTAATTCGAACGTTGACATGTTTGGTTGCATTTCATTTCACTTGAATGTCCTTAAGGAGAAGCGGCGTGTCATTCGTTTACGCTCTCATAGATACTTGATTGTCCGATGACCATTTTCGCATAGCCAGCAATTTACGATTTGGACAAGAGTTGCTTTTATAGGATCCATGTGGTGGAACATAGATGAACTGGGACCTCATCTTTTCTGAACTTGCTGGTTTGGTACGATGCCGATAAAGTGCCATTAGCTACGTTTTAGGCCGTCTACCTTACAGAGGCAGACTTTTGGATCTTCCTCGAGCCCATAAGAGAGGTGATGGACAGCGCTCAGATGGGCTCACGAACAGGGACTGGCTTTCATACAAAACGTCCCTGTATTGCATACATACAACCCAATGGGCTAAGTGAAATTACGCTCAAGGTTTGCTTGTCAGCCTTGTTTAGGTAAAGGATTCTGTTGGAAGTCTAAGGAGGGAATGCTAAATACTTACTGTAATTATACTAACGTCAGCAATATCATTGATTTTTATGATAAAATTACTTTCCCTATCCATATGAATGGTATGTTCTGACACCTTCATAATATGTGCATTAGCTTACGTGATTCCAAAACACTATTTGAATAATAGATACGAGTGATTGATTGGGAAACTGTAAGATTAGAATTATTCGAAAATGACAATAAATATTGCGTAAATTGCGCAGTGTCTTTTGTTACAATGGCTTTTACTCATGATGTTCTATATGTTTTGTGATGATCCGAACTCAGACACGAAATCAAACATGGTTAGATTAGTTTTTTTCAAAACCTAAACGAGACCAAAAGAAGGTCTCAAGTGTTCCTATCAACAAGTCATGTTCTTTCTACATCTCTAATGAATATATGAACTACTACAACTATTTCTGAAATAAGTATGATATTGATAAACCATCTCACTGTCACGCTCATACTCTTTAAAATTAGTCCAACTCATTTACTTAATAGAAATCATGTTAGAGGCTTAAAAAGTGCTTGCCTAACCGGATTAGACTTCATTAAAACTTTAAAATCCACAATGACGCAGCATCGCAAACCCTACTGTTCAGGTGTAACTGTGCCGTACGAAACATTTGCAAACATTCTCGATGTCTGTAATGGTTAGGACAGAAACAAGCCTGTTTCTGCCACTTTCTCTTTCTATATTTAGGTTAAGAAGTTAAATTATAATCTAGCGTATGAATGGCAGCTCCTGCAAATGTTATAAAAGCTCTTAAAGGCTCGTGACGCGTCGCACCGTAGTAAAAAAGCAGCCAACGAAGTTAGCAACAAGAGCGATGTGTGCAGAGGAGCTGTTATTATTAACGCGGTATGAGGCGTCCGATGGTAGGACGCAAACCTATTCTCGAGAAGGTGCTCGTTTTAGCAAGCAGAACTGTCAAGTCATGTTGACTAATGGTTTTGGCCAACGACTGTAGCATGAACGGTGACTGTGCTCAAATGCAAAGCGGAAAGCCCATTGTAGATCCGCAGAAGTCGTTACGCAAATTCACGTATATACGTTTACTGGGAAGCGCGCTACTTTTCAGCGGTGACACGTACACCTTGGAATTATTTAGCCAGTTTTAAATGTGGTTGAGATATTTATTCTAGACCGTCTGTAATGATAGCACTTTAGGAAATTTCCGATTTCCTAAGCTATCTCAAAAATTGCGTCTTACTGTGTGGTGCAATAATAGCTAATGAAGAACACCATAAGTGATATGCTTTTGTGGAGAATCATCCAGTTGGTACAATTTTAGACAAATATGCGCAAATTAGAGAAAAACAATGTTATTTTTATTATAAGTAAAAATATTTCTCACAAGTGAGCAATAGAAATCAACGGCACGAACTTCTTCACACAAATATGTATGCTTGTTCGTGCACTCGATGGAACAAATTTCAACAAACTATTTCAAATGCTTTTTATTAAGATGTTATTACCTTTTTTGTCCCTATCTTCTAGAAGAACGTTCTCATTCCTTTCCGTTAATCACCTCAACGCTCGGAATAGTTGACCCAACAATCCACGTTTTTTGCTTGCTTTAACCCATTTCTGCTGAGCTCCACAGTTAGATACGAAATGTAAAAAGACAAAAACAGTTATTCCCGTTTATTTTTGTTGTTGTGCGGTCTGCCTGTTTCCGCTTTTGCAACGTCATTACTGTGTGACGACAAAGTCGTTCTGCCAGTTGCGTCGAAAACGAATTAATTAACTGAAAATACATATGGTATGATTAGCAATAGAAGATTGCAAGTAGGAGTAGCGATTTTCTCTGGCGCACCATAAAACGTTACCTATGGTCTACTCTTCGGTGTGTGCTGGTAACAAACTGACGACATGAGGATGAGCCGCAGCGAGGCGTATCGTCCTGAAGAGGACAGAACGTTGGAGTCTAGTCTTGCCATCGCGGAGGCAAAGCACAATGCATAGCGGAACGCATTTCTATCACTGCACGGGACACCCCGGTTGACATCAGCGCTTCGGCAGCTGCCATACTACTGATTGATTCCGTACGAAGTTCAGTGATCTGCTGTAACACAATGGCATTGGTCCAGGTGTTCCAATGTGTTTTTTTTAACTGTAAAACATATAGTTATTGATTGGATGATCGTTTTCATAACAATTTTTACCGATATGAGCGTCACTGCATCAGCGCAGCAATGAAATGGATCAACTGGAGGTTCCGACAGAAAAACAGGTTGTTTACCGAGGAGCGCGGAAAGTGGAACATTTCCTGTCGATCATGCCAAAGCCCTTCGTTTGAAGGAGTTTGAATCAGCAGATATCGACATGTACAAAGCGCAGTTCGACAAATGCGTTCGTACCTAGATGTGCATATAACAAATTTAAGACGAATTATTTTAGTGACTTTTATTTTTTATTTTCAGATACGATTGTCGTACGATCAGTTTGTTGAGCATTTGTTGTCCAGTAGCATCCGTTTGGTATCGGCCGACGTGTTGGGCGCCGAAGGGTATCGTTTGAGCTTGATTAGAAATATACCACGAAATTTTAGTTTACATTTGTAACTATCGGTGACTGAGTTCTCGCTAGGTACCCATTGAACTCCAAATACGCGTTCGTGCCATTTTAACCTATATGTGCTGTGAGCGACATATCTTTCCTATGTGATAATCACTAGTATGCAACAACCGTTGACTGAAAGGGGCTGTATCGACGGCCAAATTTACCGTTTTGATTGGTGACCAGGTTTTTACCTGTTTATGCTCGTCTGTGCGTGCTTGTTTGTTGATTAGTTTCTCGTCCCTATATTAAGATTTTTGCTGGTACGCGAACTGTTATGACTTACACTTATTTAGGCATTGATCTTCAAATGCGGGAATTTGCTAATAATCCGTTACGACTTGATGGGCATTTTGTTGACTGTTATTGAAATTTAAAGTACGCCGATTTGCAGGTAAGCTGCTAACTATTATTTTTGCACATATCTGCTCTATATCTATGATATTTTTGGGTTTTATATATTTTGTTGTTGCATGACATGTAGTTTGTTTGATTTTAGATTTGATATAAACGGCGATAATGTGCTAGACTTTATGAAATTAAAGCATATGATGGAAATACTTGGCCCGCCTCAAACATATATTCAACTCAAGGATATGATAAAGGGGATTGACGACGATTTTGATGGAAGCATAAGTTTCACTGGGGTATTGAATATTCATAACGTGGCTGCAGGAGAGCAAAAAACCATGTAGAACTAAAAAAAAGAGGTCTGGGGTCTAATTTTAATGATGCATCAGAGTAAACAACAGGAGTTACTTCTAAGAAACTTTCATTAATTCAAAAATATTCTGCAACACTGCTTAGTATTGTGTAGGTAATGTCAAGCACACTCTGCTCGCTGAAAACACTTATCCTTCTGACTAGGTATTCGACCAACTGGAAACATTTTGAGCATACTAATGATATAATGTGCGATGTCCTTAGTCAGTTTCGCCATTAACCTAATACACAGTTCATATCATGTTTGCCTAAGTAGCTATCTACTACGATCCCTGTGGAAAAATTTAGTAAACGCAATTGAAGCTTCGATATAACTATTCGCTACCAGTATAGCTATAATAATGATATTGCTTTTGAGCATTCGTTTCCGGCTCATATATATTAAGATATAGCACGTTATACTAATAGTGCATGAAATGCCAAAGAGGCCGTACTACATCTCATTAAATTTGCCTTTGCTTATGTCCGATGTACCAAAGTTCCTGTTGACCTTCAAAATACGGAAGGCTAATCGCGTTAGTAAGAATGACCTCAATCGACGTCTCCCAACCTTCTCCCAAGTCTCTGGAGCGAAGGATTATTTTGAAACCAAAAGAAAGGAAATTTTCGCCGGCACACTTGTCAAACAACTATAATAATCGTAGATCGGCTGGCTCTTGATGTTCAATCTTTACCAAGTTACTGGGGATTCGCATTTAAAGAATTATCTATGTACACTTTGCGGCACACTATTTCCTTTATTCAGATCTGTATTTACTTGCACTATGATCACAAAGGTGCTAACGGGCTCCAGCCCGCCAGAAGGGCATGTAATGCTAGCACTGCTAGCGTTCGAAGCCGCTGCAGTAACAACGGCGCCACTGTGTCACTTACGTCGACTAATAACATTAGCCAGCCAGAAGCGGGCCACAGCTATCGGAGGGATCGGCAGGGCTCGTATCAACAACACCGATGGCAATGCTAAGGAAAAGGAAGATACAGTAAGCGAGGCTAGCGGCGTAAACAAAAACTAGAAAACGAAAAAGGAAAAAGGAGGCATAATGACCGACTGACGTCAAGTAATTGTCAGAAATGTCCGAAAACCGAAGTGGCTTCGCTCTCCATGAGGTAGTGAATACGAGGCGAGCACAGAAGTAGTATTGACAGTTAAGACAATTATATACTAAAGGCAACGAAAGGAAAACAACAGCAAGTATTTACACACTTGAATGTATACGATGCATGTCGTCCCGATAAAATCAGCTTAATACATGACGCGTGGTTTACAATCGTGGTGCAGTTAGCGGTAAGGCGTGCTATCGGAACTGCGCAGCTATATCACAACAGAAGGATAACATATTTGAAACGGCATAATCTACAGGAAAATGGCAACGGAAGCTACTCTAAAGAAGATACTGGCTCGAAATTTAGTAAACGTCAAAAGAAACCATACGTTTTAGTAGAAAGCCGCACAACTGAAAAAAATAGCGAAAAAATAACGAAAAATATAACATTTCCTGTGAATTTGTAGCTATATAATAGAGTTATCTATAGCAAATAGTAGTTTGTAAAGTTGTCGGGATCGTAATTTATTAGATTATTTAACGAAAATGTCTAAAGATAAGATTACGTATTATTAATTAAAAGTAAAATAGTCCTTCTCTGCATTGAAAGTGTCTCCACCCTGCAACTAAACTAGTACGATACCTGTAATTTTGTATGCGATGGAGCACATTCATAAAACAAATTAACTTATACATTAATTAATACATTAGACTAGAAGCACTCACTTCAGTTTGGCAAGGAAAAATTATTTTTTGCACGGTCAGGCACTACAGATATACACCTAAATTCGTTTTTGTTTAAGGAGTGCATTTGTTGGCACGTTTCAATTTAATGATACTAAAACAGACATATTTCGTACATCTGATAACCGAAAACTGTTTTCAATTTCACATACGCGGCGCCCAACCACTCCGTAGAGCAGCTATGCTTTGAAATACATGTAAGTGTATTTTACTGCGGTAATTAATTTATTAACTAACTGCAGCTATTAGCTATTAGGTAGGTATCGGTGAAAAGTATCTCAATTTAAATTATCACAGGGATAAAGTGTAGTGTGTGAAATCAATTAAAGTTTGTATGTATGTCAGATTGTTCTTCAGGTTAAAAACATGTACAAATGATCAGGTCAGCCCTACACGGTAATTTAGATTGTTTCTTCCAAGTCCAAAAATTCGTCTCCTCGATATATACAATTGACGTTGCCTTTATGAAGTCTTATAATTTATACGTAGAGTTGTGGGTTTGGATATTGGAGTAGATAGGTTTGTTTCATAAAATTATTTCAATGAAAAATTCAAAGGGTTCGTTTTTTTTTTCATTCAAATAGGAAAGACGTAATTCTAAACTCAAATATAATAGCGAAAAGTGTGATCTACAATATTATCTTATTACAAAGAATATATAACATTTGATTGTTAAGGTAAGGCAAATTTTACTTGGAAAATTTGCTTTACAACACACATTTATCGATATAATAATAAAGATATAATAACTATGAAGATATTTTATAAATAAGCCTTGAGCTGAAGGATGCCGATATCTTCAATATTGATACTAATCATAAAATTAATTGCAGCAAGTGATGAGTTAGATGGAGTAACCGCTCCGACGATATTAGGCGATAGTTCAAGAATTAGTCGAAACAGACTTTGCGATCTCTTCGTAAACCACCGGTAGATAAAGACCAATCGATCTTGTAAATTCGGTCGCATGTATAATGATTGATAAATACAGCAACTTTAATCGTGTTACAATTTCAAGTCAACATTACCTAAATAAAGAAAAAGGAATGGGCTATATATCTCCTGTCTCATACAGTCATTCGCTCATAGTAGTCGTTGTTACACTTACTGCATTTCCCAAATACTAACGCTATGCTGCTATAACAGAGTACTATAGGAACTATAGAGGTGGCATGCCTTTATTACAAAGGTGTTTCATAGTTAAACCTCCTTTTTAATAATTTGCGTACATCCTACTACTTGAAGTTGAAACCCTCCAATCTTCAAGAGACTGTATTTCCAATTGTTAGGAGACTTTTTGCTAGCTGACAATTGCGCGATGACTAAATGTCAGCATTTCAGATGAAGAGTCTTTTAATGGACAAATCGTTTTTGCCAAGTCAACATTGGAAATCAGCACCAGCTTTAAGGCTTTTTGCAAATCGGCTTGCGATCAAATGGGGTCATTTGCCTAATGGTAATAAAAATAGGCTAGCATAAAGCATATGATTTGAGCGAATTTAAATAAATCTAAGATTATCGGCATTATGTTTGAATACGAATGACACATTGGTGTGTTTCTAGATAAGCTGACAGAAGATCCTTTGAGATACGGATGCATGATAACAAATCACAATTTGATAGGGTACCAGATAATTGCTTATGTTCTTTTTAAGATAATAGCGCAATCACAGTGGAGAGATTGATCACAGCCGAGGTTCCCGATGAGATTGACTGTACCTTTGAATAATTATCGTGCACACCGCATTGTAAAAGATATTAAGTATTTTTAGATACAATGTATTTTAACTGTGCGAAATCAATCAAAGGGTCTATTTATGATTCCTTAAATCGTTATTTGAGAAGCAAAATGCTCGTACTCCCTTCCAAATACACAGAATGATCTAAAAATCGTTTTTCTTTTTTAACCTTAGGCTTATAGGGCAAATATACCATACTTTTCAATTGCGCGAACTCAAATTTAACCAATACCATTAGAGGCTGCATAGTTGGTTAAGGCACCCGGCACCGGGAAGCAACATTTTTTTAACATTAATTTTATTGTGAATACTGTACAATGATTGCATCACGCACTATACTTTAGCCTCCTTTATATCAATAAAGCTATGATTCAACTGAATAAATTTAGCCTTAAACATATACAGACTCGGCACGCGTCCGGTTAGGTATTGCCATGTGTAAGCTAGTGTGTCATTATCTCTGTGCCCCTCCATTGGCAAAATCTCAAGGCGGTGACAGCTTTCAACGTTACATTTATTTTGACAGTTTAGTATTATAAGTGTGTAGCGCAAACATCTAAACGTATCGTCCTTAGAATGTCCACGACTGATAGAATATCTTGTATACTTACCGTTTTTTCTCTAAATGTCTGAAAGCACAAATTTTGTCTAACTGTTAGCTACAAGTAAACTGAGTATCACTGAATTTACGTTTCCTTGTTAATCTGGCCTGTGAACATTCAGTGCTTATGATATTCATTTTATACCCCGAGTAAGAAAACTCGCCGAACCCGCTTATATTCGCTCCTGAAGGAAGCGTTTGTTGATTATTCAACGCATGGTACCCAATGTATGCCGCTATTAACCTGTCTAACGCGATTTGGTCGACTAAGTATATTTAACTTATCTGAAGCGACACTTAGCGGCAGTATTGGAAGCAAAACTCGAACCATTCTTTTGGTTATCCGTAAAATTTACAGTAAACATACAGATGAGCGTAAGAATTATCGAAAAACCTAAATACTTTCAATGTGCTTTACCGCCTCCAGCCCTGGCGTCGACCATGTGACGGAAGTCGTGAGGTACGCACACTTGGCTTAGTTAGTATGTCATGCAGTTTTAAAATGTTAGCTATATTTCACACTATGACCCTTATAGTCAAGATAACTTCTTTGTGAGAACAATCCCCGCAAAATTCACCTCACGTGAGTGTCGGGTTTTCCCGACAAACGACTTATCCAAAACTGAATTATGGTACCAACGCTGCTACCGCTTCAACCATCAGCGAGATGAAAACTTGTAAAAACAGAAAATTCATTAATTTAATGACAAAGCTATTATTAGAAAACAAGAAATCACCTTAAAAGCTATATATATATTTAACTTTATGCTATGTATGCATCCTTTCCATTAAAACTGTCCAGCCAATCAGAGGGATGGTCAGCTCTGATGTGCTAGTGAACTGAATTGATAAACGTTCGAACAAAGCTTTTTCAAACTTTTCAGCCATTTCACCCTGCGTATAGCATCTATATAGTAAAAAATGGTCATCTAAAGAGTAGAACAGTACTGATGGCTACAAATCTGCCAAGTAACTTTTTTTTTTTCAAAACAATTCATTATTACCTGGTCGCCTTTCGGCAATAGACGTTGAACATATTAAGAACAAATTGCTTTCTCATATCTGAAGGAGTGCGAAATTGCCGTACGAAAGGGAGCGCCGAAGTATTAACGCATTTTTAACGACGCACTGAGCCAATACCGGCGCCCTTACATTTCGACGACTCCAGAAGGTATCTTAAATAAAGCCTGTTCCGCTAATATCAATTAGAGGCAAAATGAGCGTTCAGCTGTTGGGATTCGTTGTTCCAGTATTGATGAACACGGCTGCCTCCACTGCTGTTGTTGTTGAGCGAAATCAATAACGCTCTTCTGTTAATGATTCCAGTCGCGTGGCAACCTTGGACTTTTCTATTAATGGACACAAACGGAAATTTTGGCAGAGCCGATTTGCCTCCGCGTAACCCCTGGGTGTACTCACAGATCTCAGGTCTATAGCGGTGTCACGCTGTCAGCCTTGGAAAGCGAGCTGGCCTAGCATTCCGGTAGGTACAACAAGGCGTAACTCAAAAGGCCAAAATCCTACAGTACGCAATTCGCGGTCAAGCTGGCTCAAACATAAGAAGTGCCATTTTTCCCTGTGCTCATAGAACTATAGCAGTTTAATCGATAAAACAGTTCTGCTACGAATATGTAAGAGATCCGATCCTAATCATCCGGACGTAGTAATTGTTCTTTTTTTTTTTGTCATATTGTTCCTCTGTCGAAATGATCTTCCCTCGAGTAACCAGCCTGTATTTTGCTGCATCATCATGACTAATGGATTCCTGGCTTCCTGTTATGCCGCACGCATCTGGTAATTATAGTAATTTCAGGTGGTGTTACATCCTCGCGTTACATACGAGGTCACAATAAGAGAAAAGTATGTTCAGTCGGTTGCGTTTTGCGCCCTCTCAGTCACTAAAAGTTATAAGTTGGTAGAAGTTTGAAGCAGAGAGTTGTTGGCTACGTTTTCAGTTTAAAAAAATGTGTGTTACAATAGCCGTCAGCGGATACACACGGTGTAGTCAACTGGCTTGGCATACATCTCACGTCACTTGGAAATATGAATACATTAAAGACTGAGAGAAAGCCAGAGGTACACCGATGAATGAGTTGTCTAGGTATGAGCTCGAGAGTGCGTAGTAGTCGGGAGATTCCAAAGCCGGAGGTTTTAAGGCACTCCAAACGTTCGAAGGTCAGTCGAGTAAAACAATTACTTGTCAATACAACAAGTAAAGATAATTTCTTTCACTGATAATGTGACACGTTGCTGAATTTGAGTAGAAATAGATATGATAGAGACATAACTACATTTATATTTTTACATAATTTAAAGCAAATAGGCTCGAGGCGCTCTAAACCACAGATAAGGGCCAGACGCCTTCCGTTGGCCTTAAATTCCTCACTGGACAATTAACCAACTTTATTGAACAAACATCCAAACATATAAAGACTGTTTCTGTTGAGTATGCGTCTTTGGCGAGACTCGGAGCATTTTATCGATGATAGAATAGTACTTACTATGAACGCAGATCTAAAAAACATTATGCTTACTCTACACCTTTCTATCGTCTAAAAATATGATAACTCTAGGCAGGACTACGAGAGGCGTCCTACTTCAGTCGTATGTTTAGAGATCCATGTTTGAAGTGTAGCCCTGTGAACGTCTTAAACTTGGTTTATGCGTAAATCGAACGCGCCGTATCAACCTAAAGCTAAGCATAATCTTGATTGTTTGTCCATACTTACGAGATACCTCCATAATTTCATTTCTATCTTTTGAACATTTATATATATCTCCACAGGCTGGTACTTTGTAGAAGTCATACATCGACTAGTTGGGCATTAGTAATACAATGAAAGAGAAAAGCATTTCCAGACTAATTAGTTGCATCTATCTTCTAAAAAGTGCTTTGAGTCTTCAGGCGTCAATGCTGAACTCACGTAATATCATCTGCCCCACCCAAAACCTAACAGAAAAAGAAGCATCTCACGTTCGCTTCAGGTGAATCGCTAAAGGGTCTGCCTTTACACAGCTTAAACATTGCACCTACAGACAGATAAACAAAAAAAAAAAGCCATTTTTCAAGCTTTAATACCTCCGTTATTTAAATGCAATACATTTTATAGCCTTTTTCGAATGATTCCGTGAACACCACAAACGACTTGGTTTGATTGATGACTCCTACTATAAGTAATTTACTTTATGTACACATATTACGCTTCAGACATTGGGACAACGATTTATAATATCGTTAATTGTATCATGCACTTCTACACATCTACCTTGTAACGCTTTACTTTTTGCGGATTTTGAAGGTTGATAATCGATTATGAAGTGAAGCGCTTATACTTCAACGACGCCACAAGGTGCGGCGCGTGCTGTTCAGCGAGACGTAAGTATGGAAAGCTTAATCTATGTACATATAGCCTCGAAAAAAGCTATTGCGCAAAAAACAAGACGTTTGTAAATCCACCTTTAGGCGGATAGGCGCGTCTAATCTCAAGCGTGGACCTTTAGTGTGGTAGATATACATAAAGAAAATAATTTAATATTTTTGCTTAAACCAACATTTCTTATTATTCTCTGTCAATTTTTGGCAAAAGCTGCGTTAGAATTAATTTAAGCAATATTCTCTATTAACACACAAAAATATTTTTAATGCGCAAGACTTCTTCGAAGCGAACCAAAAAATAAAATTAAGCTCTGTACTCGGAAATCCTCTGTACCATTTAATATGGTGCTCTTAGATTCAATAACAAAAACGTCGCATTTTCCCCTTTGAAGCTTCAGAACAGATCACTCTGTATCTCTGGCCATCATCTCAGTGTACTGGAGCAAGACCTTTTTCAAACGGATCGTTTATTCCAAGTTTATTATACACATAAATAGGAATATGAAATGCATCTACACCTAAAAACAGTACGAACATAGCCCCATGTCTAAGTTGTTTGCCCGTTCATACATGACGAAATATCTGATCCTCAAGCTCAACAGTGCTCGCTTGACGTTCTACTTCAACTGGCCTACTCCAAAAGTGCTCATTTTGTAAATATTATTGTTTTTAGTCATATTTGTAGTGGATTTTGCGAAGCCGTTAATCAAATATTGCGCACTCAAGGGCACGTTATATGAGCTGATTATCGTTCGGTTGATCTTGAGGTATTTTCGGCCGGTTTGCGTCCACGGCTGTTGTCTGACTTCCTTTTTAGCTTGTACGTAGCCTATGGGTTTAGCAAGGGCATGCGCGGCCTCACTACATACGGGTGTCTATTGGGTGTAATTTAATCGATTTGCATCATTATTCAAGGGTACTTGCATGTTGAGTGATGAATCTTTAACACTCTACAAGAATAGCTTAATGGCAAAGCTCTATAAGATGGTCCAATGTAATACATGGTGAATTGACGCCATGCTGAAAGTTATAGCATAATTTTACTGAAGTTACTTGATTGTAGACTTAATATGGACTTTCGCTTATTACGGTGGAATGGGTAGGATGACCGGACTTTCCTTTACTCAACTGCGTCATTTGATTTCACGTACGATCGCAATGCAGCTATGGTTACTGGGTAGCTGTAGGCATCAATTTTTATGGACAGCAGCAGACCATTAGGTAACATAACTGCTGTCAAGCACAAGCGGATGTTGTTAATGTGGAATCAACATTGACAGCTGTTAAGCTTGATTTCAATACAATCCGAAATGGTGAGTACGTGTCTGCGATACATACAGCCAGCGGTCGACGACTTCGGTCTTTGCGTGTCACCCAGACCTGGATTTAAAGTGTAAGTCCCAATCAGTTCATTTTCTCGGGCGACTAATAAAAAATCGTCCATGCCTTAAAAATATATTTAATTTTGAATGTGCATGTGTGCACGCATGAGCTACACTGTTTGTTGAATTAAGCAGAACTTTTCTGTTAGTTGGTTGATTTGTGCTGTTGCTAAGGCAAAGAGCAAGTCGCCATTGTTTTTACTATTGTCAAAACGACTTATCTCATGTACAAGAGACATTATAAACAATCGTTATATATCGATTATGAATGCAACTCACGGAAAATCACGATACGAAAACACAAGATCCAGCTAATCAGGACCAATATTGTAAAGGAAAACGATAACAAGTGTTTTTATTCCTATAGGTTGTATACCTGTAAGAGTAACGTTGTGCAAAGCTTCATATAAATGCATCTAAAACAAGACAATAGTGTGTTGACACAACCGAACAACAAAACATGATAGGCGAAACTGACGAAGCGAATAGCCTTAAATGAAAAAGGAATGCACGCGTTTTTCCCACGGATTAAAACACTCTGTCCATAATGCACATATTACTGGGGCGAATTTTGAACAGCTGTAATTACCAAGTACTAATTTTGGTGGAAAACACGTTCCTATAATTTATTGTAATTACTTTATTCCAGCAACTGGATAACGTTTCGTGACGCCGACTCTGGAAAGATGCTTTGGATAGGAGACAGTGATGTGTATGTGTCTATGTTGACTGTTTCAGTTAGAGTGGTACAGATCCTGCTCTATGGTTACCATTTCAAGGCTGTTCAAAGAGTTAAATTCGACCACGATTCCACACTGAATATTTGTTTAAAAATATTTACTCTGAATAAACAGATGATATAGGCTATTATACTATTGTTGATCATAAACTTAACCCCAAACGTTGCAAAATACAGTTCCTTGCCACAGGTCGAACATGAAGCTCGAATTCCGAAAGAGATCCTCCGCTGTCGCGCAGTTTCCCGAGCAATTAACTTCTCATCAGAGGATCGCATAGAAGAGTTTCGTTTGGAACATAAGGTAAACTTAAATTTAATTTACAGCTCAAGGAATAAGATTTGACGATTCTTTTTACTGGGACCAGTCTCTCTTATATTTTCTAAAGGATTTCGATTCTCTCTCATCGTTGCTGCAGTTAATTCTATATCAACTGGGTTCAGCATAGCTTTCAAATTAAGTTTTATAAGTTTTTAACATTGAGGTTTATACGTCTTTAGCATTTATGATAAACTTTACTTTAAACGATCTCCAGTGGACATACATTTATTGTTAATTACGTTTTTTGGCAAGAGATTATATTACGTCTCTTGTATATAAGTATATATTAGATTCTGTTAAGCAAAACTGTCCAGTTTTTCCTAAATGCCGTTTCTCACATAACAAATAGTAACTGAAGCGAGTTACCGAATTTATTTCATTTATAAACCTATTATCAACAGGTCTTGTTTAAAGGTCATTGCCTTGAGGAATGGTTCTTTAAGTTTGGCCAAGTCACCCCGATGTCAACGAACACGTGGCAATCTGACATTGAGGCTGCGCCAGAAAGCCAAATGATGCCAGATTGCGTCCTGAGGTAAGTTTTTTTCGAGGGTTTACATAGGTTCGACATTATTTTTACTCTAAAATAGGTTAACATATATTCCAAAAATGTAAAACAGCGATACAAAAACGTACCAGCGAGTCCGACTGATTGTGAGCTCTTCCATGTATCGATTCTAGAATAGAGGGGTTATCAGAAGAATACTAGATACAGTTATAATTTTCAGATACACCTTATGTCTACAGCATAACGTACCACGGTGGATGCAGTAGGGGTAATAAGAGCGAAAATGATCAGCCTAATTATTCAGTTTGTTCGACCTTGTCACTCGATCCACCGAGCGGCTGAATTTTTCATTGAACTTAAAGACTCGTTATGAGCAGCCTTATTAAGCGCATTTTGATAACTATGGTCTAACCTTCTACAATAAATGGTCAGAATATCCGTATGTCGTGAAAATGTCTCTTGTTTGAACGAATACGCAAATATTGTGTGAATAGAGACTTCATCTAAAGACAACAATGCTTAAATTAACGCACACACAAAAACTGTACTGAATAAGTAAGAATATGCACCTCTGGAAAAAATCTGTGGTGGTAACTGCGTTTTAACTTTCTATCAACGTTTCAGTGGCAATGTCGTTATCGAGACACGTTTTTTCGACGGAAACAAACTGCTCACGGAGTCAAACGTGAGACTCTACTACGTTTAACTAATAGCTTGTAGCGACGTGTAGTAGACCTTGTAAAGGCGTTTCGATGATGAAGTCAACGTTCACACGCAGAACAGCGAGCGAAAAATAGCCAGCGTTCTCATGAGTAAATTAATCACCGAAAAACATTAAATAAATGGCCTTTCCATCCATTTTTGTCTATTATATTATACGTCTCATCGTTATCAGCGCAATCTTATTGAACCTAATGAAACCCTTGCTTTACGTGGTCACACTTTGTACTGAAATCAGTTGAAAGTCACAGAGAATCTCCTTATTGAAGGTAATGAAGAGGTGTGCAAGGCGTATTATAGCATTTTTGACGGATTAAAACATGACCAATTCCTAATATATATGCTACATAAATCGGGAGAGTTCGTTTATTTAACAAGCGTAATAGGGGTTTTTAGCATCGTACTAAGGCTGCCATTCAGGACAACTTTCGATTCGCCTATAATCTAGCAGATCTCGCACGTGAACATGTTTTCTTTGTTTGAAATAGAAATTGTTAAATAAACTCGTTCGATCTTGTTTTGCTACAAGATGGCCGTGCAGTAACGGATCAAAAATAATTGATACTGGACCATGGTCTAGATAGAGCTATTATATATTAGTACATCCTAGACTAATGCCACACAGGTCCCAAATGCAACCATGATCGAGTTCAAGTTAGAAATATGCAGAGATAAGTGGTCTTATGTTTATTCTTACCATATTAAGCCAGCCTTATTTTTGGAAACTAACTGGACTGCCATTTTTAAAACCTACTTATGGGAGGATACCCAATAATTGGCGCAAAACATTTCTTACACTAAGTCCTAAGCGCAAAAACGATCCCGAAGGACCTTTACGTTAACAGATATTACAAAAAAGGCGTTGTGTTTGCTGATGGCGCAAGCTGCTAGCCTGCTTTTGTCCTGCCGTTGTCCCGAGTTCTTAGGAAGTTGTAGAATTATTTTGGAAAAGTAGCAAAATTTTTAAGCCCATTACTCAAAGCTTTCTGCTTGTTCCATCTCCTTGCGTCACATTCGATCCATGTCAGGCCGAGAGGACAATCTCTTCACACTATGTTTGTGGGCTTTGAGCAGCATTTGCTACAGCATCAAATATTGAAATCCTTTCAAACTCGATCAGATAGGTGTCCCGTTTAGAGGTATTCCCTTAGCCAACACCTGACGTACAGCTTTCGGCTCTTCAGATTTAGGACATTGCGAAGAAGGCCACGCACGCTCTTGGACTCACACCTATGTATTCTTTGAATGTGTCCTTTCGACTCGCATTAGTGTCATATTTTCCCTTTTCTAGAAAACCTTTTTTCTTTCTCGTCAGGATTTTAACAACCTGATTGCAGTCAGGTTACGGCAGTCATTCGTAAGGCCCATTTCGCTCCCTAAAATTTATGAGAAACATATCTGAAAAGAAGCAGACCATAGAGGATGATTGTATTGCGAGACTCGAGCCATATAGTCAAAACATTAAAGTTGCTCAGGGTGACAAGCACAACAATCGGCATCCCAATAAAGGGATGCCGATTTTTGTGCTCCGGGGATTACCCCAGGTCTAGCAAGAAATATGTGCCGATTCTTCAGCAACGGCTCTACTTCAACCTGTCAGCAACAATACGGGCGCTCACTCTGGAGCTTGGTACGAAATCGTTAATATCGACATACACATTAAAAAAAAGCCTTGAAATTAACAAGTTTGTGCAGCTTGGATTATTTATCGAATTTTTTTGCACTCCTATTAATTTATACTATACCACTCTGTCTAGTCTCATTACTGTAGCCCGAGTTATCGTTGAAGAACAAACTTTAAGTAAACGTCGCTGTACCCGTGATAGCTTAGCGGGTGACGTATTTACCTACTCATCTTAGAGACACGTTGTGGTCTAGGTTCGAATCCATAGGGCATAGACAAACACGCTTTGTCTCGTGCTGGAAACCAGCAGTATGATGAAATACCTAATGCCGATACCAGAAGTAAAATTCGAAATATGGAGGTAAACGACACTAAATTCAGTATGCTATCGACAGGAATAAATTTACCGTCCTCCCTACTTGAATTAGAAACGAGAGAAGCCTAAAATCAAATTTCACCGTATGTTAGAAACCAACGCACGATTGAAACTCTAGAGAAGTTTCTGCATTTTACCGTGAACTCAGGCGTCTGCAATTTCTTCGCTATAATTCTTCTAACTAACCCAAATGTGATCAATGTGAGCCCCAGCTGTATTGCAAACAACAATTTATTCTTTTGACATTAGAACAATATTCTAAGCACAGCTTCTTTATCATTGTTTAGAAAGCAAAATATTTCTATAAAGTAGAGCATCCGATAAATTCTCTTATTATGACTCGACGATCACTTACTTTATTCATATTTTCCTCTCTATCAATACCATTATTAACACTGTGTTTGCTGTTATGAGTATTATAACACGAAGCTCTGGTTGTGCACATCGGCTAAAGCGGACAGGTGATTTATGAAATGAGTCTAAAGTGAGTATTGTTATCGTGCTATGCTAGGCTTCTTTTTGCAATATTTATTGTGTGTTCCCTTTGAATAGGTTCGGAGTGATGCTCAGGTCGTAAGCGGTGACGGGAAGTACAGTTAGACATTGTCTTAATTACCTCTTGATGCACTTTTCTCTAATGAGCGTCATGCGAACATACCCTTTACTAGGACAAATGTTGTTTTCCATAATAATGTAAAACTCTTCGCCAAAGCACCACCCCTACGTTGCTTAGTACAATCACAACTAACTGTACTTTAAACGGATATTTTCATGCTTTTGCCAAATGCGTTCTCCATCACGGGTAAATCTTGTACGGCTCACGCGTTCAACTTATTAGGATCAGCGCAGTAATACCGATTGAGTGGGCGGGTTTATTATTCTATAATCTTCCTAGAAAATGAATATATGATTTATTTCCAACGAAGCGCGTCGCTGTCTCATGCGACATAACATTTTGGAGCACTCCTTAATGAGAAAGACGCGTACTTTTGCTATCAATATTATACATAGACATCCGTTACAATTTCTCGCTCGCTTCAGTCTACCACTTTCGTTTACTCAGTAATTCAAAATCAACATCAGTAATCTATAGATCGTCCCAAAAACAGCAACTATTTTCAATTTGAATCTTCTTGATTGTGCATTGCTGGACTGGATACGGAAGTACTGCAGATAACCGCAGAGTCATGTGTGCCAATACGATACACAATGATCAGCACCGTAGACGGATGAGAACTCTGACCATTATATATAAATATATAGTAAAACACATAAAAAATAACAGATTTTAATAGCCGCAAACAATACGGGTACGCATTATTAATGGTAGGTCTCAGAAGAAGCCGATTTTACAATTAGAATTTGACAAAATTCGAAATCAAGGAAACAAGATGTTTTTCTTTCTAATATACTTACGAAATATAATGAATAGTTCTGCACTACTTTGCTAAATTCTGCGATAATCTGCCGTTATACAGAACCCATACAGCGGGCGATGCCTTAGAACATCTTTAGGTCATGTGATACGAACATAAATAATTTACTCTCAAATTAGACTAATAAGGCCCCACGATATACAGTATTTTGACTTTATAAATTTATATAAATTAACTTCTCGTTTGAAGTTTTAAATACTAGCAAATATTACAAAACTTGTAAATCTGCTTCGTACAAAACGATAGCATACTTATTACAGTGCCTTTTTCAGTACGAGTGTGCGGCATTGAACAGTGCTTCTATCATCCGCCCACTTCAAATTCCCTTGCTTCAATTGCAAACTGATACTGCCATGGCATCTAGTTCTGGTAAACTGACAGTTAGCCGAATATTGACGCAAGTTAAACAAAAGCACAACGTTTTTCTAGTAGCACTAATTCAGGTGGTAACTTGGCCTAGACTGACCGTCCTGTCAGGCGATACAACATGTTTTGGCCTAGGTTAATTCTACGTCTCGTCTAATGTCATTACATGATCAATACGTCTGGACTCGACAGCAAAATATCTAGAAAGTATACTCTTTTTAGGCAAAACTTTTATTATATCTACCTAGTACTAACAATTAATTTGCTCTGAGATTCTTTAGCTGGTAAGCCCAGAGACCATAATTATATTGTGTGTTTCAAGGCCTATACAAAACAATACTATAACCAATAATTATATTATAGATATATCCAACTTCATATCCATATTATTCATATGAATGGTCAAATCTAACGATCCAAGTCTTTCTGCTTGTTTGTTTTCGTTCCCGTAAGGCGTTGTCAATCATTCTATATCGTACCATAATTGTTTTAAATAATATCATGGGCTAAGGGTCTCATGAACCTTACGGAATCTTCGACTTCTCTTGAAGCGGGAAATTGTTCAATAAAATGGAACGACAGGTTACACTAATATCACGCAATTATAAAACGGTATCTATACAGAAACCTTATTTGTAGATCACTCACTGCGTTGTACGACGTTTTTACCCAAACAGGTAAGATAACGTTTGCTCCGCTCGTTCCTTTTTATATTATTATTGTTACTATAAACAATTTTATTGTTTCAACGATTGCTATTGGTACTGTTGAATAGTTGTTGGCTTGCACAGTTCTTGCACAGGATCCTGCGCGGTCGACTTATATGTGAACAGCTGGTACCCAGTGTTTAGGCCTATGTTGTTCTACATAACCGATATTTGTCTGAGACGTAAATGAATTGATTAAGAAATACGGTTGATTTATATGGGCAATTGGCTATGGTGAGACGATGATTTCGCATATGGCTGACACGGTCTGGTGCTTCGACCTGCGCCCTGTCGGCTTAACTGCTTCGTCCCGACTATTGTTTGTTGCTTGGGTGAATCACAGGACTGCCTGGAGGTCGACCACCAGCAACGTAAGTTGATTTAACTACTAATTCAAATGTAATAGAGTCGAACCGCTGATTTTGAGAGTAGGTTTTCGCCGTCATAAAATTCGGTCTCGATGACCAGGTTGCCGCTGTGGATGTGAAGTAAAAGGAAACAGAAAGACAAGCAACAATAAGATCAAAACTGTGGATTCAATCAGTTCATAAATACTGATTTAACGTGTGCACAGATTGAGAAATACACCAGTTAACCCACTACAAGTTTCTAACCCACTACAAGTTTCTAACTTGTAGTGGGTTAACTGATGTATTTCTTAACCGGTAACTGGTGTACACTTGCCATTATTAACGTTTTCACAATTTCATTTGGCAATTTTACGTCAGTAGGATTGCATTATACCCAACAAACTAGAAAATAATATAACAATGTTGCAAACTTGGATTGTTAAAATAAAATCTATGTGGAGTCTGGAAAACCAATCACGACGTAAAAACGACAACTCACTTAAGAACATTTGCTGGCATCATTTGACTCTCTGGTGCAGCCTCGATTATCGATTGCCACGTATTCGTAGACATCGGAATGACGAAGCCGAATTCGAAAAACCACTCTTCCAAAACGCGACCCTTAAACATTACCTGTAAATTATAACCATGCGTTGAATTACCTTCACAGGCAACTATTTTATTACCACTAATATTTGTAACTGATTTCAGTAATGCTATTCAAAGAGGCATATTATTTTTTTCTAGGGCGCGCTTAATCAATTAATACTCATTCTAAATACCAAATCGAGTAGGTACAAATACATTGATCAACGAACTTCCTTCACATCTGCATTGATTGATTAGTTGAATTGCGCAATCTAATGTGCTTTAAACTTATTTTAAAATGGATAGTTGGCAACGTCTGTGACTGGTTCGTCAATCTACTGTTGCTTCTTAAAATCTATACAGGCGTATTATATATACTCGCGTTAAAATAAATGCTGCGCGATCAATTTATGACCAGTCTGACCTTCTGTTCAAGGCGGAACTTGTCCAATTGTTGTGATGATGAGAAATTGATCTCCCGGGAGACGGCGCGGCACTTCAGTATTTTCTTTGGAACGCGCGCCTCGTGCTCGACATCGGATTTTGAGCTACAGGAGAAAGGGTGAGATTGGATATTATCGCCGTCCTTATCAGGCACTCGGATTTGATAAACGACAAAAACATATGTATACTAAATAAAAAGCCATACAAAGATGCATACATATATGTACTTTTTTCTACAAAAATAACTGTTGTAGATTACTGTTATACTGCGATTCATGTCATGGCTAGTGTCCGTGGCTCACAGCTGCGCACATCAATTGAAAAAGGAATAAAGTAAACCTGTGCATAACTAAGCTCATTAATTTATATAGAGAATAATTTATATAGAAATTATATATATTAGAAGGCATGCATTGATCTTTATAGAGCCTAAACATTAGCAATGTTCAGTTTCTGCTATGGAAAAGCTTGAGGAGCATCCTGTTCAGTCCAGATAATCTCTTATGTTCGCATAAACTATACTTGACTTGAAGATGAAGGCTTCTGCGTATCAACTATAGATTCCCTAGGATGACAGAAATTAAACTACAGCCAAACGATCACCTACGCAAAAATTACCGTCCGAATAGCGCATAGTACAAGAAGATTTCTTTGAATAATTCTTCTGAATCTACATATTTCTAGCAAAGCGTGTTTATACGACGTTTTACGAACTCCGATATGGCTGTTGAAAGCGGGCTTGACCTGCTTTGTTTATAAACCACTATGCAAAGATTATAGGTCAAAGTACAAATTCCCCCCAAAAGGACGCCATCACTACGTCGGGGCAACTCGTCGTTTGCCTATTACTGAGAAAAGCCGCAAAGAGTCACTTTATTGAAACGCTCCCGCGTTGACAAGGCTTAATGTTTATAGATTTATGCTTGTAAGTATAACTAATGAAATCAACGGAACAGGCAACCAAATATTGATATTGGAGGTTGACGCAAACCCTTGATGCCGATGTTAAAATTTTTGAGTACTTACAGGTCTTCAACGCCCTGCCAAAGGATTTTTCCTGTGTCAGCATCTCGAAGGTTCATCCAATTACTGTAAGGAAATGGAAAAAAGATGAACAGAATTGTACATTTAGTACCATATCATATATCAAATAATAAAAATACAAGCAGTGTTTGCTTTACGCTTTTACTATCAGGATAACAATGATCTTTCCAGTTTCGAAAAGGAAGAGAAGATACTGGCTCCAGATAGTCACGCGCGCCAATACTTTAGTATACACTTTAAAGATGAAAACAGAACTAGATGAATGTGAAATTAAAAAATCTTGAAGGACAACCTCAACAATGGCAAAATGTAGTAAATGAAGGAGTCTATATATATGGAAGCTATTTGTAGTATGCGAAAAAATATTCTTGTTTGAAAGACTATACAGTTTACTATTAGTTATTGGATAAGTATGAGTCATTATATATTCTGAAGTGAGGTGTTAACTGTTAATAATAATAAACAAAGCTGTTGTACTGTTAATACCAACTAATATATTGATGCATGGTAGAACCTTGTTGTCGCAATGGACAAAGAGGGCTAGCAGTAAATAAATTCACAATAAGAAAAATCGAAAAGATCCATGCTACTGTAATAAAAAATTGCGTAAACTTTATACTTGTAAGACGAGCATTATCCATAAACAAATTGGCCTTTAACAAACAACTCAAACAGCGAAATCGAAAAGATCAATATCGGACCACCATAAAATATTGAAGTAAAATGCTCAAGTCTATTTAACGACTCTAGAAGATTAAGTGTTTCTCATATCAGTATAACAATTACAATTAACAACTCCATACATTTCAGTTGATTATCCTAGTAGACGGTACCATGTTTCCCTCACAGTTTGTCGGTGAGATTATCCAGTTGAAGCGAAAGCGGTTACAGCGAACATAAAGTCCTATCTGGTCAATAATTTGCCTATGTGAATATATGATCTCTGAACGTACTAGGGTAGTCTGCAAATATATACTAACACTCGAAATCCGGATCCGGGTAGAACCGGGGCTGTCTGTGGACACGTCTGTGACGACTGATCGTCCGCCATCGAGTCGCACTCCGACATCGTTAACGATGAAGGCTGGTCCACGCAGGTATCGCTGGCCATCATTTCTGACGCCATGATTATCTACTTGTCTTCCTAGTGTGCTACTCTGTATAGTAAACGCTCGGTAACGATTTCTCTTGTTAATTAGTTGAGTATCTCTGCGTTTCTACTGCACGGTACCGTCGCCACTGGTAGCCGTTGTAGATCGGAGCAACGTCTTCTACCACTTGTGGATGTTACACTATGCTTACACAATCTACATCCGCGACACTTTTATCCAATGGGGTTAGCAGGCGATGGGTCTTTCGTTGAAGATATGCAACAATGTCAGCTCCAAGCAGCAGCTCCAAATAGAAACAGTTGAAAATTCGATCCGGGATCGAACATCGGGTTTTAAAGTTATTTCAATACTTCACTTTTTCGCCAATAGTGGTATATCTACTTTCAACTCTAAAGTGTAAATTTGTCCACCGTAATGCTTCGTACGATATCCTGTGGTGCGCGGCAGTTTCAGTTTGAGCCCGCAGCGACCGCAAAATCCAGAAGCCTATTCTATTCTATTGGATACCTAGTCGAACTCTATGCGGTTCTTGTGAGCAGCAGATAACTTGATCTTGATAATACAGGTACCCCCTATTGCACAACGCGTGAAACCTCCCAACTACGGCAAATAATTTAACAATCCGTCAGCCAGCACCTCTATCTCTCATAATCACAAAAGCACAAAACCCTCCGCGACCCAACAAACTGTCGAATGTGGACTACAATGTTCGCTCACTTTACAATGCAGCTCAGCATCAAAAATATAACGTCTATTGGAGAACCAATAACAAACGGCACTACAGCTATGAGGCGAGCCACCTTCAGCTGTAAACGGAGCAGGGATGAGGTTCCTTCAATACGTAGAAATGCAAGCCACCATGGGCAGCTATAGCTATGGCTCGCCCTAAACTTACTGCCCGATAGACTAGCACTAAGGGTTGCTCATCAACGACCGGTATCGTTCTTCTCTTTCTCTATTTATTGTACTCACAAACACGTTAAATCTCCTTCTCGCCCCTGGCGCTCTCTATTTTGGCTTGTTGCCATGGTGGCAGCACAGGTAAGCAGCGTGGAAAGCGTCGCATGTTCGGCGAACTAACGAGAGCGGTGTTCGGTTGCCGCGAAGACATTCGCGCCAGTGCTGATGAACCGAGCTAGCACAGATAAAAACTAATCTATCACATGAATAAATATAGGATTCGAGATTAGTTGCTGTGATGTAATATCATGACGACCTGCTGCTCCGCATCACCGATGGCTTAACACACCGTGAAGGCAACCTATGGAGGCGTGGACTGCACGCATTTGATATTTAAGTTGGTTAACTGACGCATAACAAATTGTTAGTTAAAATTACCCAATAGAAAGCGGACGCATAATAGCATTGTTGCTGCTGCTGCTTTGACGAGATCTCGACATAAATGCGTTCAATCAAGTATCCCTCGTCTGTCGTCCAACATACGACTGAGCCCGCGCAGCTGGCTTCGCTGGCAACCCATTTATCTGGCGCTCCTAAGTCACGAGCAATCATGAGCGAGGGAAATCGGCCTGTGGAGACGAAACGAGAAAGATGAATGGATTATGTTATCGTCATTAAAGAAAAAGGGAAAGATATTTGCAAAAGAAAGGTTAAAAATGGTTTGATTCAATTGGGCATTTTGCAGATAGCAGCGCCAGCAGTGATTCGTAAGTTTTTAGAAAACCTCACCTTGAAATGCATGCGCCAACCTGCCATGCTGTTCAAATGTAATTAGTTCGATTGTTTGTGAGGGAATAGCTCTGCTGTAGAACAGTTTGTGTTGTTATGAACCTGTGTGCGCCTCGTACAAGAGCAATAGTGATGGCCAGTAGGAGTAAGTGGCGCAGTCTCAATTGTGATTGATTTTGTGGCTCGTGCTCGGCGAGGGGAAGCCGCGTCTGCCTTCACAGGGTGGACTTCCAATAGCATTCCCAACAAATAGACATATATACGAGCGGTCAAAAACACCGGCATCGAATATCTAGTTAATAGCTGATTCGTGTGTATAAGTGTGAGAACATAGTTCGATTTTGGTACGACGGTGGAAACGGGAGTACAAGCAAGCTATGTGATACGTCGATGATAAGCAACATATAAAATAAATATGATAAAGGAATCTAGGCAACCTGTTGATAAGAAAAGTTTCCTACTTTAAAGTGTTTTGTGATGCACTTGAGCCGTCTGCGAAACAGAAATTGTACAATTAAAGGATTTGATGATGAATAAACAAATAGCAGAAATAGTTCCGTAATAAATACACGTTCCTCAGCTAGTCCCGTAGTGGATGATCCGTTTCAATTACCGTAGTATATTTTTACTAGATACGTATCATAGTGCTACGACAACATCCTACTGGCATAGCTGCAACGTCGTGTATGCACACAGTAGTTCGCTGAGTAACTCTGTCTGAACAGGAAATTACCTCTATACGAACGTTGACTTTGAGTAACGTTGTCACATGCGTACAAGTGTCTTAGAGACCTATCTCTAGACATTCTTTAGTCGGACGTTCGCTTTCGCCTTGCCGCTACTTAAACATGAATAGAACTGCCGAGAAATGTTATAAAGGTGCTTTAGTTCACCGTACACTACTGCTGGACGAAACATGCTGTCTATTGTTACAATACAATAACACAGAGGTATTTAATAAGTGGGAGGGAATAAACTTAAATGCAGCCTAAATAACTCAATTGGTCTGTTAACGAAGCCAAATAGTATTCAGAGAGAAGGTCCATGTCAGTACCTAAAGATGTAAAGCTTAATGAGTAGACCTGAAATAAATAAAAGCTTAGCTTTGTCATAGTTTTAAAAGTCGGCTTCAATGGCAGCAACGGGTAAAGTTTTGAAACGAAAAGTACCGTAATTAACTACGTTTTAACATTTTTTTTTTAAGAAACAAAACACCTTTCAGTAGTTAGACAAAGCAATTTTTACGTAGAATTCAAATACGTAGAAGGCCAAATTAAAATTTTTCTTCCATTGTTTTATTTATTTATCTAAAGATTTCGACTGACGAACATTGCCTGTGCGGCCCCTTCAATGCAGTTCAACTTATCTGCTCTCACATGACGTGTACCTCAGATTGTATACGGAGTTGTAACTTACCTAATTAAGTATTTTAGATTTATTTGCTTTCCTTACTGTTTGATCTACACAGTCTATCAATGTTCGTGCACATACGACCCGTAATTGTGTGTGGATCAATTTTCTTTCAGAGAAAACGTGTATAACATTTTTCGATCATGCTGTCTTTTGTTTCATGAAGGTTACTGCGACCAATGACAGGTATTAGCAGCATGGCTTCATTCAGGAAAATTATACCCGTTCAGTTTTATTCGGGTACGCCACTAAAGTATGTTTTTGATTATTTGTCATACGAGTTTAGTCGGAATAGATTCATTAATCAATTTTCTCTGGGCTGCTACTTGTTACGTCACCGCATAACCAAGAAGGAGCCGTCGAGCGCTGCGTGGGTCAGTGTATCGTCTCTCTGCAATCGCACTCGCTCTTAGGATCGCTGCCTTTATGGAATAGGCTCGGACGGAACAAAGTTAAGCTTGCCAAGTGAGGAACATGCTCGAAAATAATAACAGTAGATATGTGTACCGTTTGCCCCATAGATGACATGTTCGCGACCTCTTTAGTAATTAAATTATTGTTGTTATGAGCATATAAATCACCACTTATCTAAGTGTAGCCGAATTATTAATGCTGTCAAATTTCTTCGATTAGCGAACTTAAGTGTTACATTAGCAACCACTTTAAAGAAAGTTTACGACAACGATAAGATTAAGGTATCAACCATAAACTGAGTCGTCCAACTGCAAATTACGCAAACCCTGTGAACTCGATGGGATGGCACTGTGTTTATTATATTAAGTAAAAATAATGTATAATTATTTAATGATTAAGACTCCTGAATATCTGCCAACAAGATCTATTCCATTTCATTGAAGATGCGTGTTTAGCTAAGGATTGCTACGATAGGAGCCATAGCAACGATAATGTATGTTACAATGGATAGTCAATTTTTTTTTCAATTTAAGTATATACTTAAAGTATATATGTGTCAAAATCTCTAGATAGCAGTGCCGTCAGTAGGTAAATATCAAATCGGTATTTATTATTATGGCTTTTAAATATAATTATTTTAGAGTATCTTGAAGATAAAGGTTTTTTGCTGTTTGTATTTGCTAGTTTTTTAAAATGTCGACGCGTGAACTGATCAGTGCTCAATGCGGCACTCAGAATCCACTCGGGGAGCTTTCGCAACAATTGCGCCGTCGCGAACGTCTTCAGCAGTACACTCAGCATGTTTCACCTATAGGTGCAGGGGCTGGAGCCGCTATCCCAGCTCCATCATCCTTTCACATGGGCGACCTCTTACAACAGGTCAATCAAACGGGAGCGACACAACTACAAGCTGGCAAGTCAAAATTTATCAGCATATTCGCTTTCCGAGTCGATGTGAACCAAAGTTTCTCACAGCGTAACTAGTTATTAATGTTTGTAATAATGCACGATCAAAGGTAAAAACGTCAGTGCATCGGGCTTAGTGATGAAGATTATTGTAATTTGATTATTATAACAAAGGTAAATCTTTTAGTTACATTGAGCTTTCCAGAGCAAAGCTATGAGCAGTACTTCTAATCTGAGCAACTGAAATGAAAGCATTTTTCAATATAACTCAGGAACTCTTCTGGTTATATTTCTGCGTTAAGCGTTAGCAGTCCGTTGTACTATCAGTACTTTGTATAACCATTCGTAAGTTCGTTATCTATTACTTTTTTAAGCGAATTAAACTGTACGTTCGGTCGCGAGTAATTGCATAGGCTTGAATCCGTAGAATACCAGGATTTCGAATTTCTTTTTCCACACTGTAACTACCCATCTAGGACGTAATCTCAGCGCTTGTACATCTTCTTATAGGTGGATCGCTAAATTAAGTGCTGTCGATTTACACGCCGCTCATTCAGAAGTCTTGAAGAAAAAAAGAATTACGTTTGTCGCTAATATCTTGTAATAACCAACTTATTAACATGTGTCACCTATGACTTTTGGGTAGTCTATTATCAAGGAATCTAGACGAAATAACCTATATACCTTGTCAAATAGCAACGGAACGTGATCGACAAGTTTTCGCTTTTCGTTACTTTTTAAAATTCCGTCTCGCTTAGAACATTTTTTAGAGGATGTGGTTTCAGTAAAATTCATTGATACGCAGTCTTTGCCTATTCCTTTTACAACCCGCGACGCTCATATTTTTTTATTGCGTTTGTAAGCTGTGGAACTTTAGAGTAGTGGCTTCTTTCCAGATGCTTTTAGACACCAGAGCGTCTCTGCCGAAAACACTGGTATCGAAATTGCATCATGCGCTCTTTTAAGCCAACGGTGTTTAACTGTTACACAAAGATCAGCAAACTTCAGTAATAGACTAATGTCAGAAGAATGCTTGCAGGTTTTCACCTGTTTCAATTTCGAAATATAAGGCCTCGCACTATTTTCACACGTTTTGGAAGTTACGACCGACTTAAGCGTATCTCTGCTGCAGACAACCAGTCCCCCGAGCCAATCCCGGACAAGTTGTTCTTTCTAGTGCTTAGCTATAACGACACTAATTGGTAATTTGCTTTTCCCTTTGCATCTTGTGCTAAGCAGCGACGTCGAGGGGTCAGCAATGGGTTCGTGAATTCGGCACAGTGGACCCTTCTTCGCAAGCTAGATCTTGGGCGACCGAATTTATGATATCAGAACCGCGTACAGCCTCTTCCTCTGCAGCCGCTGCTAGTCTCCGTGTGGCCAGCGTTCTTCGAGATCCACACATGACACCCCAACTGTACGGTCCAGAGAGGCCGATCCTAATGCCGATAAAGCAACTGATGCCAGCTGCATTACGCCCTGAAGAAACGGGCGCTGGTGGAAAGTGGGCTGAAGACATTTTAGCGGAAAGTGAACAGAAAAATGCTGACGAATTATTAAAGCTGCAAAAAGTTGCAAGAGACTTCGTCCGGACAGAAAATGATCCGAGTGTAGAAAAGACAGAATTCTATAAATTCGTCCAACAGGTCAGTGATGCAGGTGTATATTGATGCTGTTGTCTCGGGCCAAATAAATGTAGTCTTATTTAAGCTATAATATGGATTAGGGTTAACGGGAAAACTTTTATGCGCTCAAATATATATATATATATACATGTATGGTAGAGCAAACATTTGACAGCGGCTTGAAAGTCATTTTACATTTCTGCAATATATTTAATTGGAACGTGAATAATTTTGGTTCGTTTTTGTTGCTTCCGTTCCTTTTCATTCCTCCACTGTTTGCTTAGCTCTGTGCGTCGGTCGGAAATAATTTTTTTTCGCAAGTCCGTTGTAATTTGATTGTGCAGTGAACGCCGTTTTATGTTTCGCTCAAGCTTTAAATATCAAGGCTGGAGGTGAAAATAACGACACTTTAACTTTATCTGAAGCTATTGTTTTGGGTGTGCCCTAATGGACCGAATGAAATGCCAAAAGAAACATAGCTTCGTATTAATTTCAAGTATTTTACTCCGTACCAAGTAACCAGCATTCACAATGGCAGGCTTCTACACAGATTGGCCTCGGCGAGGGAAGCGCTGTCTCTCCGTCGACATAAAACAGAGAAAGAACTCCAGAGGATAACTCTCCAGATCAGTAACTCCAGAAGATACACCTAAGCCCAGACTAAGAGATCCTAAAAAGACGATGATTTGCATTTAGCAGGGCTAGAAAGATCCTATATATTGAAAGATGCTTGAGAAGTATCAAACGGTCACCAAAGATCGGTATATGGCCTAATTGCGTTTAGTAAATGACGCTTTCTAACAGGAAAAAAACAGCCTAATAGACAAAACCTTGTCATCCTTCTTTAAGATACTACCAGGCTGCACATTGCAAAAAATGTGAGTGCTTGAGAGGCAGTTCTTTTGCAGTCACCATTCTCCGAACCTCGCTCCAGCGACTTACCATTTCTTCCAGTCGCTGATAATTGAATACGTAATCGTAGTTTTGACCATGAAGGAGGTTTCAAAATTTGTCTGGATCAGTTCTACAACACTGGGATTGAAAATTTCTACCAAGCAAAACAAACAAATCCATTGACAGATAAAACAAGGTCATGGAGAACCGCGAGGCATAATGAATTTATTCGTTATTTCCATCTAGAGAAAACCTTGCGTCTTTGTTAAGTGAAAACCGAAATTACTTATGTTCCAACCTAATACATACGTGCGAGGCATATACATATATATACATTGTCAAGATATTTTCATCCCTCACATGTGTACCTCATATTTTGCAATGCATTGTAATCGTGGCCGCATGGATGATTTGCTAATACACTCCAGCAATGTGAGGAGTATAAATAGTTTGAATATATCTGCGAACTAATTTAACAGGTGACTTTCATTATGTATAACGGATATATGGACGCATTCTAGGTCGGGGGTGAATCTAGTGCCGCAACTGCGGAACGATGGGCAAAAGAACTGGACCAGGAAGAGAGGTCAATGGAAAAAACTGCTGCTCGCGATGACTTCAAAATGTGGAAAGATTTAGCTGAGATTTGGGGCAACGCTTCATTTAACACAATGGGCTCCAATGGGGCGCAAGGAAACGAATCACTGCCTGAGTCGTATAGGAATTACCGTTTTAACGAACAAAATTTTCTGGAAGATGCAGTGCAGAATCCGTTCGAAGAAGGTTTACAAAAACTTCGTGAAGGCGATCTACCTTCGGCCGTACTTCTTTTCGAAGCTGCGGTCCGCAAGGACAGTGCACATGCTGAAGCTTGGCAGCTGCTGGGGACAACTCAGGCGCAAAATGAACAAGATATTCAGGCAATCGCAGCACTACGTCAGTGTCTTCATTTACAACCGCAAAATGCTGCGGCCATGTTGGCGTTAGCGGTCAGTTATACGAATGAAGGTCTACAAAGGCAAGCATGTGAAGTACTCACTGAGTGGCTGCGCGCAAGCCCAAAATATGGACACCTTGTACAGGTAATTACAAGAAAATGTCAGATAAAAAAAAGCCATTCTAGGTACACCGTCATTTCATCCAAGTTCAAAAATATTTAGTGACTGGTTGGAGACGATCAGCTAGACAAAATTTTCAAACTATTCGGAAATTTTTAAGCTGATTTTCAAAAGACTATCTGTAAATATGCCATACGCGAATTGGGATATTTAGCTAAAGACCACGACAAAACGGGGCTAATGAGGTTGGCGATTTTTACGTATTCAGAGTGCACTGCAATGACATTATACCTGCATTACTTCATTAGCATTTTCTCTATTGACTTTTGCTCACAAACTAAATATACGAGCAAAAATATTCAGAATACGACAAATACGACATTGACTTAAATTTGAAAATAAGTTCGTTGATGCATTTGTTCCAGCCGGTATCTCAGCCGACAGGGCCTCAGACGTCAGAGCCGCATATAATGTCAGTGCTCGAAGATCGAGAACACAAGCGGGTCTTGGATATGTACATTAGCGCTGCACAAATTAACCCAGACTCTCCAGACCCCGATATACAGTCCTGTCTTGGTGTTCTATTAAGTCTTACTGGAGACTTTGATAAGGCTGTTGATTGTTTTCGAGCTGCTGTTGCAGTAAAGCCTGAGGACTCCTTACTGTGGAATCGGTAAGTAGAGAGCGATTACCTGGCTGAATAAGCGTTCTACTTGGTCCCACAGAGTTGAATGTTAAGGAAGGCTTCTATACCATATTGGAATAGGTGTGGTTTCTGGTTAATTGTACACTTCTGTTTAATCACACCGCTGTCTGATCATTGCAGGCTGGGAGCTACATTAGCAAATGGGGGTCGCTCTGAAGAAGCTGTTGAAGCATATCGGCAGTCACTGCAGCTGCACCCGGGATTTATCCGGGCGCGATTTAATCTCGGCATTTCATGTATCAACCTCGGTGCACACCAGGAAGCTGCAGAGCATTTTCTCACAGCGCTGAATCTGCAAGTATGTATTTATGATACCATTATTTGTCCTTTCGGTGCGACTTTATCTGTAAATTTTTCATTTGAGAATGGCGCGTAAGAAGTGAAGTTTGGGTTTGAAAATACGATGTACTTTAATCGTATGGAAACACTACACGACCTATTAGATGAAAACACTTATGAATCCATAATGACCTTCACAGGATAACGCCAAAGCCGAAGCAGCAAACGGAATCGTACGAAGCAGAGCTATGTCGGATAATATCTGGAACACTCTTCGAATGACGCTCACTCTTATGAACCGAACAGACCTGTACCCTGACGTTGATGCTAGAGACCTCAGCAAACTTAACCGGATTTTCATCAAACAAGACACACCCATCCTTTCCTGACCAAATGGATCCTATGAAATGGTGTAGATAAACCATACGGATTATTTTTATATTAACCGAAGGCTAGCGGTACTTAAAAACAGAGTTATTTCTACAGCCTATGTCTCATTGATTACTTTTGCCAGTTTATGGTGGAACCTGTTTGAGAGTACCCAAAAACAAGTATTTCTTTTATATTTGGCCACTATTCATAGACTTAATAAAGCTATCAGCTCTACGCTTGCAATCTAACTGACAAACGTGTACGTTTAGGACTAACACGAACAGAGATTCTAAAGAAGAGTAAGGAAACAAAAAGCCAGTTGCATAGATGGTTTTCTCAACTCGTTTTGCGTTGTATAAAACAGGGATATGTTTCATTTTACTATTCAGCTTCAGGTATGACAGAACGAGCAGCGAAAGTTAGGCTTAGGGTAACGTAAATGCGGGTGATTTAAGTTCCTCAGCTAATCTTATCGGCACTTAAATCAAACACATGTGTCAAAGTGTAATAATAGTTTCTGTGTAATTGAGAAATTGGAATAAATATTCGAAAACAACGGAACAATCTACTAGCCAGGGTGCGCACAGTTTTGTAAGTACATGCTACACACAAAAATCGTTTAGTCGGACTACAAAGTCTAGTACTGAACTGTAGCTACGCGTTTCACATCTGGTGCTAATGCCGCCGCTTCAAAGAGCTAATTCCTTTTAGCACAAAATACGCCGGTTTCGAACTACGACCATCTCACATTTTCCCAAACCTAATAACAATATACGGGTGCCAAAAGCTTCGTGTGCAAAAAAACCTCAATCTTGTGGTAGCCGTTAGTTGCTGTCCGAAAAAACTGAGTCGTAACTCGTTTAGGCATTTGCCTTGGCATACAGGAAAACGGGGAATGAAATGTGTCGAAGCAAAAGGAACGCTTAAACAAAAATCTATTCAGAATAACTCAGTTTTCTATTAGTGGTTAACCCTTACAGAGAATCTTACACTTTTAAGTAAGCTACCTGTACACTTAAATACGTGCTCTAGCCTAGCTCATTGTGGACATATAAAGCTACAATAGTTACAATTAAATATCACGTGTTGCGAGAAGCTGTAACAGAGAAGTTTCCATGACAATATGATTATTTTTCTACTGTAGCTGCAATATTCTATCTGTGTTACCATTAAAATATATGTACTATATTCTACAACATCTACATATGAGTTTTTACTTGTTACTCTTCTGTTAATAGCTAATTATAAACAATTCTGTATATGAACATCTAACAATCTGTAACACGACATGTATATATATAAAGGGCGAAACACGTGAACGATGATGTAATAAGCCTGCCTAATATGGGCTTCTAGCGAGATACCTTTCCACTCATTTTCGATGACCCCACACAGCTTTTCTCTCTTATCCCAAAAATGGCCCACAGACACACAGTACCGGGCTCGTGTAGGCCTCGGTGCAAACTGCTCAAAGCAAGAATTTTTTTCAACGCACTCAACACGAATATTCGGATAAACTTTTGCGAATAAAGAAGACGAATGGATTCGCGAACGAGCAAAATGTATCCGTGGAAACAGACGCGTTCTAATTATGCTAGGCCGGTCGGAAAGTAATTTCGTCAACCTTTGAACGTAGCTTCGCAACGTATTTATTTACACGTTTGCTTTGCAGCTTGGCACACCTGTTCTCTGAGATGTTCTTTACTTGCATTCTGATGGGTTATTTAATACTGGCATTTTCTTGTCCGTTCAACGTTTCCTCTAAAAGAGTGGAGCACTGCTCTGCCTAGATGTTTCTGTGACGCAGTGAGTTGACGAATGCCAAACACAATGCGTTAAGCTAGCTCAAAAAAAAAGACCGTATACAAGCTCAGAAGAGGTTGCGATGTACTACTATTCGAAGAAAGCCTTTGGTCACGATCCCGCCATAATTTTACGGCAGCAATAACGTTTTACTCGACTGAATTGTGTATCTCTCTGTTGATACTGGGAAGTCATTAGTACTCAAAGTGTTTCGGATCCAAGTATTCCATTAGATCTTTCCATAAAAGCTCTACTCAGCACGCTTTCATTTTAAGGGGTTCAATTTCACGCGGTTAAGGCCTATTGTTATAAACACTTCACGTATAAATACCGATGATTCAAGCTGCTGTGCTGACAAATCTAACAGTCTCTATAAATTACAGTGCGAGGGCGTTTGTTTGTAATGACATCAAAGTTAGGTGAACAAGGCAGATACAAACAGAGAGCTGATAACAGCTCATTTATCGTAACAGCATTTAAAAGCAATGAGATATACCAATATTCTCGAGTCTGTCCAATTTGCCTCACCTGTAACTACGAACCAGCGCTTTTACGAAGTTTTCATTGACATGAGGCAAGGCCTGAAGATCGGATTGGCTGGTTCGCCAGCTCGCTACCGGGAACCACCAAAACTGTAATGGCACTACGAGAGGTAGCCCTTGCCCATTTCTTCATATTCGTCCTCTTGCCCGTTACCTCCAAGAGTGGTTTAGCGCTAGGGCTGCTTTGCTTAGAGGAGGGCTCAAATCAGTGTCTGCCCCCGGTGTCGAGGCTTCTCTTGTATAAGTGTTAACTGTGCTGTTTTTTTTAACTTATTCAATATAATTTGATATTTGGTGTGTTATGTTTTGTGTGTCAATATACAAGGAGGCCCCGTAAGTTGACAGTCTGAACTAGTCTAGTTTAGTTCATTTTATAATTTATATGTTATGCTATAAAAGTGATTAATTTTTGCTTACGAGTGCTTCGCCAAGATTCGAACTGCGTGATCAATTGTTTCTAAATAGCTGATCAAGACATCACTGATAAATGCGTCTACCCATTGTAACTGTCATTCATTTGATATCGACTACAGGTCGGACCCTAACTCGTACACAAGTCGTTTTAAAATTTATCCGGTCTGAATTTGTGAGTAGCTTCATCAGTAGTATGTGTGACGTAATTAGAGGCTACAAATCCGCTAATTTCTGCATTCAAATTATAGGTCCGTGTGAAGTGTTTTTGGCCTTCTTCAAAAAAAATTTGAAGTCATATCAGCCTAATACATAATCTTCTGTTTCCGCTTATAAAAATCATTCTTGAATCCTTAAAAAACTACAAAGTAACGGGCATTGTTACAGACCTCGATTTTATCCGTTGTCAGTGTCAGTGGCAGTTTGCCCAGCGAAAATATACTTACAACACTGGATTTTCTTTCATATTTCAGAAATCAATTGAAAGTGTTGTTTTGTTTTAGAAAGCACAAGCCTCCTGCCAATGCCGAGCACAGCGGATGAACGCATGCTCGCTCATCCAAGGTGCCCGCGAAAATTGGTTTAGTGTTTTGTATATAGATACGCAAAAATTTCTGGAAGCCAGTTCGGCTTCAATGTATGCATGGAGGCACTGCAGCGTAGACAATAGCCTAATAAATAGTTTAATTTTCGATCACAGAAATGTCCCACGTCAAGTGTCGAATCAGCAATATACGAGTTCCTGCACACAGATAGCTTTGCGTTAACCGTTAGGGCTGGGAGAGTCATAAAGTTGTATAAGAAAATGGCGGAATTCACCTGAGATATGAGATCGTTAGAGGTCTAGTTTTAAAAGCAACAAGTGTCTCCTATATGAGGAAAAATTATACTATACACCAATAAAGCCAGAAGGACATACATGTTGACTGCCCATCGACAATGCTGACTACGGCTTGCCTGCTGGTAGTGAAATCCAAGAGACTTCAAAGCCGAAAGCTATGAGGCACTTTAAGCTGAGAATCAACCAACGATCAAAAAATTTATTTTAGCCTTTTTTACGCCGCTTCTAAGTGGCCGAAATAAAAGCTTTGAGTTTTTTGTTCAGAACCTCCATTTGGAATTACAACAGATAGCCCATCTGCAGCATGAAACGGACTGTGCCAACTTTCTAGCGCATGCCTCACTACCATTTCTAAGCTTTGCAACCAGGCGCACTACTACTAAATCCTTTAGGGGATTTCCCTTTTCATGACAACATGGATGTGGACTTCATCAGTTGCGATCTTTTACTGCTGGAAATTTGGGCGGACATATATAATTCATAAACACATGAACTTACGACTATTAGTTTGTTTTTTGAACAATCTTTTGTGAAATCGCGGACAAGAACTAAGTAATTGCTTTTGTTATAATCGGCATTGCCTAAACGTTTTCTACGTAAACTGTGACGTTACAAAATGCATACAAGTGCGTAGTGATTTATAGCTTTAATATAATTCATACTATATCCTATATGCATACTAAGCTGAGACGTACTCCGACGAGCGGATCAAGTCCTAGCAAAGGAGCGCTGCGAAACAATTTACGATACAAATAAGATCATTTGTATAGCCAATGTGTACCTGCGCTTTGTGCACTTACCACCAGTGGCTAAGATTATCACGCATCTCAGCGAAATAGCTGATTCGTTCTACACGAAGCGCGCCTTGTTGAAGTACTTGTGTGCCCAGTGAGTTTTGTGTGGCTTTCAAAAATTGCGCGTATTACACTAGCTTTATTTGCGTTATCTCGAGAAAACGATCTTGTTCGTTTCATTAATTCAACGTGGAAACGTGGTCTACGGGTAATCGACTTTTGATTGGAACATTCAAACTGAGAGATTTTAAACACAGATTAAAAAAAAAATGTTATATTGGGTTGGAAAGAAAATATCCACGCTTCTTTTTTACTAGATAGAACATCATAACTTGTATTTTTGTAAGAACCATTTATTAGATAATGTAACCCTCGTCATTGTTCACGACCTTCTCCTATTTTTCCACCAAACAATGTATACCGTCTGACGAGAAGGTAATGGGTTTCATCGCGTAAAAATTTCTCAGCCGCACTTTGAGTTATTTATGTTCGTACTGAAGGCAAGGCCACGAACGTGATCGCCCAGTGAACGGAAAAGGTAAGAAGTTGTCAGCGCAGAGTCCAGAAAAAAATGAAGAATGTAAGAGAGCTTCTTTTCGATATTCAAAAGGGAAACTTGCACCATGTTTGTCGTGTCTGGCTTTGTTGTCGTAGATGGCCTAACCTCGTTTATCTGTTCTCTCGGATAGCCGTTGACTTGAGGCAATTTGGCCAACTAAAAGTGCCTACTCAAGCGCCTGGCTCGTAGAAAGCAACTCTTAATGAATCAGGCCCTTGCAGTCCCACCAAACGCAAAACATCCTTTTTTTTAATGAATGTTTGGTTTAATCTCAAGTATTAGCTTCTTTCTTGGAACTATTTATTTCGATCTCTAGTTCACGTTGACATACAAACGCCATAGACATAATAATAGGTCTGCCATAATTCTGACCGTGTGACGCTTGCTACAGGGCGACATGTTGAGATGCAGCGTTAAGTTGTTATCCCTCGTTGAATTCAAAGAGTTCATGAGGTACACAAGCTCCAAATTTCTGTGCAAAGCTAAAAAAACCTAAGGAGGCTAATGACGGCAGTATGGGTGCAGTTAATTTTTTTTAGCTAGTTTTCGAGTTGTTTGTTCACAAGTATCTTACGATAGCGGTCATAAAATTGAGACGGTCGTTGTGGGGCATCCTTTACGTACCGGATACCGTTTTAAAACTTCTCAAACTACTTTTAAGCAATACTTTTAGCGATGGCGTCGTTATTATATATGAGGCAAACCTTCCGCATTGTTTTGGCGGCATTTATGAAAGTGTCGAAAATGAATTTTTCGCCATTTGGAACACCCATTTTTGAACTTTCTTTTCACATGAATTTACACATTGAGACATCGTTTTGTTCAATGGGGCGAGAAACCATAATATTATGACCTTAGACTGATTTATTGGCACAAACCATATAGCTTGCTAAAATAGTTCGAAGCTAAATGCTACCATATTATATCTTGCACTGAATTCTAACTACAAATGTTCAGGTTTTTCTTGAAATATTACTATACTAAACGTTAGTGCGAAACCAACTGCAACTTTTATGTTTCATAATTACGAGTTGCTCTAACACCTAGCTTTTGTTCATTTCTTTGTTATGTAGGTGAAACTCAATAAAAACAGCTCGAAGTTTTCCGGCAAAAACGCGTAAATCCAGGGTACCTTCATCTGAATAGATTGAACGCGACTTATCTAGCGACCAGTTTAGCACTGAACCTCATGCAGCCCATCACAATGCACAAAGGAAAAGCACCGATAGCGAATCAAAGAGCATCTCTTTGGGGAAGAAATCTTCTTCAAGAGCATTTCGTTAGAGTTGGTTACACGATCCATAAGCACTCCGGCAAAATTCTTTTCGTAGGTCTTCTTGCCGTAGCATTACTATGTCTTGCTTTCAAATCAGCCCAATACGAATATAACTTGGAAAAGCTTTGGCTTTCATCGAACCCGATTTGGAAAAACTGGACTGAAACTGAAGGTAACTTTGAGGAAAATCTGAAACATAGTCAAGCACGCATTGGGCTTTACTCTGCAGGTAACGAACAGCTCGTTATTCAAACTGAAAGGTCTGGAGCTAACATACTAAATGAAGAAGCTCTTCTCGTTCACTACAAGCTATTGCGGAGGGCTCTTGAGGTCGAAGTCGAACTCTTCGACCAGCAATGGAGTTTACGAGATATCTGCTTGACATTGAGTGTCTCAAACTTGGGTCGCCACGAGCTCAATCAAAAAGTTATGGAGGTTATGCCCTGCTTAATAGTGACACCTCTTACTTGCTTCTGGGAAGGATCTACACTTAATGTAGGCAAACCGAGTAGCGTTGTGTTGGCCCTCACTAGTCTCCTGAATTTTACAAAGCAACACGTGAATCATAGCAACAAACCCGTAAATCTTTTAGAAAGCTTTATGTCAAGATCTGGAATTACACCATACGAGGAGAAGCCCTGCCTAGATCCCTATAACAGGCAGTGTCCGGATGCCGCTCCAAACAAGCGATCGCGAACCATTCCAGATATCGGCATGACACTAACAGGAGGTTGTTATGATTTTGCTAGAAATCTCTTGCATTGGTCGGAGAATCTCACCATCGGAGGTATCGAAAGAGATTCCTCTGACACCGTGGTACGTGCTACAGCACTACAGAGCAGCGTTCAGATCATGGACGACGAGGCTGTTTTTGAAGCTCATATGGGGGCGCCCTACATGTACGGCGTTGACTGGACTATCGAAAAGGCGCATAAAGTTGTCGAAACTTGGCAGAAGAGGTTTGCACAAGAAATGAGGCACCTCTCTGCGACAAAACATTATGCTCAGAAGTACAGCGTCATAACATTTACATCTAATAGTCTTGAGCAAGTTATACGTGAGTCCACGCCACCGAACCTAAGTAACTTTTCTATCGGAGTCAGCGTTTTGCTTGCAGTCCAATGCGTTCCCTTAGTCCTTCTGAACGGCCGAGTATCGTCACAGCTCTACATCGCTTTCATCGGCATGTTCATACATGGACTTAGCACTTCTGCCGGTTTCGGCCTATGTGCTGGCTTATTTGCCTTCAACGTGACAACCCTACACGTTTTGCCAGTTTTATCCCTTGTCTTTGGAGGAAACTGTATGTTCATAGTGGCACATGGACTAAACAAAGTGATGTCTGACAGTACAACGACCAGGAATAAGCACATAGCCGAATGCTTGAAGCTGACTGGTGCACCAGTTGCTCTCTCGAGCATAGTCATGGTTCTAGCCTTCACGGCAGGCTCTATTATACCGATACCAGCTTTGCACGACTTTGCCGTACAAGGCGCGATCGTTCACGCGTGTTCAGCAATAGGAACTCTCTATCTATTCCCGGCAGCGTGCAACAAGGTACTTTGCCGACTGCCCATGGCAACACGCGATGCCGAGAGTAAATGCGGCGAATCCATATTTGTTGGCACAGAATTGGGCTGGTATGCATCGCTAATTAACCATTCGTTCTTTCAAAGCTTGGTTATTCTTTCATTCTTATGCCTTAGCGCTTTTGGCTTCTGGGGGAGTGCACGCGTCGAGTATGGCTCAATTCTCCCCGACGTTATTCCTGCAGACACGACTGAATATGAATTTCTTCGCCTTCAGGATCGCTACTTCGCAACATTTCGTATCTTCGCTAATGCCAAGTACTGGGCACAGTATCATGTAGATCTGCAACACTGTTTAGAATTAGCAACAACGATCATTTTAACGGCGGCATTTATCATGGTGTATTTAGCGCTTCGCAATTTTCGGGCCGCCATACTTATTTTGTTTGTGCTCAGCTTTAGTATGGTATCAACATACGGCGTTCTGCATACGCTGGGCATGACGCTTGATGGAATATCTGCTATTTTGATCGTGATCAGTGTTGGATTAGGAGTAGACTCAATGGTCTGTTTTACCTCAGAATTCTTAAGATCCGCCGGTGTCAAAGAGGCTCGCGTGTGTGTGGCTCTTAACAATATCGGCGTTCCTATGGTCTACACCACAATGATGAGGCTGGTGGGTGTTTCAATATTGGTATACCTGGGCTCACAATTTGGTTTCATCGTGACCCATTTCTTCTACTTCCTGTCGGCGGTATGGGCCATTTATGCCTATAACAGTTTAGTTGCTCTGCCTGTTCTTCTTAGCTACGTGGGACCTTCCTGCGAATTGGCTCCTGAGAACGATCCGGTTGAAGGCATTCGTGTCACGTCACCACAGCTACCAACAATTGGGGTGCATAGTGCCTTGTCAGATATTGTTATTACGCACAGTTACCAGCGTAGAGGCTCGTTATCCACTATCAGGGAAGAGGATTCCATGTGTATGACTCCAGAGTTAATGTCAATCGAGCCTTCATCGACTTCAGTCGCGTCTGAATTTCGAATTTCTATTGAGATTATCAATACTGCAGATAATTCTATAAATGGACAGGACATTTCTACGAAATTGTTTGCGAATAAAGGTTCAAACGACAGGTAATCGTGAATTATAATTTTATATTAGCAGTACATCCAACGTGCCATCTCAGTATACATGGATGTACTTTACGGTAAATAGGTATGGTACGGTCATATGGTCGGGGTTCAAAACTAAACGTAGACATACTCTAAATCGCACTGGGAGCTAACCATTTGAGGCAGTACCGGGAGTAAAACTAAAAACGCGGTAAAAAGATTAATCGAAATTGTAGTTTCCTTTATATATTATTATTCTCTTAAGTCTAATAGCTCATTGCAGTGTAGCATGTGCTGCAATAAAGAGTTCAGCTTACGATAGGCTACAAAGAAGACAGAAGAGAGCAATATTGCATAGCTGCATAAGGACCTATGCAGTTCACGAAATATTGTAGGAGTACATGTTGCAAACGTAGAGCTCGCACGACTGATATACATTTGGTATTTGGTTATGTAATGTCTTCATTTTTTAATTACCCCAGCTTCATGTTTACTGTTGGACCATCAGTTAGATGTCTGAATATACTATTGACCAGGATTAGTTTGGGCTACCGTTAGCACAGCGCAATAATCTACCATCCATTGCGTTTGGGCTCACAAATATGTATAAAACTAGAACTATTATAACCTTTTCGATTTTTCGTATGATAATTTTTTGTTAAATTTTGTATCGGTTTTTACTGGTTACTACTAGACAATAAGTACGACAGTGCATGCCTCTTTTACTGCGCGAATTGCTTTTCTTAGAGGAAAGTCTACTGATGGCTTGTATTTAAAAGAGAGGACTTCACCCCTCGCTGGTATTTGTTGAGACCTCTAAACAGACTGACTCTATCGAAATCGCTTCGTAACCGATTTGCTGCTACAGATCATTCAATTGAAAAATCGTGTTGACGCTGTTCGGATGAGCAGGCTGTATTATACTACCAGAACAACAGGCACTCCAACTGCGACCGGAGTGGTTGCCCTCAGATAGATCAAAAGGTCGTCGTCACTCTGTTATTTACAAAACAATAGTAAAATTTTTCTGTCGTTGGCTTCGCTCAATATTTATAGTTGTTCGTCATGAGTTCCTGATAAGGAATCTTACTGAGTTTACAAGGATTTTTCCCACCAACCCCTACAGTAACAATCCTCACAGTACTGCTGTGATATGAGCTGCTGGGAAATCTACTCCATTTGCAAATTGCTAATTAAAATAAGATCTAAAGCCGTGTCAAACTCTCCGTCGATAAGCGCCAAGCTAACAGCGGGCTACGGCTAAGGCTTTGCATGGGGTCTGCCCTAGGAGGAAGATCGCTACGCTATAGATTTGTGGAAACAAAATCGCACTTCTTATTACGATAACAACAATCACAAAACGCCTATTATAAACCGTTCGGTTTTGGCTTTCGTGCAACATTGAAGTGTAATAATCCTAGACGGGGATACTTCAAACAGCTGATTTTTTCGTAAGTTCTAAAATGCCTATTTGAAGGATCTGTTAATATGAGGAGTAACTTTATTCGGTAGTAGTCGAAATGATTTTTTACCCTGTAGTTATTGGACAGAACAAGGTACACTAGATTACTCCATAGTATTAGACGGTATTACGTAGAACACATGAACGGAGACATGCATGTCCTTTTGCACAGCTAGAGGTTTTGAGACTGATGTTTAGGTAGTAACAACTAAAATAAGTACGTAAATCCGGGGCTGATTGTCTATTGAATAGACAATCGTACAGAACCAAAATTTTTAAAAGCAAGACTTAATCGCTTGATTCTAGCCACTGGTACTCTTAGAAACATCACACTTTTTAGACTAGGTTTACTTCTGCATGCAATAAGTTATTTATCCTCCAAGCGAACTTATATGACATAAGTTACTAACGACATATTTGTTTTCTATGTTAACTGATAGTAACATTACACAATGAACACACGCATTTATATCGGGTCTAATGGAAAAATCTTGCTGATTTAATGAATTAACTGTTTCGCCTGATAACGATCGCTTAATATGTCGTCTATGTAAATTTCACAGATGCACTTTTCAGTTATATATAGTTTATACGTAGTTTTTTTTCGAAGTGAGCGATAATCGGTTTATCTTTGTGTATATACTTCATGCAGAGTGTGGAGTAGGATGTTTTCGTTCGTATCACAGATCTCTTTGTAATGATGGGTTGGTACCTGGCTATAGTGCAGGCTTGGCAAACCGAATACAGCAAACACAATAATTTTACCACCTTTTAAAACGATGAGTTCTAATTCACCGACGGAAAGGCGTGCAGCGCACGTACACGCTCCACACCGCAGAGTATCCCTCGGGTTATCTTTTTTAAAGCCTTTTGAACATTTAAGGCTTTAACGTCGGTGAGTTATTACCGTATTACTAATGTACGATCCCTGCGCGCGTAAATTTGCATTACACACATTATGTAGCTCTATTTTTTCAAGTACATTTGTTTCTGAAATCTTGTTAACTAGGTGCTGCCTTTTGAACAGAGTCCGTTATCGGAGCACAGAAGAATAAATGTGAAAAATATGGATATGAGATCCCTATAGCAAGTCAGAACGTCTGGATGGGCTAGATTGACTGAATGAGCTTGGGTGATTACTGTTTGCTCGTATTAAAATACAGCCAAAAGTACGTCTCGGTATCTACTAGATGATACTAGCTAGATGAATATTTGCTAGATTCAGTGTTTCGCGTTGATAAACGACAATGGTAACTGCTTGTCAGTCTCGCTACCCTGCGGTCTCACCTCAGCATTGGTTGTACTTTGTACAGTTACGTCGGTGTTAGAGGGGTTAACCCCCGGGGTTGAACGCCCCCCAGTAAAACAAATTCAACAGATCTAGGCTTTGTTCCTATCTATCAGCCAATACTCAGATGTGTATTTGACCATTCAAAGTAAACTCCAAGAATTTCTATCCACTCATGCATTTTTATCAGGAGTGTTTCGTAAGGGGGTGGTGCAGCCCTATCTATTGATACTATCGACCCGCTCTGCTTGCTCATTTGTGACTTAGAATTACTGCGGGCCGCCGCTGCCATTGGCGTTGTCGTTGGCGGCCGCCTCACCGGTTGCGTCAGCAACACTAGGTCCAGCCTGACCCTCAGTTTCAGCGTCCGTATCACTCTCTACTTCAACTTCGTCGTAACGCGGCACAAAAGAGATTTGGGTAATGCCAACAATGTAACCCTGCTTTACAGCGGCCTACAATTGAACGGGAAAAAACAGTATAACATATCAGATTAACCTATACTAGATGCACAAAGAATGATAGTTAATTACGCATCTATAGTCTGTTCATTTGATTGGGCTTCAAGTTATTGATGTTACCCCGCAATAGTAAGCTATGCCGCAATGATGCAGTATTCAATACGCTGAAGTCTTTTGTTTCACATTTGCATTTACAATTTTACTCTACTGTTTGACAACTAAATTATATCGATGATAATCATAATTAAGCTTGTTTTTACTTAGCTGGCCTATTAAAACACGATAGCTTACCTGGAAGTTGGGCGGGCACGTTTTATCAAAGTGCCTGAAGATGCACTCCACGTATATTTTATCCTGCTCCTTGTAATCGCCAGAACCGTCCGACAGAGCACGCTGCGAACATTTCTCGTGAGCAGTCTGCGATTGTTATATGAGTCAAAGAAGACATCCTGTTTTATTATGTTAAATCAGTGTATTGTGTATAAATATAACCTGCAACGCTGCAGCCGCATACAAATAAATAACGCATAATCTTAGCAAGAGAAAACAACTAAAAACAAGCAACATTTAAAAGTAATCTCTATACAAATTCAGTTTTCGCTATGCGGTGTCGATCACCCAACAAGCATGAAAGATATCCACCACGTAATCAAAATTGACAAGCGATCATAAAGTTGTGGATAACCATACCAAGCAAGTTTAGTATCGGATTCGGCTAACTAATGTATCTAGGACTATAGATGAAATAAGGGCAGACCTTCGTCAGCTCCAGGGTTTTGTCGTCAAGTCCAGCCTGCGAAAGGTAATCCATATACTTCGTCAAGTTCATGTTTCCATTGGCACGAACCCAACCGATGACCTTCAACATACATCTGACAAAATGAACGGGGGATCACGAACGACACCCAAAACCAGAGTCGAAGTTAGCTACAATTCCTAAAGATATTGTCTTATTTGTGAAATATGAATCTATATTAAATAGGTGTGTTATGATAGAATCGATAGTGGTGCAAGAATAGCGTAAACCAGAAAGGCTTCTAGATAAGCTAAATATGGTAATACCGTTCACACTCTTCGGCATTGTGCAAAACAGATATATTTGCTGTCAACGTCATTGTAAGGTATGCGCATCCTGAATACGGCGCTATTATGCAACGATATGAAATTTCATTCGTTTTAATCATATCTAGTACGTTATAGTTGTCCTAGAAACTGAATACGAGAATACCTGCTAAGGTTAGGCAAAGCTTCCTCGACTTGATCTGGCGAAAGTGGGATATGAACACGGCAGCGTTCCCATGTGGCAGCGTCACTGATTTCAGGAAGGACCAAAGGGTTCTTCAGCGGCTCGCATTCGCCCCAGTTTGATGTAAAGAACTCCTCGACCTGACGAGGCACGGAACTTTTCTTATTTAGAAATGCCAGAAATTAGCCAGAATGAATGCTGGTGCATATGTGATGCTTCTAGGAATAACATGGCTTCAGATTGAGCTTCTCCATTTCAGAACATTTAACAAGATGGTGTACTAATCCGCTGTAGTTTTTGGAGAACGTTTTTGTTAATCATCTAACTCACAGCATCGTCGATGCAATCGCGATGTTTCGTTCAGGATATCATCGGTGCGTCGATGCTCAATCATTTTCACTACAGGCAATATACTTGGAAAAGAAGCCTTAAAATCCTTAAAGGAATTCTCATATTATGTCTGTTATATTATACAGATTTTATGGCAATAGTGAGTATCGTGTTTATGCAAAAACTATAGCTGACACCAACGTACAAAATTTAGCACGCCTGTTGTTTGTTTTTCTCTATTCACTTGGAACCTGTTTTCAAAAAATATGACGAAAATTATTTCAGGTATGATTTTGCCAAGCAAATATTTTTGCGTCTAATCGGATTTGTCTGCTGCCTACGCAGAAAGCCAATGTGGAGTGGTAGCAAAAATAGCAATTAGTTATGATGTGGAAGCGTGTTATTAATACCAAACTTAGAATAACGTTTTAAGAGTTTAAATATTCTGTCGGCATGGACGTTCAAGCTCGGCCTGAATTCCTATTCTAAATTGCTATCCAATGTTGATGTGTTGTAGAAATCATCAAGTAGCTGAAAGAGATAAGTTGAAAGTTAGATTCTTAATACTATAATTATGTTACCCAAGTTTATTAGTGTCATTGTTATAGTTCAAACGATCGTATCGTTTTGGGTTCTAACAAATTTTTCAATTTATCTAAATGATCCAATCGTGTTCGCCTGTGTTACCGTAATTATAGTTAGTCAATAACCCGTAATAAGCTTAGCTATTCGAGCAGTGATCGAAACGTTCCAATGGATTTCTCAAAATTGTTGTTGTCCGTTGCCTATTGGAAAAAAAAAAAAAAAAAAGGGGTGTTAGCGGTAAAATCAATAGAACCCGCGATAGTTTGTCTTGTGTCATAATATTCTTAGGGAGAAAAGCGTTTCCTATCTCCTCATCATTTCGACCTCGGGCAACTACTCGACGGTACGTCACATGAACAGCAATAACTACACCTGCTGATTACGTTCACTCAATAGAGTAGAGCCTAATCGGCCAGCCCGGGGGAAACATACATACATACGCGGCAAATCCGGCCTTAAAAAAATTGCACATTATCGACATGCTACCAGACACCGAAAATACATGGCGTGTATGGTAGATCTAGCAGACGTCTTACTTCTTCTGTAATCGAAACTATCTTATTTCCACCGGTCGACCAGCGTGCATCAGCGTCTTATCACTATTCGATCTGCGCGCTTACAATTGCCCACTGCTCTAGCAGCGTTTACGAATCTTGCTGCTGTTCTGCTCAACCCAGTACGTCAGTGCTGTCAAGCTGTTGCACGTGATCCACACACCGTAGATTGGCATTAAGTGCACGCGGTAAATCATCAGCACGTCAGAGCCGACAAGAAACACTACCCGATCGGCCTCAATAAATAGATAGGTGTAATGGAAGTAATATAAAAGGCGACCGGTTTTACTTTTCGCGAGGATCAACGATCGATCGGATGCTGTTCGGATGCTCTGGCATAATTCTAGTCGCCGTCGGCAACATCACCGTCTTTATCAACATTGTAGAAAGTGATAACTGGCTCGCTGGAACCCTGCCTTCCTTTTTCATAGCTTTGCACAAATGACTCAAGGTAAGTGCTCGCGCATTAAGGCCGTGTTAAACGAACCGCGTCGCCGTACTGCCTTCTCGTCCTTGGCGCGGTCGCTGCTAGTATCGGCTTTCACGATGATGACTATTCGATGTACGAAGTTAACTACATCTGGATGGTCAATACCAAAACAGCAAAAGCACGAGCTCTGACAGTTGCGGCAGCCGCGGAGTCGCCATCGTCAACTTATATGTCTACATACAGCGATGGTACTGATTACCGCAGTGAGGTCGGGACAACCAAATGTAAAGAATGAGCCCCGCGGGCGAACGGGAGCTCGTACGTTTGCTCACCGTTTGAAGGGACATCAACGAAAGAAAGTCGTCTAAAGGGATGCGTCGCAAGCGACGCCTTACCCCCTTCGAATCTATTCCAGCGGCGCTGTTGGCTCAGCAAACGACAGCTACCGCGGATGCAGTTGAAATTACCACAGTTTTCGCGACTGTGGCCATGACAACGGCTGGGTTAAGCAGACGTTGGGGTTTCGCGTACACCAGCGTCTACATGAACGTCTATTATTATTACAACTGACCCTGTAGATGCTGCTGAAAGCACCGTAGGCTGGCACAGGTATTCTCCCATAGCAGCTGCGCGACCTTAGGCTTCCGGGACTCGCTCGCTGCGCGTCGCCAGGCGCATACAAAAATCTACAGGCAGCATAATGGCGATAATAACGACACTGAGGACCGTCAAGCTAGTCGTAGCCGGTAAGCAACAGCTACTACAGAGCTGGAGCAGTAGCAGCTATAAGTTAGCAAGTCAACGAGGAGCAGGAAAAGACGACGCAAAGCATACGATTATAGATCGAACCAGGTAAACATGTCAATCGTCAAGCAATGGCCGAATGAACAAGACCACTTCGTCGGTCATCGTCGGTAGCACTGATTCTTGTTGCTGCGTTCAAGACGTCCCCGACGAACGGTTTCTCTCCCTTTTTTTCTCTCTCTTTATCCATCTGTCTATAACATTGCTCGAAGCCAATGGCCAAAACTGTTTTCGACAAATTGAACAGTTAGTGGATAAACAGCAAGATAGGCCAGCAGATTTAAACTAAGACCATATCAGAGTTGCGGTATTCTCGTGCCTTGTTGGCTATTAGCATGTTCAAAACGCCGCTTCAGAGCCGTTGGTGCGTCATCGCGCAAATAGTAAGACGCATAGTGAATGAGTAATGACAACAAAAACAACACATCGTTTTGGTGGCGATTGTCGAGCGCGTACATTGACTGGCAGTGACGTTGGCGAAAACAGAAACAACAGCGACATAGGTGAACTGACCAGCTACGTAGGCTGTCGCGATTTACAGTCGAATTTGATGAATGCATCAGGCGGACAAACAATGAACGACCGAAAGAACGCACCCAGTAAGCGCTACCACTACCGGTGATTCGAGGCTGTGCAGACAACGTAAGATATAACAGAGTAGGACTGGCAGAGGGAGTGCAAACGAAATCGAGTGGATTTTGGCTCAGTGAGAAACGATCAAAGAGGAGATACTGCGTTCGACTGGAGCACGAACAGCTACGACAGGGGATGGTGGATTTGATGTCGACTCTGAGCTGCGAGCCATGTTGCACGGGACGAAAACGGTGGAAGAAGAAAGTTGTGCAACATTGGAACGGCAGCATATGGCATTAGACCGAGTTTCCAAAGTGTGCTTTATTAAATACACTAATACTAAAAGGAAATGTTCAGACTTGAAATGTTGCAACTGATATATATATAGACAATACAGAGGGGCAATGATTTACGCGGCATAAGCAGACTTCGAAAACTAGCGATTAGGGAGTTCTCGTGGTGCAGGAAGCATATCAGCCCATCTCTTGTACTAAACACAACATGATGGCCTGATTGAAGTATACGTAAACAAATGCACCTACAGTCTTCTATTATAGTCCTCTATTGTTTTTGGTTAATCACGTGATATATCATTCAATTCGGGCAAGCTTTGTAGGTACCAATACGATGAATGTTTTCCTTATTCACACGAATTATATATATATATAATTAATAAAAATTGTATATTTATATATAGTATTTTGATCAGTTATTGATAATCAGGCAAACCAAGGACCTATCCAAACGTTATGACAAACGTTTTCCAAAAACAGAGGCTCTGAACCATTTTGAGGGATGTTCTTGCAAAGCTCAGGCTAATGTGAGACAGCGTTGAGCTACATGTCGAAAACTACTACATCAAAAGCTACTTCCATGGCCTGTACTACCCAGGTGAGCTATACATACGGGTTTCTGTGCCGTTCAATTTCAGATGCAGTAATCCAAAGAAATTCAGCTACGCAGTTTGTCAAAACGTAAAAGGCTTACGTCAACATTCTGCCGTGGCAATTCGACTAATTCAGACCAATGGGACTTAATAAAGGCTCATTTTGACATCTATGTATGATATTATTTTCTTATATGTCGAGGACAATAGAAAGGAAAGTTAAGACTATGTTGAGTACGTAGTTATACAAAAACACTATGAACATTTACCGTACATTTAATATATGTATCAAGTTAAAAGTAAATAGATGACGTTTTATATATCGTCTGTCTAATAATTACAGGAAGTGACGCTTATCGAACTCGGCTAGTATGATAAGCGCAGCTTCAGAATAAAATTTTTACACTTTAAATTAAAATTTTCAAAAGACCTCAGAATTTAACGTAGTCACTCCGTTTAGCAATACCGCCTCTATATCATGCCTTTCAAACGTCACCCCTCAACCTAAGTGTCGCGGATTTTTTTCCTGTTAGTAAAATATATATAAACCAAATGAGAAGAACATTTTGGATTTTTGAAAGAATACTACAGAATACTGAACATTGACTTCTGTTCATCCATTTAGATTACTCTATGTTCAAACATTGTCTCGTATCGGACGGACGACAACACAAAAGGGTTTAGCCATCGGCCAAGGATAACTTCGTAAAACAAGTTTGACTATGCTGAATTGTGTGATGCTATCCTTCGATATACGTCTAAGTAGCAATCGGTAAATCCTTTTCATTTACTAACAGATATTTCTTTTATAGTCATTGTGTTGTGGTATGTTCATGGCATGCATAATTTTTTTTGCATATTTTGAAGAACGAGATTTCTTACGGTTTGTTTGGGAGTGATCCTCTCGGACTTGTCCTTGGCCAGAGGTCCTGCGAGGGCGAGTCCGACGATGAACAACAAGCCACAGCACTGAAGTACAAAGCTGCGATGCATCCTTACAACTTGAACTTTACTAGTAATAATCACTACTTGCAAAAGAAAACAACCATGAACTGATCAAGCAGGCACTGATAAGCTGTGTTCCGTCTAGCACCCAACAACAATTTCGAGACTTGAGGCGATTTCGGATTTGTTTGAATAGACCGAATTCTTAACAACTCAACTGCACCGAGCAGTAATAGTGAGTGTAACTGCTCTGGGTCGCTTTGGGCTGCCCCCTTAGACGGCGGACAGCTGGCTGTTCGTTCGACAGGTGCCGAGCTATGCAGGGCTTTTGTAGGCAAACCACTCGCACCGTGCAAAAGGAGGAGGGCGCTGCTGCGCGAAGCAAACGATCAACCAGATACGAGCCAATAGCAACAGCTGCTGCCGGTTACCGTCGACGTCTGGGTCTGCAGGGTCTTCTGCAGTCGAGCGGAGTGGGAGTAGAGCCGAACGCCACTGCAGCTCGATAGCAACTTGCAGCTTGTTTGCTGTACGCGATAGCTGACCCAGGCGAACAAGCAACGATTGACTGAGTGACAGGAGTCAGCCAGGCATCCATCCAGACAGCTTCGGCATGACTGGGAACTGATGGAAGCCCAGTAGCTGCGATTGCAATAATCCAAAGCAATGCTAGACGACGTCCCACAGAGGCGGCGCGCACTGCGAAAATCGCGTAAGGGCGGCCAGCATCTTGTTCGTCGTTGTTTCATAGTCGCCTGCGACGAGTGCAGCAATGGGCAGTTTGGGCAGCAGCAGTCGACCTGTCGAACGAAACTGACGCGACTGACGGCCGCTACGAGGGGGCATTTGTTGGGGTCAAGAGCTGGCACCCAGGGCTGCAGACGTTGTGCCAGCAGCGATCCTATTATTGCCACTTCTGCTGGTGACGAAAAAGCTGATACCACAGACGGCCCGCGTCTTCTCCATCGTCGTCGTTGTGCTAGTCGCCGCCATCGATTGGCGGCTTCGTAATATATGTATGTATATAGGGCTGGTCGGCGTTCGTCGTAGCGGTAACAGCCACCAGTCCGCAGTGTTGATGGGCCGCCCTGATCCATCGAATGGACTGAGAGTGAATAGGAGACGGGTAACATCTCAGCGTACGCCAGAACAGGCCTTCCGTACCACTCTGGCCTGCGATTGCAGCCAGTGCCGCCATAGTCAGACGACCAAATTTATAAAAGGATACATCGAATATGTCGAATCGATATCGTTAGAGTAATAATCCTCATCAACAAAATAACCATAACAGAGGCGGTTTGTTTTACAGGTTTGTAATGCTGCTGTCGAAGTAGTGGATTTCCTAGATTGGTAGCATCATCTCGACCGCAACGATACGTCATGATCGCACAAAATCATTGACGTCATTTTCGTACGCGAAAGGAGATAACGAACGCTACAGCGTCGACGGATATCGATAATACTATGTTATATGCGATATTAGATTGGTATTGTGACGGCAGCAGGAACGTCTCTAGTCCGTATAGGTATCTCAATGTTTGGACTGTCTTAAACATTTTGATGAATCGATTGCGTGCGACTGCTATAGATCTACAACACGTAGGTATCTCTGAGTAGTATGTGCGTAGAGCGAATTAATAAGGCCGATATCGTTTCTGCTTGTGCAGTGCCAATACAAACAATGGACGGTAATCATTTGCTAATATCCGCGAAATTATTCCTTCTATCTATACTTTGATTTTGTTTTGCACCCGATAGTTTTTGCACACACTTAGTAGTTATTACAGCGGACGAACTGTCATGTTATTAACAAATAGATGAGTATAGAATTTGCGGCAAAAGGACAGTAGAATCCAAGGCAATCAGGCGTTTCCTCCTAGGTCAAATCCTGGTTCCCATAAGCACAAATTTTATTAAACTAATAAATAGATAGACAATGGATAAAATAGATCCTTTTTTTTTTTAATGAACTGGCTAGCGTAACTACTACTAACTAGTATGAGCCAATTTACAAATTAGTTTCCTAGAAAATTCTACAATTTGTTTTTAAAGGTTTTCATCTATACTGTGTGGGCCTTTTCTGAATCGTATCAACTCATGTGTCTTATTATTATCATTATATATGAATGCTTACTTTCATTCAAAGAAAAACCATGTTTATGTTAGAGCCTGTGGCCAAGTTTTTACTTATATTTTTTTACTACAAATAACTTTTCTCACTCACGGCGTTTTCACGACAGTATTTCCTTGTCAAGTAAAATCCATGCGCAAAAAATTGGCATGGCTGGTATGTAAATTCATATAATGCATGTACCTAAACATAAGTCGCTTCAGACCATATAAGACGTAATAATGTTGGCGATAATGGCGAGTGACTTTTAACGTACGGAGAACTCGTCTCGTTTAACCCGATTTTTTGTCAGCTCGGTCAGTTAATCTTTCTGTTTCGCAAATTTCCTCTACGCTAAGCATCTTACCAATTTTTTAGTCCAAATTTCCCTAACATCAACAGTTTCTACCTGTCACAGATAAAACAATTTACACTATTACCCGATAATAAGCTTAATCATACTCACTGTGCTTGAAAAGTTCACAATGACAGTGGATACGAATTGGGGAGTCAATAAAATTCAATTTCAACATATTGTGACCGTCTACATACATCTAGGGATAGCTGCAACTTACTGTAAATAGATATTTTAAAAAATCTACACACTGTGAGCAGAAACTCTGTTCGCTCCATGCCATGATTGGATTCGAAATTTTATCCATTTTATCATTGGCAAAAAAAACTTGCATGATATTGTTGGTCGCGTGTACAAATCTCGCATCAGCTGGCTATATTTGTTGCTTTTAGTAAAATGCAGCTTCCCCAAGCTTTTTGAGGCGCTTGTTTATTGAAGACTTAGGCGTTTGGCGTGTAAAAACAGATTATAAAAAATTGACAACTTCTAGATTATAGAGGTGATCAGAGTCTATTGACACCCACTGGAAGCTCTTACATGGCAACGGTCTCGGATTCAAGAACGCTGCTTTATCAAGTGTTTAATGTAGAATCTTTTGGATAATTAACCTAAATTGAAAACTCAAAGAGTACAAGGCCATCTATTGTTGCTGACTTATCTTTTTTAGGCTGTATATGCTATTTTTATTTTCATACAGACAATCAGTACTGGATTAATGGAGAAATACAAACTTACAAGGTTGAACACGGATAATGAAGGATTTTGCCATTATGCCTTATACGATACACGTCTTGCTTGAATCACTTGTATTACATTAAACCAAACACGATAGCGGTTAAGCTCGTTGTTTACGAACTAAGCAGTGATTGGGCCTTCGAGTAAGCAGCTGAGGTAAGGCGGGGGCCAGCCCAAGGTCTATTTAGTAAGTAATTCAGGTTATCTCATAACTGTCTTTATCGAAAAATAGATTATCAAAACTTATTCCCTGTAGTTCTTGGATACTGAATACAGCCAAGGCATCATCAATGAGACCTTTTCTCGAACGAGATCGAAAACGTTTACTTGACCTGCTTGTGTAATAGCACAAAACTATTCACTATTCTTATTATTATTGATTAGCTAATATTCTAGACCTTATAAACATTAGGCTATCAAAACCAGTTATAATAGATTGACAGTGCTTAAAAGACGAATTCGGAACCATGTGGATGTTCTTTGTATACATCCCCAAAGTAGTCTCGTCCCCAGGATGAGCCTTCGTCGAAACGTAAACCTTCTATTTAGTGCAAAAGAATAAGATTATTTTTGTGTAAATGTGTTCTGTTTTGTAACACTCTTGGCCTTAGCAGCACCAACTAAAAAAATCTAAAAACCTGATATATTGCTATAAAACCGAAACAAGCAATGTTTTGACTAGAAGGCTGAATTATAATGCATGTATAGCTAGGTCATAGTTTTCTCATTTACATCTCAGTTCGTATGTACCATACTCGTTAAGGCACAGATAGTCCCTCGCAGGTCCAATTTTCCATAAGCAACACTAGCTTGATCACAGTTACCACGAGCCAAATGGCGTTTTCCCCGTGCTTAACATTTTGCCAATAAAAAAAAATTATTCTGAACGTACATATATATATCTTGAAACATGCCCTCAAGCGCCATTTTCTTTAGATCTGATGACTTAAACCGTTGCGAAATAACTGGTCGAGTATATCGGTGCTTGATACGCATCGACTTTAAATCTAACATAACCCAAATAGATCTTAGTAGGAGGCTTGAAGCAGGGCGCGGCGGCACCGTACCAAAAGACCTACCGGCCTAAAACACTGGAACAACAGCACCAACTAATGAAGGTCCGAGTTAATAAGAGACAAATATAAAAAATAAATATATATCATTAACCGTACGACCTGTATCATATTCAACAATGATATAGATCGTACACCGGCGCCCCTTCCTTCACAATAGATAGGCACGGTCATATTATTTTAACAGATGTGTCCTACATCTTTTGTCCTTAATTTTTGTACAGCTATATCCTGTAATAAACAACTGTAAGACATGCAGACACGGCTGGTGTTACGTGGATACCTAACACTCATTATACATGCGTATTGTATGGTAGATTTCAAAATCGAAGCATTTGTGGGCGCTTAAAAGAGCCGTCCATTCCGTTGTTGTTATGGTAGTGTCTCGGGGGAATCGAAGAACAGAGACCCGCCGCTACTTGACTTGGGTGGACGCTTGACTCTAGCAGTGGAACTCGTAATGCCATTAGTTGGCAGTCTATGCCTTGGGCTGATGCAACAGTAATTCATGACGCAGTAGCAGCAGTCACCCAAAAACTGTGTGGCCGGAATGACGGTGCTAGTCAAGATAACCTTGCGTCAACTTCTTGACAGTGTATCGTACGTCTGCATGCATGTCTGCCTGTTCATTCTTGCATATGAGGTTTGCTCTTGCTCCTGATGACACCTCAATAGTTTTATGCAAATCAGGTAGCCGTGCTCTCAGCGCGTAATCGATGCGGCCGAGCTCTCCAAAAGTTAGTATCACAACCACGACATATAAGTAAGGGTGTATTAAGCACGCAAGACGAACGTCGGCAAAATAAAAGGTGGAGATACGGTGGATTTGGACACGTATTCCTAGTATAACTATTGTGACGCCGATACTTCTAGTTGCTTAATAATGACCGGATCTGTGCTGGCAATAGTAATGCAAATGTATCCGCTGGTGGTGAGATTTTGCGTTTTCATTGGTGTCTGGGCAGGCGTATGGTCGTACGCGAAATTGAGCATGAACCTACCACACTGGGTACATGGCCTTTCGAGCCGTTGCTTTTGACATATTGTCGATTGATAGCCATGTACGATTCAAAATGTTGAAGGGGCAAGATTAACAACAAGAATAAGCGAATTTGATGATCACTTAAAAAAAACTCACAATAGAATGATTTCACGAAAAGAAAAAAAGCAGTGGTCTTGCTAACAAAATCGAGAAGAATCTTCATCTTTGTCTAATTACCCCACTGAGTTCGTTTTAATCTTTCTTCATCCTTCATTTGCTTAAATCACA